CCTGAGTCCTCAGGAATGGCAACGCATGGGGAGTATCATGGGCGAAACAGTATACTCTGTTAAGTCCATGGTATTGCTCATGGCTATAGGCGACGGTTACCACTTTCCATCAGGTGGGCCGTCAATTTGTTTGCCATTCTAAGTTGTATAAAAAAAAAACTTACATTCTTCAGATATCTGTACTTAAATGTAAAAGTTTCTTATTTAAAACATTTTCCTGTTTATATTTAGGAACATTTCTGTTTGTATTCCTGAATAACAACAGTTTATAAATAAAGAATAGAGTAAAGTTATTTTAACGAAGCATTATATCCTCGTATAACTTCGCGGTGCATCAAGCGAACACAGCACCGAAGGTCGCAGGGTCAGTTCCCGACTGAGCTTTTTACGTTTTCCACAAATTTATTGGGCTTGTTTCAACAGCCCCGGGGAATTGTAATGAGCGGCGCTCACTTCATTAAAATACTTCTATTTGTCGAGTTGACAGCCCACAGTGATTTGTTCCCGCTCTTTTGTACTTTTTATGTGACATTCAGTTTGTTTCACGGATTTGTGTGCATAAACACGGAGTGTTAATTTAAATTTCATACATTGTTTAGTCAAATTTTATTGTTTACGATAACCACTTCTCTTTTCAAGCTAAACCGGACCGTATTCTGTAGTCGTTACGTAATATTTTTCTTATGTATGTACCTATTTTATATAATTGTGCCGTGCGACTGCGGTTGTATGGTAACCGATGTGTATTTTATTAATAAATGAATGCAATTGATAAGGGTTAGCAAAAAGAATTTTCCTAATAAATTAATATTTGTACCTACCTATATGTGTAATTATGTATTATTAACTTAATTACATACATAAATAAAATCACCATGTGGTCCCAGTATAGAATGGGCTACCCCTTCTTTTCTTGTGGATGTCGTAAGAGACGATTAAGAAAGCATAAAAATCAAAATATGAGCAGCAGAGTCCCTCTTAATACTTCATTAAAAGCCTAATTACGGTTACCAACCCGCCTGCCAAGCGTAGCAACTACTGCCAATACCCCTTTTTTGAGGGAAGCTATTGTTCAGTAGTTAAACACTTAACGGCTGATATGAATATGTTTTACAATATTTTTTATGTTTTTTTTTTTCTATCTGTAGAGCTAAGGTAAATTATCTAATAAATTATAGTTCATTTTATCAAGTATTTATGTGCCAATATAATATTACGTACCAACATAAGAACACATTTATTATGGTACCTATCACATCGCTCTTAATAATAATTGAAGATTTTGTTAAAAAAAGAACCACTTTTTAACAAAATACAACACAATCAGTACAAAGTTTATATTGGACGAAATTAAACCATATGGAATCAAAAAACTATTTATATTTCAAGGAAGATATAATATAACTTATAAACAAAAAGTCAGACAAATTTTGAAGCCGTAATGAAACGAAAGATTAGCAAAAGAACCATTTAATTGGCGTTTCTTTTGTCATAGTCAGATCTAATTTTAATTATGTGATTATACAAATAAATAAGATAAGCACAGTGTAGCGTAATGCTACGGTGCAATAGATTGGAGTTACGTAGCGACGTAGCATTGCGTAGCGCTGCGCTATATTACCTAGTGTTTTACTAATAAACGTAAAAAACAGCTACTTTTTAGTTTTTACTTATAGTACATATCTATACTTATAATAAATCTGTAGAGAGGTCAATTCTGTACATGAAATATATTTCCAAAATAACTATCAGGGGGTGATTAGTGATCGATACTGATACCAAAAATGCAATCAGTAAAATTTTTGTCTGTCTGTCTGTCTGTCTGTATGTTCGTTATAGAAACAAAAACTACTCGACGGATTTTAACAAATTTTTATACAGTTATTCTTCATACTCATGGGCAGGGTATAGTATATTTTTCATCACGCTACGATCAATAGGAGCAGAGCAGTGAAGAGAAATGTGTCTGTTACATCAAAACCACTGAACCGTGAGAAAGGACATAGGCTACTTATTTTACGAAAAACGACGGAATCGCGGACGAAGTCGCAGGCAACAGCTAGTTATTAATAAGTCTTTTAAGGGAGTCAGTGGATGCAGGTGGCTCAATACCGTTCTTTATGGTTATCGTTTTCTATGGCTGGATAACGTATAATGGCTGACATCATAAGAATAATGGTTAATAAGTCTTTACCCGTGACATTGCCTGCATGAATTGATATCTCAATATATTAATTGACTGGAATTAAAATAGCCTATGTTTTTGTTCATCCCAAATAGTACCTATATAAACATGAATTATTTAATAGTGTACAGAGTGTTTACCTCACTTAACTTTTTTATTAGATTACTTACTCAACTACCTAAAGTAGTAACTGGAAACCGAAATTTCAAAATCATATTTTCAGTATCTCACATAAACAAAAGTAACGTAAAATAGAGTAAGTAGTTTAAGGAAAAACGTCGACCATTTTGCGATTTTGCGAACACCGTAGGTACATTGCTTCCTATTAACAAGGCCACAGTACTTGGAAGATAAGTTCGATTCCCAATCGAAGTCCAATTAACTGTATTGACCCTGAGTATCCTGTTAATAATCTCCTTGTTTATTTATTATTATTGCTTAATTGGTTGCATTTTTAAATTACTAAATTCGATAAAAAATCATGCTATAATTGTCTACTAATTGTACCAAGTATATAAAATAAGATATAAGTATTCAGAGTATATGATATTATATAATATTAAACTATATAATAAAAATATAATGTTGCAAAATTCTCATATTTATAATGCAAACATTGGACGGCAACAGTGGTCGCGGGGCGGTCACCGATCAGACAATGGCGCGATTACTGACCCCGTTGCGTGTACATATCTATACGTCACGTTATTATAGAGTAGACACTAGGGTCGCCATTTTAAAACGTAAAAATACAAACTTTATTTTAAACGTTTAAAACTCAAATTATAGTAAAAGGACTGCCTATTATATTCCACAATTTCCTCTTAAATTAGAATAAATTGAAAAGGTACAACGTGAGTGAGATATGACAGTGAAATTACTGGGTACAGAAGCATGACACCCTAATCCTCAGGAATTTCAACCCGTGAGTATCAAGGACATCACTGTATAAGTGTATTTTGTATTGACCACAGCGTCATCATGGTTACTATTATTCTATAAATATATTTCACAACTTCTCCCAGTTTAAATACGATAATATTAAAATATATATTATTCCTTCATAATAATTCGATAATTTGACCGCGCATTTTTCACCGATGGATATCGATACTAGTTTCCCTGTGTTACTTTTCCCTTTTAATTTACACTATTTTATCCTTGTATATATAACATACTACTGACTACTACTAGATACTACCTTGTATATACTATTTATAAAAACTTTCCGCTATTGTTCCAATAAATCCTTTAAACAACTGTCTACGATCATACAAACAAATTATCAATTATGTCATCATCATATTTACATAGGATCACAGCCTGTGATGATACCTCGGTTCACACAGGACGGTTGGTTACTCTAGTCAGCGCTGTCATTTCGATAGAGTACCTACTGCGTGCTCTATTGTTGGTCTCCAATCACACTGCCGGTCTGTTGGCACACAGTGTGATGAACTGTACCTACCTACAACCTATTCTTTCATATCTTTCACATATGTTCCTATTTATATCGTTCAATGTTTATATAAACAATTTCTTAACACACCAAAACTACTGGATACATGTCTATCTATCTTCATGCCAAGTCCATTGTGGATAAACAAAAAGAACCAGGTGCGAAAACCAAAAGCTAAAGGCTCTTTTGTTTCATATACTTATTCGTGTATTATCTCAAGCTTGCACACCAATTCCTAGGACCTATTGGCTTTTCTCTCAAATAGAACTAATTCTGTCTCATTATTATAGGTTAGTCTAGGTCTCCCCTGGTGCCTGCATACTTTCACTTACCCTTTGTTTACTTATTTATGCTTTATACATTATTTTTTATATTTAAATGAGATTTAATACTACAACTAACAAGTTATTTTTCAATCATTTTCCGCTCTTAGCGTCGTACATTTGTCGTGACACTGAGTTATTTCATACATTATACGTAGATAGGTAGTATAGGATTGTTGGTGTACCTTTGTTGTAAGTAGACTGCCCAGGTGATCGTGAAATTTAAATAGGAACAGTAACAATGTCCCAAGAAAACATGATTTAACTGAATATAATATGGACTTATGAAGTCTGGAGTATTTAAAAGGAACGTTAATACAGCTGACGGAGAAACATTCTACTTAAATGGTTCGAAAAAAATTTGAATCTTCATAAAAATAAAATAATTATTTAAAACTTAAAATGGACACTAGATTCTGTAATTCCTATCCAATATGATGACAAACTCAACACGATTTTGGTTTTAATGTACCTATCACGCAAATTAGACAGAAATCAAATGCGAATTAATTACAATTGATAGAAATTAAAATCAATGTTGCCACCATGGTATCGTGCACGCACGACGCCACCGCGGCTGTCAAGTGGCGGGGCGAGGGACGTGTGGGTCCGGCAGCGCACGCGCAGAACAAAGGGCGCGCCGTGAACCGCGACCGTCGCGCTTCGGTACACCGAGCCTCGCACACACCTCGACATGCACCACGTCCTGATTTTTTTCTAGTCATTCTTCTGACCCTGAACATGCAAATACCATCCCAGTTTTGGGGGAAAATTGGAATGCCGCTAACAAATTCCGAAACTGATTCCATCTGGGACACATTGGCTACATGATATGGAAGCACATTTTATCATGAGGGTATTTCAACTATAAAACGATTCTATCGATATTAATATAGTTTTACAAACATCAATCTATTGACATTATATTGAAACATTTGTATATTACTCATAATCATATCTGAAACTTGCTGAAATTCATAACTTGCAAAGATATTATTAATTTTATTAAATATGTATTTATCTTTATTTTCAGGAGGCTACACAACAGGAGGGCCCCGCGAAACAAACGCCTATGGGTATACAGAGGCAACAAGTGGTGCGGCGGCACCAGCGTCGGCGCCTGCGCCCGCGGCTGCCTCCCCTCTCGACGAGTACTACCAGCCGGAGTACCCGCCTGCGCCCCCAGCGGCCCCCGCTCAGCCCTACCTCGAGGACTACTACCACCACGCACACACGCACACGCAGCCCTTGCTCACACACGAGCCAAAATACCAACCACATACGTATACGAAACCATATCCCAGAGGCAAGTTAATTCTACATTTGATACATTTTAGAATCCTGAACAAAATACGACGATACTTCAGGCTAAATCAACAGCCATATAATTCACAGTTGAGATCATGCATGAAGAACTGCTCGTACTTCTAGAATGGTTCTATAGAGGCAAACTATCCATATGGAAGAGACATTCTCATGTTGTGTTATCAATCCTGCGTTCATCAATCATATTCTGAAAAATACCGGCATCATACGATCAACTGAAGAATTCTGATCAAAATTGAAGAAAAAAATCCTATCTTTGATTGCTTGAACTTACTTACTCTAGCGGGACAATGAGGTCACATATCGATATGTTATTAGAAAAATCAGGTCTACCTCCCTACCTGAGATCTACTAAGGTGGTAGACCTTTCTCTCTAATAGGTCTGCTAATATAGGATTTAGATTTATCCTATGCAATAAGCATGCCAGGTATATTGCATGCTTATTGCCATACCTGTATCACCTAGGATTATACTATAGGTATCAAAAACGGTTTACTGTCAGACTGGACGCCTACATAATTATTATTTTCGCAGTATAAATAAAAAATATAATTTGAAATTCTGTAATTTTTTCAACTCAAAATCGCAAACATCAAGTTCGTAAAACTTCTTTTTATGCGGGAGTTGTATTTACACAAATTGCATTATTACATTCAATAAAAGAAACCGGAATTATGACAGTAAATTGTCAAAATTTAACTAACGTTCTCAACAAATTCTAGACATGAGGCGCTTAAATGATCTTATTAAGGCATCATGAAACTAAGGCGATTCAGTTATAAAATTTAATGATGCCAAAACAATGTTACTTGGACCGAAATAACATCAATTAAGCGGTACCAATTAGTAACCGGTCGTGTCGTGAAAAAAGCTGCGTGAGAAACATGACACGAAAGATTCCACTCAACTAACGACTCTGTATCTTGAAATTGTATATCTTCACCGATTTAGCAATGCCATGTGCCTTTTTGTAATTGTTAGAAGGGTTTATTAAAATCTTGTTACATTGTCATTATAATTAATTTTACTTTTGCCATCATAATTTCCTACACAATAGTAATTAAGTCATCTTAAATTAAGTACATATGCTTTATGACGCCGGCTTACCGAATAACTACCGACTGTGTCCACGATGTGAACTACATAAATCTAGATACGTAATTACACATGGTGAAATCGAAATCATTACCCTTTTAGAAACTTCCGAAATAACAATAGAGCCTCTAAATTTTTACCGTTTTTAAATCAAATTTTTTTGGGAAAATATTCGTTTGCCTAAACAGAACACTCCTTTAGACGAAATAGATTTTGTGTCGCTCTATATAGACCGATACAGCTTTAAGTTCGCGTACCTACTATTTTTACCCAAGGAACGATCAAAAGAGTAAATTTTTCAAGTGCTATATGAAAATATATATAGATATCGGGTATTATATAAACAAGTTTATCCAGGTTTAAGGTACTTTGCCTCACTTAAAACACGGTGTCGATGTATCTTAATTGTGGGAGTGCGTCAAGTTACATAACAACGATATAATATAAATTTAGCGGCTGTAAACTTTCAAAACCTTACGAAAATTATTTTACTTAGAAATGTTATACTCGAAATATTTATGATTCTATATATATGTAAACTCGTTTTATTTACGATTATACCGTTTATTATTTAATTTTTATCAAATAATAATATAAATAAAGTTTAACAAAGGTCTGTTATTGCAGGTGGCGGTGGAAGGTACGGTGGCGAGGGTTACGGCGAAAGTTACGCGCCGGAGTACGGCGGCGGGTGCGCCGAGTGGGGCGAGTGGCCCGGTGAACAACACGCCCTCATACCGCAGGACAAGCTTGCGTACCCCGCATCAGGACCATGTTTCACTGGTATGTAGTAGATGCGTAATGGTCCGTAGACGATCAAGCCGTCTGAATCCATTCGTAGATTTTACCGCTTGATGTACACACCAAGCTGCAATCAAGCTTATAGAATAGATATATTTATTTTCTTTTAACTTTAATACCTATAAATTTGGAGTCTAGACACTTTAACACTTCGTTGAGTATATTTTATAATAATATTTCTGTCAATGACAAAGTTTTTATTATTGTCTTACTCTATATAAATATTATGTTGTTTTTTTTTTATTCCTTACATCACAAAGTATATAATACGTTATACTAAGTTTATATTTCATTTATTTCGTACCACTTGACCGTCTATGAACCTTTTTAGAATCATAGATATAAGCAGTAATATTAAAAGTGGATGTAGACCAAGTTAACAAGCACGTATTCTCTCCTTCACCAATGTTTATTTAATATAAATCTACTAAGAGACAACTAACTAACAGCAATATTTAGTTCACCATCATCATATCCGACGTTAACTGTCCACTGCTGAACATAGGCCTTTCCCTTTCTTATTACTTAATTGCTAAACTGGAATTGAGAATAATTTTGTGTGATAGATAGATAGATAGATAGATAGATAGATAGATAATTTATTTACATTACTTACAGCACACAAATTACAAAAAAAAAAACATACACGTAATACACAGCAAAAGAGACAAAAGAATAAAAATAAAAAAAGCACAAATGAAAAAAAAATACAAAAACAAAATATATAATCTAACAATCTCCTTTGTTACCATTCCTTCATGCGTGTGCCATAGTAACACAATTTACAAGTAACACAATGATAATTTCTAGCTCTGGTACATAACTCTTTGACCGTTTAGCCTAAATCTGATCGTACATTATATACACCTACCTACAAAAAATATACATAGAAAGAGTATCATGAGGACAATAGCTCATCAGTTTCTTCACCTTCGTTCAAGTTAATATAAAGAATATGTCGTATATCGTAAAGCAACTGTGTGCTATATGTGCAGGTTCAGGCCCAATCCAGCTGTGGCAGTTTCTGCTAGAGCTGCTCACCGACAAGAGCTGCCAGGGGTTCATCTCATGGACTGGAGATGGATGGGAATTCAAACTTACCGACCCAGACGAAGTAAGTGGCTTGACATAAAAAACCCCCACTGTCACGTCTTATTTTTTGCATCTTGCTGTAGTGTTTTGAGTTTCCTGTCTTAAAATTTTACTCATGCCGCTTTGCCAACTTAACTTCACAACCAGTTACCAACAAAAAATATAATCCAAAAAATCTGGATAACGATGACACCGAATTCATTTTATATAACATTTATTAATATTTATTTATTTATAGGTATATTTAGTAATATGTATCTATTATGTATTTATTTATGTAATATTGAAAGGCACCAAATAATTTATGGTTTTATAAATTATGAAGATACATATCTTCACGCAGCACTTTTAGTTAACGAAGACCTTTTATCATGTTTTTTTCCGCAAAATTGGTTAACTGATCCATATTTATAAAAACACTATGTCATGATAATCCCTTATGGACTCCCGCAATACAGGTTCGCCTAGTGCGGGGTTCAATGTACTCATGTTGTATATTTCTTATGTTTAATTAATAAATAAATAAATTGCATGACGTAGTTAAAACTGATACAAATTTGTGATTGGATAATAGTGAAAGAAATCGTTTCCATTTGCAAAAATCACATCTGGTAACCCAATATTCATATCTACAGGCGATGGTTACAACTTTTCACCGTATGTACCGCAAATTTGCCTTTGCTGTTTCCAATTATATAAATTTTTTTTTAAATATTTTCTGTCATCTAGGTGGCGAGGCGTTGGGGCATTCGTAAAAACAAGCCGAAAATGAACTATGAAAAACTGTCGCGTGGTCTGCGCTACTACTACGACAAAAACATTATCCACAAGACGGCCGGCAAACGTTACGTCTACCGCTTCGTCTGCGACTTGCAAAGCTTGCTCGGGTAAATGTACTCTGTTATTATTTCCAGACTGAATTTCATAAAGAGGATATCAATTTAACTATATTTTTATTTTAGTATGTTGGAAGATATCTTCGTCAATGTTTATTATGATTTTTTTTAATAATCTAAATAATAGTAATTTAATCAAGGTTGAAGTAACTTTAATTAAACTAAATTTTATATCATTGATATGATAAATATAAACCATCATCTTCATTTGTAAATAAAATTTTAAAAATATCATATTATAAATACCTGCCTATTATTGTTTATATATCTAATTTTGATATTCTCTCTTTTTTCTAGGATATCTCCGGAACAATTACACGCTATGTATGAACCCAAAATGGAGAAAAAAGACGACGACTGAGCAACTCTTGCGCGTCTCGATCGCAATTCACTTCCAATCCACGGCGATCGTCACTCACAAATATGTACTAGTTGAGCTCAGGCAGCGAGATCAATATTAAACACTCTGATGTCATAAAAATACCCTTCACATAGTAATGTCCGTACGCGTTGTGTTCCTTTACCTTTATACACATATATTTTATAGTGAAATAAACTAAGAATTATGTACATGAAAATATTATAATGATGAAATTAAAAGAGCTGCTTTATGGAAAAGTGATCACATAATTATATTTTTTTTTTAAATTGGCAATATAATATCTACTTTTCTCATATTATTTCTAACCATAAACAATCACTGAGATTCCAATTAAGAAGTGAAAAAAAAAATTATATCTATCAATGTTACTTGTCACACACGATCTGTAGATAGAAAACATTTAAAAAATTCCTACAAACGATATTTCGCGCCATAAATTCAGTTAACAAGAACATTAATAGAACGTAACAAATATGTTTATCTACCACTAATTATGGTATTATTCTTAAACTCATATCAAATAGCCATTAAAGTATATTTCGTAACGATGTCGAATTTGATCTCATACACAACCACCAGTGAAATATTTTTAACTTTTTTACTAACTACACTACGGCCAAATCAGTATCCTTATTATGCCTTATTATATGGACAGACAGTCTGTATTACTCGTATACTCACATTTTATATTGATTCTTTAAATCTTAGTACCAGAAAGACCAATGGTGCCTTATCACAACTGATTGTTAATCATTTTTAAATAAAAAATAAATATTATTTGCGTCTCGTTTGAATCATCCAGTATTTAAGAGGCAGTAACTTCTTATTAATAATTTCAAATTCAACTGTAGTTATGTACCGAAACCAGGTACATTGCGAAACTGAAATTATCGAAAAAAGTCAACGGGCGAAACTATTTAGTGTTAAAATAGTAAAATTCTGCTATAATTTTACAATAACTGTAAATATAAGTTAATTTTGTTACTTTATAAAAATAATTAGGTATTATATTATAATAGGTATTAAGTGTTGTATGTTTGATTGGCAAATTGTTGCAATATGCGGTTAAATAAATTCATAGATAGGATGATGACGGACATAAAATTGTTTCTTTAGTTACAATTAATATTTGTAAAGTCCAAAGATTTTCAAATCAATATTGTATACCTATTCACTAATTGGTAAAATGTGGAATTACCAAAGGACTTTGTAATCGTGTAAATTCTAAAATAGACACATACCTACCTGTACTTTCCACCTGTACCCGAATTACTTAATGTTTGTTATGAAGGTGATGAAAATTTTATCTGTGTCATGATGCATATCTTATAATCAAATTGTTAAGCAACACCGGGTGACGTCATTAGTCGCTGATCTCGTGGTAAGGGATTGTAATGTCTTACTAGTTATGAAATTAATTAGTTGTATTATTTTCAATTTTTATAGATCCTAGCATACACCGAAGATATTTCGATAAGTTTATTTTGTAAAGTATTTCTCCATCAATATCATACTCTTTTTCTTGTCAAGTGCAATGCGTTCGGTAGGATAAATTATAAGGAACTTTTACATTATTTGTCGAAGGTGCTCTATGTTTCTGAACACAATATAAGAATAAATTATAAATATCGTCTTCCCTGTCAATTAATTTTAGGTCCGTTCCCTTGTAAGGTACAGTGACTTCTATTCGGTCGCCATTTAAGTAAGTACACATTAGTTTCCAAACTAACATGTTCATTGGTACAGAGTACTGAATTGTGGTATCTATGTTTTATTAATATAAAGATTTTAGTCGCGCTCTGAAACAACAGAGAATAAGATATGGAATAAGTGATGTATGTGCCGCATATTCAGGCTTTCCCTTTACATAAAGCGTTGCATGCATATCTGCATGTAAATTATTCGATGTATGTGTAAACCTGAATTCCACACAAACGCCATTACCAAGTGATACCTATTTGTAGTTACGGCCAAATTTTGAATGTATAAGTGTCGTTGTATGTATTGATGGAAGATATAAATTTAAATATATATATTTACGAAATCACTTGTTTTTTTTTTTAAACGCTCATTAGATCCAATCCCAAAGTTTTTATTCTGATTACAATTCAAGCTTCAAGCTAATTTTGTGTACTATCTATTGCAATTAGAACTAGTTATACAAAAACTATCCCAGACCGCTTTCTGTATTGCAAACTGCTATTAATGATAAGAATCCCGGCCATTAGTTCATTTAATTACCACAACGGTATTAATAGTCTTCTTTTTTTATGAGTGATGATGAAATAAGTGGTAATCTCGCTTGCACTAGTGATATACGATGGCGGTATACCAGTAAGTGATGATAGTTAAGGATGAAATCGGTTGGCGTATATTAATTAAACCAGGTCGATCGACGAACATCACAAACATACACAATGACGCCCATGGAATCGCTCATACGTTGCATTCCAGAGGACCAGTCACAATGAATGATCATCACTGGGCTCGTAGCAGCGATTGATAATTAATCATTTCCGCCTCATTTAAAAGTAAAACATGTGTCACAGCCTAAGTATAGACTTAAGAAATTGATCATTTTTAGAAAAGTCGTAGAGCCCTACCAATATTAATTAATCCTCATATCAACTGTCATAACTGGTCATACGCAAACATTGATACTATTGCTAGCGGAATTAAAATAATTCTAATCAACAAACCAGCAAAAGTTTATGCTTCTTACAGTCTGTATAACTTAATTAATATCAAGAGTTTTAAAAAGAAAAAGTTACGATTATTACTCCACAGTAGCAAAGCAGTTGTGTTTGCATGACTGTGTTTCGGTTTGAAGGGTGGGATATGGCGTGAATTTACATGGTACAGAGGAATAACACCTGAGTCCTCAGGATTGGCAACGCATGGGGGTATCATGGGCGAAACAGTATACTCTGATATGTCCATGGTACTGCTCATGTCTATAGGCGACGGTTACCACTTTCCATCAGGTGGGCCATCTACTTGTTTGCCATTCTAAGTGTAAAAAAAAAACAGTGGAAAGCAACAGATTGTTTAAATAAGGTTCTATTCTCGATCAGAAAGATTCAACGTTGTCTAAATAGGATCAATTTTAGATAAATAATAAATAGATAAACCAGAGGGAGGCTAAGTACCAAAGTTTTTTTTTCTACAACACAGAGGGCAAACGAGCATGCGGCTGCATGAGAAAGAGATGAACTGCGCAGAGATGTTGCATCTCTGTGCATCTTCTAGCGAATTTATCATGGGGAATGCTCTGAGGAATTATTCGAATTGATACTTGCTGCTGATTTTCACCACCGTACAACCCACCATAAACTAAAGTTTCATCCCAATCATCTGGACGAGTGGTGGTCTTCTACCGTGCGTTTTTCAAGGCACTTTCTTCCACGCACAACCGCTCTTTGAAATCGGCTTCCAGCAGCAGTATTGTCGAACCCATAACCTTCAAGAAAAGAGCATATTCCTTTTTAAAAGGCCGGCAGCACACCTGCTATGTCGTTGGTGTTGCGGGTAATCATTGGCAGCGGTAGTCACTTACCATCAGGTGGGCCGTCAGCTTGTTTGCCATTCTAAGTTGCATAAAAAAATCATATATTCTAAACTATGCCTCTAAATGCTCTTTTTCTAATTTCGAAACTTGTTTTAATATCATACTATCTTGAAAATTAGACGCGCCGTGTTCAAGAAGCTCCAGATGTAGCTTTAAAATTATGATCATCATTTTAAGGCAATGTTCTACATAAACAGATATTTCTTAAAAAATCTTCAATTTCTCATTAAGAAATTGACTTTACATAATGCTTATGATTATAATTTCATCTATACAGTATCGCAAAATTTTAAAATAAAATATAAACCTAATTATGGTATTGTTATAATTTTTGTATTAAATCTCTCGTAAAATTAGTATTAAAGTATATTCTAAATTTAAACTATTAAAGTATATAGTTACTGAAGAGATTTATCTCAAAATACAAATTAATATATAGATATATTTATTATATTGTTATTGTCCGGATGTGTAGATATATATTTGTCGTTTCTAATACGGAAATAAAAAATCTTAATGTCAATCATTATTCAGTCCCAATATGACATTGGTTTAACTGACAGTAAAATTGTCAATGTCAAACAACCTGATTGTATTGTTAGAACAAAGTTAGGTTATTTTGAAATTACGACACTTTTATAAATATTTTATTAAATTAAAAAAACAACAATGAAGTTATCTCAAGTTTTAAATCGACAACATATTGGTTTTATGTTTAAAAAGCATTGGCTCGTGCAGGGTAAACGCGTACCTATAGACACTGGAGTTGAGGAAGTTTTGCGAGCAAAAGGCATTCCTGTTGAAGATGCCCTCGAATTTGTTAAAGAAAAACCCGAACCAAGAGAACGGTATTTTGTTCTTTAAATTTTTGTAATAAAAATTAATTTATTTATTTTTTTTTTGATGTGTTCATAAAATGCAAAACTCAGATTATCATTTGTTTCAGCATCAATATAGTAGGCCAGTACGAGCAACCATTACCATTAGATCAAAACCATCCAGACTATAAAGAAAGGCCTTGCTACACACTTAAAAACACAAATGTTCTGCTAGAAGGTATTGCTCAGGCACAAGTCATTACCAAAACAATACTAGCTGAAGACAAGTTGCCTCAAAAAATTGAAGAGCTTGCAGAAGTTGTGGCCCCGAAAACTGTTCATGATGGTGTAAAAAAGGCCATTTTATCTGCTAATGTTTTTGACACAGAACAGAAAAAATTGCCTAAAATAAAAGATCCTGAGAGACCAGCTTATAATTTCCCTAGAATATTGGGTATCACTGATAGAAGACGCAAGTAAGTTATTCTAAAATATTATAAGTATTATTCTAAAATGTTGTAATAAATAGACTTTATACTTATAAAACAAGCAATAGACACACTTTTTTTTATAAATTTATATTGTATATAGAGAACTGAACCAGACTAATACAAACATAGACCATTTTATGTGAAACAGTAAGTTACACTGCTACACCCACATGATTGTCAAAATTATTATTTTAAATAATTTCCTTTGCAGCCAAATACTAACAAATAAAATCCTTCAACTAGTTGAAAGAAGCAGTGACACAGAAGCTACTTTGTCCAAATATGTAGTAAATGATGTTGAATGCAAAACTGTATTTGATAAGGAAGATGATTTGATACAGTTTCAAGATGTTTCAAATATATTGGTAACAAGTAACAAACCTCTCACTCATGATACAGAGAAGGATATACCATTTGTTGAGATACCAGACTTATATCCTATAAAACATACCATTACTATGCCTCCAGAACATTTTTATACAGAAACTAGTAAATACCGTAAGTCTATACTATTTTTTATTAATTTATAATTACCCATTGTATGCTATTTTACTCATGTTACTACTACAAAACAGATAATTAGTTTGCCATTACTATAATTGTTAGTAGAAAAATAAAAAGTAATCCTTATTATTTCATAAAACCTATGAAATTTAATTTTAATGTCAAGAACACTCTTCCATTGGAGCCAGAAAGAGGCTTGGTACAAAGTTACATGGGTACTTTTATCTAACTCATCTTACATTTTGTAATTTTGATTACAAAATGATATTACTCATTAATACTCTTTTTATTTAAATATAATTGTCCTACTTAAAAAATCAATTACAATTTTTTAAATATTTATGATGAAATATTTTCCTAATTTTTATTGAGTAAATCTAGAGGTTGGCAACCCAATGGATTTGTTAAACCTTAAATCACATATTATATTAAAAAGTGCACACATTTTTAGCAATTCGACCTACTGTAAGCATGAGGCATCCTCACACAACATGGCTGCATTTCAACAGTACTGAAGTGAACAACATCTATGAAACACCTGTCACACTACCACAGATCTTGGGCAGGTCGCTCACACATGCATTTACTGTGGCCACGTCTTATGCCAAGCAGTTATATGGGGTTTGTATTCATACTATCAATTTTGGAATAAATTTATCCAAAAATTAATAATATAAGTTCTATATTACCATATACTATGTATATAGTAACTTTAAAGTTCAATATGTTAAAAATTGCTGCTAAACTACCTAAATCATTTGATTGTACATATTAAATACTTGCAAATAATATTTCAGGAAAATGTCAAAGATCTACCAGAACCAGTGTACATCAATTGTATACAAACAGATGGACAAAACTATCATTTTGGTGTACTAGAACTGAACACCCTAAATCTAGATGGCAAGGAAGGTGCTACTAATGTATGGTACTGCAAAAATAATCTTAAATTGTATGACTCCAGCAGATATTTTAGTGGCATGCCAGTACTTGAGAATTATAACCCAAAAGTGTATGGATATATTAATGCATTTTACAATTGTTAGTATTTGTTAATAGGTAAATTTAAACTTGATTAGTTTAATAAATATATATGAAAAAATACTTTCTTTTTAAAAGTTTAAATAACCTGGCAATTATTGTTATAGAAATTATTATTAAAAAATAAATATATTTCAATTTTAAACATAATTATATTTATTAATGATGTAATGTAGAAAATATTGTCATTTATAAATTTTCACACAAAGCAGAATCAAGTTTTTTTTAGTGGGTAATAATGGAATGGCAACCCCACCCGCGCTATCGGTATACACCGGCGGGGCACCAGTGAAGGGTGAGGATGAAGCAGGTCAGTTAGCCCATCATGACGAATTCATCAAGAATTGTTCACGATAGTTTCCAGGGGGGACCACGTGGAGGTCGACCTAATAGGACATATTGCTAGCAATGAGGCTATCAAGCTCCATTTGCCAATAATCCCTTTCCCCCCATCAGAATAGAGTTATAGTGGTAGACAGTTTTAAAAAAGTTTTTTTTTTCTGTTGCATATATTTTTAAACATTAGTTAAAAAATTTTGGTTCACCTGTATTTAGTTTGTTATTTATATACTAAATTCACTTGAATTACTTAAAAAAATAACCACTTTAATATTTTTATAGAAAGTTTATTACCTACCTACAATTACAATAACCAAATCGATGTGTATACTACACACTGAATTTAGAGCACAACATTGTGCACTGCCTGCCCAGGAATGGATGCGTCTTGATACATTAGCGAGGTTTGGATAGTAAAAGAGAGAAAGGGAAGAACATGGTACATTTATGGAGCAAAAGACCTGCTCCTTCTTTGAAATTGTTAAAACAAATTGGAAGATCTATTTTTCTATACTTCACGCAATTAAAGAACAATCCTAGTATGGTTTTTTTTTATTAAATTTTGTCATTTAAAATAAACGAGACAAAAATAATATATGCAAAGAGTTAATTTAAATATTTGTCCATTATATACACTATTATTTCAATAAAAAGACATACCAAGATTGTGCTAATAATCGTGTCGAATATAGAAAAACAGATTACATATCAATGAAGCTAGAGAATTCGCGACGCCTGTTTAAAAAAAATTAACAATGTGAAAAAATAAAGTATCGTGTTATGTATTTATGTGTATATCCCATTATATTTACAAGAACATAAATACATTTATTTGATTAGAATACACAATGCTTACAATACCGAAACACTTTGTACATTAAATAATGGTAAGTCAGGAAAGGAACGAAAATTTATCCATTATCAACAAGCTCAATTATCGATATTAAATTTCTGTAGTCGACGTCTTCTCAGTTCTTCGGCGTCGGCATCAGTCTTGTCTCTGAAAAAAAAAACATACATACTCTTTATTGTTCCCTCCAAAACATTACAATAGTAAACTTATTATAAATAGATATAAACAATTACAAGAAATATTTACACTGAGAAAACAATAGGCGGCCTTATCGCTAAAAGCGATCTTTTCCAGGCAACCTTTGGATAGACAGGAGTATTTATAAACATTTTGATTGGAGGCATGATTATTTTTTTTTTTATTTTAAATGCATATAGAGATGAAATATATGCAATAATATAAATGTATATTCCTACTTTCTATTAAATACATTATATAAAAAAAGAACTATTAGTTAAATGTAGTTTCAATAACCTATTTACATTACCAACCTACTAGAACTATCAGGTGATGCGTCGTTAGGTGTTTGTTCGTCTTGCTGTAGGGTTGTCTCTGGCGAGGGTGGCCCGTGCTTATGATCCGACGTGGTCGTCACTACATCTGGTTCAACCCTCACATTCGATGTAGATGGTTCTGGCGTAGCTTCTGATTTACTGCAATTTTAACATTCATTGTTATCACTATACTTGCAGTATGCTACTGTAATATAAATTCCTATAAAGTATGATTAACATTTTAAATAAAAAATTTTTTTAAGAGTGATAATGAAATGGTAACCCCGCCTGCGCTATTGAGATACACTGGCGGGACACCAGTGAGAGATGACAGGTGAGGATGAAAACGCAGGTCAATTAGCCCATCGTGACGAAATCTACTAGAAATAACCACGATGATTTCCAGGGCGAACCGCGGTGAAGGGTGTATTGCTAGCAATGGTTCAATTAGACCCCCATTACTAACAATCTCTTTCCCCCCTGCAAGTCTCGATTATAAAGGCGCTGGGGACCCTTTTTTTTCATTAACTATATAGAAAATATATAGAAGAATTTTTTTTCTTTTTATCACTATCATTACTAGTCATTGTATACTAGGCTTTTAACGAAACATCGCCTTCGGTGTTTTATTATATCCTGGATCAAAATATGTACTTTATTTCCTAATCCAAACAGGTTACAACTAAGATAAAAATAATCTTTCCTTACGGTGTTTCTGTTTGAGTGCCAATAGTAACGCTATTCTGTGGTAGATTCGCCACGACCGCCGAGTACTGCTGCATTAGAAGTACGGACGCGTCCAACATAGCTTGAATCTCTCGGAGCAACTGTAACAAATGGAATATGAAAAAAAAACCTATAGTATACTCACTCAAACGTTGAATATTTATTTATTTATTTTATTTATTACATCAACTGGATGAGCTTTACAGTCTTCCATTACGCTTACCCAGGAAAGCATCAGTACAATAACATATATAAAAAAGGTTTAATACACATAAATAAAAGGAATAATATAAAAAAGATTTCACTAGAAATAACATTAGAGCCTAAATCTCTAAACACAAACACTGTGTGGTCATCTGACGAAACTCCAGCAAGTTGGAGGCAAATACATCCAATTGCGGATACCAGCTCAAAATATCATTGAGTAGTTTGAATGCAAGAAATAGGGGAGCTTGTTTAGCCATACTAGCCATATTATGTGTACATACATTATAGTAGCAGAAGTAGTTAATTTGCAAATACACATAGTATCCCATAAATATAGGACACATATGCATGATCTTAGGGTACTACTATGAGTGGCTCGCTAGATGGCTATGTGGTTTAGGGTTAAAATAGGCTTCCCCTTCCTCTCCTGTTAGTGTCGTAAGAGGCGACTAAGAGGGCGAAAGATGGGCAGCAACGTCCCTCTTAAAACATCTCGAAAGCCTAACTGCGACTGCCAAGCGTGGCAACTACTGGCAACCCCAAAGGGGAAGCTTGTATTCGGCAGTGGACAGTTAAAAGCTGATACGATGATGATATTACAGTATGAATCTCAATAGTTATTATTCAACAATATCAATTTGTCAGTCACTATCGGAATAACTAAGAAATTATTTCAGTAAATTGCAATATAATTTAATGGGAATTTCCGCATTTGAATTACCTGTAGCCGGGCCTCGATGTTTCTACGTTCATTCCCCTCCATGCGCTGCAACTCGCCGGTGGTGAGGTTAGCAAGAGAAGCGGGTCGCGGCGGTGGCGGTGGCGGCATGCCCCACGCCATCATAGCTGCAAACAAACATATGTATCAGGGATGACATTTGGATATATTTTGAATCAGCTGGACTCCAAGTACGCAGTAGGAGTCGGTAACTGAAAACTGACAGTTTTCGATGCAGACAATAATGTAATATAACCTTTATTTGACAATACAAAACTCAGTGCACAACCTTATAGAAACCAAAAAAAAAATTAATAAACAAAGTTACTTTTTTGTAAAGAAAAGCTATAGAATTATAATACTCTCTCAGGCAGACCTTCCCATGGTCTTACCTGGTAACTATCATCGTTAATTACGTAATTTCCTCACCTACCGTCCCTCACTGGAACCCAATAATACTATTATTTTATTATCATCAATTGGAAAAAGTAACTCACGTGGTGGCGGCATATTGGGGAACGGTGGAGGTACAGCTGTTCCAGGGGCGGGTTGCGAGGGCGGTTGATGGGGCGCGGGTGTAGGCGCGTGGGGCGGGCGCGCGGGGCCGGCGGCGGGCGGCGCGGCGCCGGCGCCGGCTGCGGCCGCGGGCGCGGGCGCTCGCAACACGTTGAGGCGGCACGTGGGACACGTCTGCTGCCGTTGGAACCACAGCCGGAGGCACGCCGCGTGGAATATATGGTTGCACGGGAGCTTCTTTGCACCTGCTCGAGATTAGTACGAATTATTAGTTTGCTAACATTGCTTTTTCACCAAACTATCTATAAGGTATTAAACTTTACAAAGAGTCTAAACAAAAAAAATATATAGATAAGCATAAACAATAATAAATCCACGAAAATAATTATAAATCTTTATAGAATTTAACTAATCAATAGATTTTTTTTAATATTTATATCGGACAATCATCTTCACACTTGTTTTCGATATTAATTATTAAAAATAATAATAATAGCAAGTGACCAACTGAATCAACATAATTCATAGTTTCATTAAATAATATACTATATATCATTAACAATACGAACTAATTCAGAATGGTCTTATTACGTAAAAACATGTGACAAAGTTTCTTCAGCACTGACTTACGTCTTATATCACGAAAACAATCTTTTTTTTATTCTTTAAAAAGGTATTGTAGTAATAGTTTGTAAGGTAGACCGCATGTTATGAGAAACTAGGCAACAAACACCTTGGGAGACAACCAGATCAACCAGGTCCAAGCTAATTAAACTATGTTTTCTAAACTAACCAAACTAGGAATCGAACCCGGGACGTCATATACGCAAATCAATATACCCGCCATGGAGAATGTCTATGTCATAAAATTATAGTAATGATTTAATCTTATATTTATATTAAATTTTTACCACTATGCATTTCCTCGCGACATATAATACACTCGTTGTCGGCGGCTGCAAGTTCTGCAGCCGTTGCGTCCGGGTACAACGTGTTCATGTTACGTATAGCGCGCCGAGACAAGACCACGTCATTGTATGCTTTTTTAAAACTCCTGCAACACACAGCACATAGTTTTTCCAATGACCTAAACGTTTTAAGTAAATATGTTCTAATTCTGTAAAAACAATTACTAAAGGAAGATTTTGTACAGCTTTCTGCAATGGTATCTCTGTCCCACTCATGTTTTAGTTACCAAACTTGTATAGCAAATTTTTGTTTTAAGGACAAGTGAGAAATTTGAAAATAAAGTACTCTAGTAAATAAAAATAATACATTTCCAATAATAAAAATGGTCACACATGGTGAATACTATGGATGACATTTTATATACTTATTTTGAAACATTGGTCTGTCATATTTATAGGTAACAGAACAGCTGTTATTTTTTTTATTAAGTTGTCTGTCAACTCAACTCTTACTTGACTTTTTATAGTAACATAAGACGCCATTGCTGAATCCTGTATGTATAAAATTGCTCAATGAAACTTTGTTTAAATGAAAGATAAGCGAAAATACAATGCAGTTAGTCACAACCAAATTACTATATCACGTAATGAAGGTGTTTATAATAAAGCTACTTTAAAACTGCAAAAACTTAAGATATATTAAGATTAAAATTCTTAACATTAATTATAAATATAAATTAATTACCTCATTGTCTCATACATAGGTCGGAAGGCAAACAATGGCAAGGTGTAAATTCGAACCATAACAGCAACGAATCCAATGTACAGAAGCACTTTCAGGAAATTAATAGCTAATTCTGTATAAAGAAGAACCGCTGCCTTGCTCTCCCATGGTGCCTCCCATCTTGAGTCAATAGCATGTAGAACATACTATAAAAAAGATAGACTACTGACTAACGTATTTTTGGCTTTTAATATTACAGAAAGATCAATTATAACTCTATATCCTTATAATTAAAGTGAATAAATATACGAGGTTTGTCCGGAAAGTACGTATAAAAGTTTTTTAAAAATTTTATTTTACAATTATTCAGGTAAATCAATTTTATCCCCTTCAAAGTACTCCCCCTGTGACATAATGCACTTGTGCCAACGCCGTTTCCACTGTGAGAAGGCTCCTTGAAAGTCCTCTGGTTGTAGGTTTCTCAGCTGCCCCGTCGTAGCTTTTTTTATCTCATTTATGTCCCCCAAATGCCGCCCCCGAAGTACCAATTTGGTTTTTGGGAACAAGAAGAAGTCACACGGGGCCAAATCCGGCGAATAGGGGGTGTTCGATCACCGTAATGAAATTTTTACTCAAAAACTCACGGACAACAAGAGAGGTGTGGGCAGGGGCATTGTCGTGGTGAAGAATCCAACGCCCCTCTCGCGCCAATTCTGGACGAACTCGTGCCACACGAGCTTTGAGGCGTCTGAGCACATCGACGTAGAATTTTCCATCAACTGTCTGGCCTGGAGGGACGAATTCTTGATGGACAATCCCCCGAACATCGAAAAAAACAATCAACATTGTCTTGACATTTGAGCGGGATTTTCTTGATTTTTTTGTTCGTGGTTCCCCGGATGTCTTCCACTCTTTGCTTTGGGATTTTAATTCGACATCAAATTCGACATCAATTTCACGGCCATTCTTGCCGAGTTTCGAGAGAAACTTGATTACGACGCGCTGCTCTTCAACGGAAGCGGGCTCCATGCCGACGGGGTTTCGTTAAGAGGTAACTTCACAGATGGCGTGACAAGCCAGTTCGCACCGCACGGCGGTCAGACCAGAACTGAAGCATTGTTAGGGACATAAGGAAGGGGTCCTGCGCTTACCTGGCCTCCCCACTCCTCTTTCTCGCATTCCAGAACACTTTTATACGAACTTTCCGGACAGACCTCGTAATATCCTAATAGGTCCTATGCAGGCAAGGAACTATTGTTTATGGAAAACAAAAATCCTAAATCTCATCATCATTTCTTTTCGCAATCATAGTAATAGCATTTCAACAATAATATAACTACAATGATAACAAATTAATTATAAATAAATGTACAATTTTACCATCATGAAGTCAACATAATATCATGTCTGCCATTATTAATTAAAAAACGCCCATTGTATCTTATTGACATTTGACTTCCCATTCTTACAGACTTCTGTTCATTATATTATCTTATTGTAAGGTTTATCTATATATTTAGGTTATTATCTATATATAACAGAACAATAGGGCTGGTTTTTATTATAAATAAATAATATACATAATAGAAGAATAAAATATATGCAATCAAATTAATATTTTTAATTATCTGTCAACAACATCTGGACATCAAAAATTGCACTCTCCCATTATGTGACAAATCAATGCCATATAAAACACATAGTTTTCTATTTGAACAGAAAAATTACACAGAGGATTGTCTCTTGATTATGTCAACCCTTAAATGTACTGAACAAAACATTTTAAAAATAGAAAATAAGGTATAAGAGAATACATACCTTTATCAATATATTCACAATCATAATAATAAGAATGCTATATTCAAAGCCAAATACTAGTTGTACAGATGGCCCTTTGGATGCTGTGAAATGGTATGCATGGTGGATGAAGTAGAAATCAGCATGTGCCAACAGCATCAGCAAGCTGAGAATCCTGACATGAAATAACCACCCAATTACTGGACTCCGCTCCATCTGTGCAAATAATTTTGTCTTCAATATTTATCTTAATTTTATAATAAATTACTTTTTTATTATAAATTTGCAAAATTCTTAAATAAGCTGTAACATAATACAAATACTTTTAATATTAGTATCTTTCAACTCTGATTAATAGAAATCAGTGTAAAAATGAACGTTCTAATCTTATTATTTACCTTGTAATTCATAATTAAAGATCCCACAAAAAAAAAAACTACTTCAACTGTGACAAAACATGATTTCAAAAACTAAAGTACTGAAGTTCAATTTGTAATTTTTTTATGAGACAGATCTGTAAGTATATCCTTTCAAATAAAAAAAGGAATTGCCCAAATCAGCTTAGAGCTGGCAGAATTAGTATAACAAACATAAAGAAAAAATACAATAGAATTGAGAACTTCTTTTTGAAATTGGATAAAAACAGTCTGTAATTATTATTTAAAATAAAATCCTAATCAATGTGGCAGAATTGTGCCTACTGCAGTCACTTCTCTCACTAAATAAATGAAAATTAAAAAATAGCATTTTGGTCTCAATCTCTATATTCAAAATCAAGACCTTTGAGTTCTTTTTCTCAAATTTATTTAAACATGTTTTAAATGCTGAAATATTATAATTAGAGGAGTAGTAAAAACTTTTACACTTACATAGTCAACCCTGTCTTCTGCAAGCCAATGGAATGCCTTCAAGAACAGTAACAATGTAAACAAGGCTATGAATTTTGGATTGAAATCATCTCTGAACACTGTAAATGCCAGGCAAGTCTCTGTGATTGCATACCAAGATCTTTCTATTAAATGCTGAAAAAAAAAGGATTTATTATAATGCAACATGTTCCTTGCAATGAATTTCCACAATAATATAACTACAATGATAACAAATTAACAATAAATAATAACTTTGTGGTATATTTAAAATATATACATATTATTATTTAAAATTACATTTTAAAATAATATCAAATTATGGCAGAAAATGTTAGCTCCATGAAAATTTTATAAAAAATTTGTTAAAGGTTCCTCAATATTAAAATAATAACATTACAGTTGGCATATTATATTATTATTGTAATAGAAACAGATTGTCATAGAGCATAATAAAAAATAGGAGAAAAAATATTATAGTCTCACCTCAAATTCTGCTGGACGTAGTTGACCAAAGAATACCTTTCTCAATAGTTTACCTACCAATAAAACTAAAATAAAAGCTTGCAAGTACATTACCTGTAAAAACAAAAGAATTAATTGGACTTTTATATGAACAATTAATAAAACCAAAATGTTATCAAAACTAAAAACAATCATTTTGACAATAAAAATTTACACACTTTGTACTTTGCACACTTATATGAGTGTACATTAAAATTAATTTTAACAATTAAAAATGGCAAATAAAAATTTGTCAACATAATATATCTAAACTATTTCTTTACTTGACATTTAATAAACAATGTTAACCATGTTTTGTTTATCTAAATTAATTTCAAACTAACTTTTTAAACACTATTTTGTATATATAGATGTAGAGAAATCAATGAAATAGACCATTTCTAAGTTGTGTATCAAAATAAAATATAAAAGAAATTTTAAGTTAGACCTTCAAGAATACAACTTTGAAACTGCATCCAACTTAATACAATAGTTATTGGGTGATACCAGAATAAACATAAAAGCACTTTCTAAAAAACATTTTTATGGCTTCTATTGCTTTTATTAACCACTCACATAATTTTTTTTAAATGTCTCCCATGTACAGACATCATCTAATTAAATATATCTATATTAATAAAATTTTCAATTTGATAATGAGGGTAATAATTTATTTACAATTATATACATCCTTACAAGCCTTACATATGTGATTATTACATTTTATGCACTGTTGTTCCAATAAAAAAAAACTTGTTATATAGTTTATATGTTAAATACAAAAAATAAATTAGGTATTCATATAAAAGAAAAAATGAAATAATATTTTCATAGTAGACATATGTCTATTACAACCCTATTGCACATTTAATTGGAGCAAAATAAAATAATAATAAAATCATCTGTAAAGCATTATTATCTAATGAAATGGAGGAAATATTTATGGATATTGACTGGAAACTAAGCAAGTTAAAGTTTGTATTGCAATGTTGTTATTATCGAAGATTATACACAAGTTTCATAGCACAATGACCATCGGCTTAGAAATTAATATTGAAATTTAAATTATATCATGTAATTACTACAGAATACCGGTAGTAATGAGTATAATATTCATATGCGTCTGCTAACTAATGACGTTTGAAAAGCCCGATTTATACCAGAAAATCTGCAATTGAAAACCAAACGAATGTACTTACAGCCATGCTAGGATTCGAATTTGTTAAGTATACTATTGAAGGATAAAATTGTTTCTTCTGGTAATAAGCATTGCCAATAACGACAGTTGTGAGTGCAAGACTAATTACAGTTGCAAGTATTGCCTTCATTTTCGTGTATTTTTATAGCATCCACACATTAAAATTTACACATATGAAATCCAAAAAATGTCTTAAACACTCCAAAATTGCAACAGTATCAACAAATTCATTTTCAAAACATAGTTTCGTATCATTCGCTGGTAAAAAAACCAATTTGACGTGTTCAATCTTCATTTGTGTCATCAAGTGTCATCAGACATCATCATGTATGACCATTAATGAAAAATAAAAATCTACCTACTTCTTTAAACACACTACTGATAATATTTTTTATGTATTATACTATTATAGCATTTTATTATTTAGCAATATTATACTATATTATTATTATCATTCCAAAAATATAAACTTCTCTTTTGATATGGGTACTTAAGTAAATTCGATATTTAATAAAGAAAAATAATTTTAATTGGAACGTGTCTATTTTCACTATCTTTGGTCTTTAGTAGTTAAGACTCATTCTAACATTATTTGAAGTATGTCAATATTGTCAATCTGTCGATTGACACCTCTAGGTAATATTGTGGTCGATTCCGAGGTAGTCTTTCTCTAAATCTATGTCTAAAATTAAAATTTCAATTTGATATCAAAGCGAAATTTTTATTATAAGAACCAATGTGTACTAATTTTTTAATGAATTTAAGTCAAAACTATTATAGTTTTAGTCTATAATGGTCTATAAAACAGTAATTTCACGAAATTATCAAGTTATAATATAAGATTGGAAAAATTACGTCTCAGAATCGTCCCCAGTGTACCGTATCCAACACAATATACAAACGTACGTTTTGTAATGATTACATTATGTATGTAGACAGTCTCTCTAATCTATGATTATGTACCTTCTTACTCTGTGAACACAAACTAAAGTAATTGTCATTTCAATAAAACAAATGGTGTAAATTCCAGACAATTTATCTTTTTGAAGACTAGGCAGCATGGTCTCCGACCTTAGCCTGTTCCAAACGGAACAAACGTACTAAAAAAAAAAAAAAAAAAAACAAATGGTGTGAAAGGCGGGAAACTCGAATAAGAACAAGCGGGTTTTTTAAATTTTTTTTATTAATTTATTAAAACTATCTCTATCAATTCTTATTATTGAATAAAATATTATATTTTCACTAAATTCAGCGACAGTAATATAATTAGCATTCATGGGGAAGCGCAGTTGTAGAAAAAGGAAAAAAAAAGATGACGATTCAGGTGATGTAGACCATGAACCTTGTAATGACAAGGATATATATTCGGAAGATACTTCTACTGACTCAGAATCTGAAATTGATAAGGCCGATAAGTATAAACCTTACTACGTCACAGATTATATTAGAAGATATCCCGAGGAATCCCCTGGGACAGAATTTGTTGTCTTTGTAGAATCCTCAGATAGTCAGAAAACCATTGGATCCAGAGACTTGCTCTCACTCTCCTCCTGTTTAAAACGATTTAATAAAGGGGTAACTTATCTTAGATCTATAAATAAATTCAAAATCGGAGTATACTTTCAAAAGCCAGACTTAGCCAATGCTTTTTTAAATAATAAAACTTTTTTAAATGACTACCATTTTAAGGCCAGTATTCCTGCTTCTTCAACAGAAGTTACAGGCGTTATTAGAAATGTACCTACAAATATATCTAATAAAAAAATATATACTATGATATCGAGTTCTAAGAAAATTATTGCTATTAAAAGAATTTTAAGAAAAAATACCTTGACTCATGGATATGTGTTACAGCCAACTCTAACCGTGACTATTACTTTTGCTGCATCTGTATTACCTGAATATCTGGATATTGGAGGTTGGCGCCACAATGTCACTCCATATATACCACCAGTTAAACAATGCTACCGGTGCTTGAGGTATGGACATTTAGCTAAATTCTGTAAGAATTCTGAGCGTTGCAGCATCTGCAAAGGTGAGCATAATTATAAAACTTGTACAACTGGAATGGAAAACGCTATTTGTGTACACTGCAATGGAAATCACACAAGTGTATCACCGCAATGCCCTGTTAAACAAAAGAAAATTGCTGAAAATAGATCTAAATTCAGACCTGCTTCTTTTGGAGATGTACTTAGCACTGAAATATTTCCTAAACTGGGTAACAAACCTAAAAAAAATGTAGACCTAATTTCAATTCTAAATTCTGATAACAAGAGTTTATCACTTTTAATAGAAAGCATAATCAAACTTATTTCACTACATAACACAAAGAACACATCTATTAACACTAAAAGTGTTTTGAATGTGTTATATGATACTTTTGGTAATACACCTATTTCACAAAATTCAATCGAGACCAATTAACTATCATACAGTGGAACGCTCAGAGCCTACTGAGCAATCGACATATTTTTACACAATTTTTAAATGAACATCATATTCACATTGCTCTCATCTCAGAAACTTGGCTAAAACCACATTACAAATTAAAAATTAAAGATTATTGTATAGAACGAAATGATTGTGGTAATAACCACAATGGAGTAGCGATTATTATACATAATAGTATTAGATATAAAAAACTTCACTCTTTTTTCGACAATTCTTTGCAAACTATAGCTATTAGTATTGAAGTTAATAATTCTTGGTATTCAGTTGCCAGTATTTACTGTCCTACCAATAGTACACCTAGTTTTACTAAAGCCAAATTTAAGTTCTTTTTGGAGTCTCTTCCTAAACCCACTATCATATCTGGAGATTTAAATGCACATCATACTATGTGGGGTTGTACCTCCACTAATACAAGAGGTAAAGACATTCTTGATTGTTTAGATGAATGTAATTTGGTACTATTAAATGATAAGCAAGTTACTACTGTTGGCTCTCATATTTGGAGACCCAATGGCCTTGATTTAACTATGGTATCCCCATCCATATCATTAAAATGCGAGTGGTCGGTTCATGATGATCCGTTAGGAAGTTATCACCTGCCGACTTTTACTAAAATAAACACAAAGAACTCTTCATCAACTCCGTCAGGTGAACAACATGCTCCTATAGATGAAGTTAATAAACTTTTGTTAAATCGTATAAACCTACGTCTCGTTAATTGGGATCTTTATTCTGAAACTGTTAATCGATTACTTTTGGATTTCGAGTATGATGTCAATGAACCCTTAAACAATTACAATAGGTTCTGTAAAATTATTTTGACAGCTGTGGAACGTTCCGTTCCACGTAGGAACTTATCAAATAGCGGTGCAAATACTTCAAAGAGGCACAAACATATTGCAGTATCTTGGTGGAATAACAGGTGTGCGACAGCTGTCAATGATAGTAAAGCGGCTTACCTTAGGTTTAAACAAAATCCAACTCTCGATAATTACATAAATTTTAAAAGAGTTCAAGCTGTTAAAAAGTTAGTAATTAAGCAAGTAAGACAACAGGGGTGGCAGGAATTTTGTTTCAAATTTAATAGATTAACACCAATTTCCACTGTTTGGCAAAATATGAGAAAACTAAATTCAAAACATCGTCAAAATCATTTTAAAGATATATCATGGGTCAATGATTTTTTACGCAAATATACTCCTGATTTTGTACACTCACCTTTTGATGACAAACAGTTTAATTCTGTTAATTCATGCCCAAAATTTCTCACTGACTCATTCTCAATTGATGAAATATCCAGTGCAGTAAAATCTAGAAAAGATACAGCTAGTGGCCTTGATCGCTTAACATACAATATGTTTCGATTGCTGAATAAAATAAACCTTACTAAACTCTTACAAATTTTTAACGATTTATGGAAGGACTGTATTATCCCACCAGAATGGAAAATGGATTGTTTGATTCCAGTAATTAAACCCGGTAAAGATCCTACAAATTTCGACTCCTATAGACCTATAACATTGACGTCCTGTGCAGGCAAATTATTCGAACAATTAATTAAACAGCGTTTAGAGTTCTTTATTGAAAGTAATAGTATATTACCATCGAATCAATTTGGTTTTCGCCGTGGATATTCAGCGCGCGAAAGTTTAGCGAACTTCTATGTCGACCTTAGTACTGCTTTGAATAACGATGAATATGTTCTATCTGTTTTTTTAGATGTCGTAGGAGCTTTTAACAATGTAAATTTAACAGTTCTATCTTCGATTCTATCCTCATTTCTTCCAATGAAACTTATCGAATGGATTTATAATTTTCTTAGTAATAGAGAAGTGTATGTTAAAGTAAATAGTAAATTAATAGGACCTAGGTTAAGCTCTAAAGGAGTATGTCAAGGTGGTATTTTAAGCCCGCTACTATATATTTTATATATCTATAAACTTAATTCAGTTTTAGGAAACAGTGTGAACAACTTGCAATTTGCCGATGATTTATTAATTTATATAAAAGGAAAGAATATTATTGATATGCAATTAGTGTTAAATGAGTCATTAAAAAGACTTGAGAAATATTTTTCTCTTCTTTCCCTCGATATTAGTTTAACCAAAAGTAAAGTAGTTGTTTTTCATCAAGTTCATAAATATGTTCCATTAATGAATATTATATATAATAATCAAACTCTTCCAACAGACTGTAGCGTTAAATTTCTGGGGGTAATTTTTCATCAAAATTTAAAATGGGATCTATACGTTGATTGCTTAGTAGATCGTGCTTTAAGAGCCACTAATATAATAAGATCTGTAATTGGTCGTAACTGGGGAGCTGATCCTAAAATTATCCTTTTACTTTACAAATCTCTTGTTAGAAGTAATTTTGATTACGCTTTCTTTTGTTATGCCTCAGAACATAAATTAGTAGAAAAACTCGAAAAAATTCAAAATATGAATTTAAGACTTATTTTAGGTGCTATGTATACTTCTCCAATTATCTCAATGCAAGTAGAATGTAATTTGCCTCCTATCCTTCTTCGTTTCGAATACCTAAAACTCAAATTTCTCTTCAAAGTTTTTTCAGTTTCCAATAACCCACTCATACTCAAATTATTAAATTGCCCCATTTCTATGTTTTTGAATAAAACTATTGTCAATGATTTGAATTTACGAGATGAATATAACACCTATAGTAGTAAGATACTTCCTTGTTATAATGGCCTTTATGAGAGTAAGTTCTGTAAGATCAAAATTGTTATACGTAAAGACATAAAAGAAAAGCACGATATGTATGAGACTTTATCAGAATTTATTGACTACAGGCAGATATATACAGATGGTTCCAAAAATGCACTTAGCACTTCAGTGGCTTTTTACGATTTGTCAAATAGATTTGGTCACGGTTATAAAATTTCAACTTTGGCTAGTATTTACACAGCAGAAGCAAAAGCTATATTTTTAGCATTAGAATACATAGAAAAACAGGTACTATATTCGAAATGGATTATAATTACAGATAGTATGAGTGTTCTTATGGCATTAAAAAATAACACATTCATTTCATCATCAAACTACTTAATTCAAGAAATTCGTAATAAATATTATCATCTCTGTACTATATATGGAAAAGATATTATCTTCATCTGGACCCCTTCACATATTGGAGTGTTTGGGAATGAACAAGTAGACACTTTGGCTAAAATTATTAATTCAAGTGCTGCTCGTGTTCAAGATTTACCCCTTTGTTACTCAGATTGTAGTATTGGAATACATAAAATCGTTACAACTAAATGGGAGGAGCATTGGACTCAAATATTACAGACTAAAGGCAAATGGTACCGCAAAATTAATTGGCGTATTGGAAAACCGTGGTTCTGCAAAGGAAAGGACACAAACAGAAAATTTTACACCAATATTTGTAGATTACGAATCGGCCACGGACATTTCAACGAACACCTGCACCGAATGGGCATGATCGCTTCCCCATCATGCACATGGTGTAACTCAAATACAGCCCAATCTCTACATCACCTTTTTTTGATTGCTCTGAATTTGTCATTCAAAGACACATTATGTTTGACGAACTTAGGATTATCTTCAAAAAACCCGAAAATATCCCGCACTCAATCCCGCTTCTCTTAAGATTTCCTTCTTGTTTCAAAGCTATTTTCACTTATATTACTACAACATTCAAGGAGCTATAAGAATACTTTTATTGAATTGCAAGACAATGATTTTTTATAATTATTTATTTTTAATTTGATAAATCCACTGGTTTAAGAAAACTCAAGAAAAGATATTTATGAAAATGTACTTACCGGATTTGACAAATGAAATATTGAAGATTATGACAATAATTGAAGCGACATTAGAAAAATAAAATTCCAGACAAATTATCTTTTTGAAGACTAGGCAGCATGGTCTCCGACCTTAGCCTGTTCCAAACGGAACAAACGTACTAAAAAAAAAAAAAAAACAAATGGTGTTCATTTACATTTGTTTAAATATTGTATTTTTTTAAAAAAGATGAACATTTATAATGTGGTAAATAAAAGATTTTAATAGTGATTTAATTAGGTTCGTATTCTACCTTTTTCGTAAGCAATGATTCCACTTACTTGTAGCTTCATGGCTTGCCGCGCATTGTCCTTCCAATTATAATTATTTTATTATTTTGTGGTAGATTATCTGTAATATGTTATTTTATTTTTATACGAGTAAAATAAAGTTTGTTTATAAACATGTAATAAATAAACTAATCTCTGATTTTATATGTAAATAAATCATTAAACTAAACATTTTATTTACATATGTGGCAATATTCAATGTAAGTCTCATTTACCTCAACACTAAGGTGTTACAAAATTGCAGCAGCATATTTATTGCCATTCATTTTTTCCAGATTCTGTTCTCAAGATAATTATTGAAATAGTTCAAGATTGTTTATTACAAATATGGTAAGTATTTCTTCTTATTTTTGAACTATAATACTATTTTGTCTTAATTTATATCTCTATATACAATTATGTTCATTAGCAGGGTGACGACCCTCCATTTTTACCAGTGGGAACTGATGTTAGTGCTAAATACAAAGGTGCTTTCTGTGAAGCTAAAATAAAGAAAGTTGTACGTAATATTAAATGCAAGGTAAGCATTATGTTTGTTACAGAATATTTATATCACAATTACTTTAAATTTTGTATATAATAGTTACATAAACTTTTCTCATTTATTCCTATGTAAGTGAAATATAAATTTTTTTGCCACTTTCCATCAGGTGGGCTGTCAGCTTGTTTGCCATTCTAAGTTGTAAAAAAAAACCTCTGTAAAAGACAATATTTGTTTTATCTATTTTAATATTTTTTTTTATTTTTCATATCATTGTGACTAAATTTTGCAGGTAACTCTTAAAGCTGGTGGGGGCAGCATCACAGTGAATGATGATGTTATAAAAGGCACACTGAGAGTTGGCAGTACAGTGGAAGTTAAACAGGACCCCAAAAAAGATGCAATGGAAGCTGTAATTAGTAAGATACAAGACTGTAGCCAGTACACAGTTGGTACGTGTTCAGTAATATTAGTATTTCTGTAAATATGTATAATTCTTACTAAAAAATATGCTGTATATGAAACAAACAACAAATGAATCATTTGTAAATGGTAATATTTAGTTTTTCATAAAAACATGCAATAATATAAAAGTTATGAAAATTGAACATTTTATCAGGTGTCCAAGCAGACTATGCGAGATTATAAGTATTTTTTAACTAAACCAAGTCATATAATGCAAACCTATAGCTATGTCTATTATAGTCTGTTATTGTTTTTATTTCTTAATGAAAGTTCCAAATATTTCTGTAGCTATTTTTCAATAATAAAAAAAAGTCTATCTGCTAAAAGTATGTCTTCTTTTAATAAAAAACTACACCTGATGGTCACAAGAATAATTAATCTAAATAATCTGCTTGTAGCAATTTGTCTTCTTCAGAACTTTAAGTTACTGTTTTATTATTGAGGTCTCTATAGACCTCTCTAATCAATTCATTATAAATAAAAAAAAAATATAAATATAAAACATTAATTCATGAATATTCTTTTTAGTATTTGATGATGGCGACATAACAACATTGAGGCGGTCAGCACTGTGTCTTAAAAGTGGACGACATTTCAATGAGAGTGAAACACTGGATCAGTTACCACTTACTCACCCTGAGCATTTCTCCTCACCAGTAATAGCAGGCCGAAGGGGTCGAAGAGGAAGAGCTCAGTAAATATTTTTTTATGTTCTATATCTACCATTTTCTACCACAATCACATAGTTGTTAATGGTTATGGAATCCATTTATGTAGACCACAAGTCTAATATAAGGTTGCATTAAACCTGTAACTCCAACTATTAATAATTGTATAAAAATATATTTCAATAAAACTACTCTGATTACTTGTAAAAAAGTACATATACTTCTTATATTCAATTAATTATTCTTATATTAAAGTTGTTGACTTCTCTTGATGAAATCAAAATTTTATGCTCCTTACTGAAATGCTAGGAATGATTGAAAATCTTTACATATTTGCTGTTATCCAGTAGGTATGTGCAATATTATTTTTAAATACTTTATGTTATAACAATGAGACTTGACAGAGAACAATTAACTTGTTTAATCCTCATGATATATACCTTAATACATAATGGTATTGAAATGATATAAATTCTTTTATACACAATTTAAAATGGCAACCAAGGTTCACTTGATCAAAAGTGGTTTGTTGAAAGTGATGCTTTCGTAAGAACTATGGTTCAATGCATCCATGCCCTGTGATTTTACCCTGTACATACACATTAGTGAGAAGTGTGTGGCTAATTGTTGATTGCTCCGTGCGAGTAGGTCGGATGAAAGTGAAGGCGAGGGCAGCGTAGCACGCGTGAAGGCGGATGTGGAGCCGCATGTGGGGCGCGTGGTGCTGGTGGAGACGGCGGGCGCGGCGGAGCGCCGCCGCCCGCATCAACCCGCCTTCCCGGCACTTGTTGTCGCACCCACCGCGCAGATCAAGGTCAAGGAGGACTACCTCGTGCGTTCCTTCAAAGACGGACGATAGTAAGTCATGTGGCATGTTTACATAGCCACCTACATAATGACAATATCTCCACAATGAAAAATACGCCAATAGTCACAAATTCATATCACTTCTTTCAAGTTGCAATCCTTTAAAAAAAAAAAGAAAAAAAGCTTATCTTCATTTCCCCAAACCACAGTTAATCGTTATCTAATTATCACTGTTCTGTCTATCAAAAATTAATTATGATTGTGACAGCTATACGGTACCCAAGAAAGAGGCCCGCGAATTCCGCAAGGGCAGTGCACCGCTGGAGTGGGCTGGCGTGGAGGCCGCACTGCAGTACCTCAACAATGGGGTGCTACCCCCGCACTGGGACCGCGACGCATTGTTCAATGAACCTAGAAACACATCCGATGACGTAAGTTTACACTTTATTCTTCTTAGAGTCAGTACACACAAGGCAATCTTAGGTGTACTAATTTACCTGAAAAAATAAATTTCTTAACATATATAAGTAAATGAAATCTGATCATAACAACTTGCTAGATAATGAAAGGATTTTTTCGTAATCGTTGATTGTTAGCTTACTCTGAAACAAAAATCTTAATTGTTTTGCATTGATACACTCAATATTTAATTATCGCGACTCACTATTATATGTTACTTCCATAAATTTTGTGTGGTTTTATATGAAATAAATATTACAGAGTTCAGACGACGAACCGCGCGAGGAGAAGGATCACTTCGTAGCGCAATTGTACAAGTTCATGGATGATCGCGGTACGCCTCTCAATCGCAACCCTACCATAGCCAACCGAGATATAGACTTGTATAGATTATTTAGAGTAAGTCCTATATAAAATTTATTAATATTTAGATTAAGTACTTAAACTATATATCTAGGTTTGCACATTGCATAAGACAACAGAGACACTTCTATACTACACTATTTTGTTCTCAAAATAGAATAGGACTTTTTTACAATAATATATAAATAATATATACACATAATAACATTTAACTATGTAATAACATAAAAAATTTAGAACAGCCTAATAAAAAAAATTATCCACTTGAAACTTTAAAATTTACTGTGTTGCTTTTCTCTGCAGGTTGTCCAAAAATTAGGTGGATATAACAGAGTAACAAATCAAAATCAATGGAAATCGATTGCCGATAAAATGGGTTTCCACCCGGTCACAACCAATATTACTAATCTTTGCAAACAGGCCTATAAAAAGTAAGTACGTTTTTATTTATTTCGAAACGGAACAATAATAAAAATCAGGTTAAAAGGTACTATACTATTTGCCAATAATTACATCACGTTAAGTCTAAAACATAAAATTTAATAAGTACTTTTTTGTCACTTTATATTTTTCTTCTCATTTATACTTTTTTATTATTAACGAAGTGAGGAGTAACAAGGTTTTATATAAACGAAAACTAACTGACGTGCCAGACTACCGCCACCTGCCGGATCCATTTCGTTTTATGAGAATAAAAATTATTATGTCTCTTAAGCCAGTAAAAAAATACAAATTTTCCTTAAACCACTCATCTGAGCGGTTTCAAACACTGAAAAAACGTAATGAATCTAACGACGCGAGATTTTTATATATTAAGATAAAGTACAGCCGCCTGGTCTCTCCAGGTTTCTGCACAGCTTCGAAGACTTCTACCGGAAGCTTGGTGTGACGCTGGTGGCGCACCCCCGCGGCGCCCGCACTCCGCCCGCCGGCCGTTCGCTTATACGCGACCGCGACCGCCTACCACCCTCCGCCTCCGCTTCCTCCTCTTCCACTCCCACTAGCACACCACCACAGGTATGGAAGAAAATTAAAATACTTATCTCGATTACTAATTTCTCACATAGTATATAATATCAGTGATATATATTCAAATTTTCACAAATATTGTATATGAGTATTCCTACATCATCTTTATATCTGGAAGAGATTGCTTTTAGCGAAAAGTATCTCAATATGAACATTTCTTGTAATTATTTGTATCTATGCATAATAAGTTTACTACTGTAATCTTTTGGAGGAGACAATAAAGAGTATCTATCTATCTATAAATTAAAATATACTTGTACTATGTACATAGATTTAAAAAAAAACTGAAATTATATCTATATGTATAAAAATTATTGCCACTTTTCGTTATAATTTTATAACTCAAGAACGGGCTCACCTATCCAAACCAAATGTTTAGGCCTTGTTCAGACTATTTAGTAGATGGTTTATGTGAAGTTTGCACAAAATCGGTCGAGCGGTTCTTCATTTATCACATTTTTTGTAACAAATGAATTCAATAAATGGATCATTTTGTTGATGATGATTTTTGTGTCAAATTAAAACTTTTTTATAAGATAGGGATTGTGCTGTCAAATTGAAAACTATTTTCAGTGTTGACAGTACAAGCATGTTGTTATGTCATTCATATGGTCATTTAATTTTTTTTTTATTTCACTTTATACGTAGCGAAGCACGTACCGGGCGGCTAGTTGTCTATGTAAATGTTAAGTCGTTTGACAAAGATACTCAATACCTTTGTCTCATTCGTATTCTGCCATGAAACATTTGTTTTTATTGCTGAGTTTTGGTTTGAAGGGTATGATGTGGCAGTAAAATTTCTGAGTACAGATGCATAACAACTTAGTCCTCGGCTCCTCATAGGCTGTAGGTAATGTTCATGTCTATAGGCTACGGTTACCGATTTCTATCAGGTAGGCCGTCAGCTTGTTTGCTATTCTAAGTTACATAAAAAAGACAATAAATAGTATCTGCTTAAAACTATATAGGATAAACTACGCTAAAAGAATAACGACCAACACAAATGTTTGAGGGTACACAGCTATATAACTAGTTATCAAATAATTAAGGTAATCAGGTCTTTTCCTATATGAAAAAAAAAGAACATTAAGATTTTGAAGGACTTCACGACTGCATACATATTAAATAAATTTTTATGTATTATTTTATGATTACTTTGTATTATATAGTAATATAATTTGGTATTACCATACAATGAAAATTATACAAAAATATATTTATACTTGTATCACTATTCACATGAAAATACACATCCTTATTTATATGTATTGTACATAACAAAAAGGAATTGTATCAGAGAAATATTTAAATGTAATAGTGCACAAGAGCAAGCTTATCTGTAAAAGAGATTTCTTCCAGCAAACCCAATAGGAGATAAACTGACAGTTTATTATTAACTATTATTATTTTAAAATAATGTCATAGAACAATATTAATATGTATTCACTGTATAAATATTAATAGCAAAAAAGAATCGTACAGTATCAATTAATTGCTATGAATACAAACCACTAACAATATGTGATAAATCACTGTTTTGCACACGTACGAAAAATGATTGAATAAAGTAGAGTCTGGATTATCCGAACATCAATTATCCGAATATTTTGATTGAGTTATGGTATTATTAGTTAATTGGTTAAATAGATATTGTGTAATCGATTATCGTTATAACCTGTAATGTTTTTGTATCGTATTGTCTAAATGACTTATGTACAACCCTTTACATAATAAAAAAAAAAAATATTAAAATTTAATTATGTATTGTTTGATTTAACTTTGAAGTCTATTAACCACATTTTCGATTACATGGAATACTCCTAGTTTTATTTGATTCGGATAATCAAGATTCTAGTTTACGTCCTCTTATTTTTTTTTTCATATACCGTATACAAAAAAATCCAGACTACAATATGATAGTATAAGTAATTTTAATTTCATTTAATACGTATATTTTATATAATATATAAAATAAACATTTTAAACTGTTTAGCGTGGAAAAGACAAGGACTCGGATAAGAGCGAGACAGAGAAAAGTGACAAAAGTGAAAAAGAAGAAAAAGTAGATAAAGTAGAGAAAACAAAAGATAAACCTCGTGGCAGTGACGAAGACGACAGCGCTGACAATCAGCCGCTAGTTACTACTGCGCCCAAGTAAGTCAAATTTAAGAGTTTTAAGTCTGAAGTTTATATACATATGTAAAGGTAATTGTATTTAAATATATATATATATATATATATATATATATATATATATATATATATATATATATATATATATATATATATATATAAGAATTAGGTTTTTTTTTTTACATTTTTATTTCTCCCTATTGCATCATTGCACTTTGTAATATCTTACAGTGTCACATACAATTAATTAACTATATAGTGTTATTATAGTTTTCATAGAATAAGCTGTCAACATTAATTAAGATGACACCTTATTAGATGTGCTTTTAACGCACACCATACCCACCAGAACTGATCATAAAAGAGGTTAATTTTCAATAAAAAAAAAAATGCATATTACTTCCTTTTAAATATAAGTAGTCTACCCCCAGTCTTTAGATGAATAAATATTATATTTTTATAGGATAGAAAAAGAAAAAGAGAAAGAGAAAGAAAAAGACAAGGAGAAGGAGAAGGAGAAGGAAAAGGAAAAAGAGAAGGAAAAACCGGCACCAACAACACCAGTAAACGAAGACAAACCTATTATCAAACCCCGATCGCAATCTAAAAATCGCAGTATCATTCCGATCAAAACAGAACTACACGAGAAGAGAACACCTAAGCGGAGGCCTTTATCTTCTAAGGGTAAGTAATTAAAATACTTTTAGTAGCGTCTTTCATCATTTAATCTTGTCAGTAGAGTTAATGTTAGTTTACTTTTTTAAATCTGTTCTTAAATTCACTTTCTAGAATTTCCTAAACAGCTGAGACAATTAAAATTGTGTTAACAATTTATAATTCTGTTTCCTAAGTTGGTGAAAGCGCGAATGTGAGCACGTCAAGGGCATCGAGGCGACCTCATGCGTCTACAGACAGTGATAGCTCAGGAAGGGCTTCCAGGTAACTTTTAAAACTACAAACTGTATACTGTTTCTGTTTGGAATGCTAATTGCTTTGAATCCCTTAATAGAAAAGTATTTTCACTATTGTTTCGCTGTCATTAAAGGTTTCAATAAAAACATTATGTAGGTATATATTTACTTAAATTATATGTAATTTTAAAATATTTTAATCACGATATACGAGTATATTTTTATAAATGGTAACACTGTATTGAACTTCAAATGAACATATATATAAATGATAATTAGTATAAATCAATGCGGATAATCCGCGATATTCAGCTAGTTTAACAATAATACTAACAAAGCAAAGGTATGTGACCAGGTGCGGACCCACGAAAAAAATGCAGAGTCGCCGCAGTCAAAGCGCGAACTCAGCGAGTAGCGGGAACACCATTGCTTCCAACAGTAGTAAACGGCCTCGGAAGAGGAAGAATACAGAGTGAGTAACACATTCTTATAATTAGATTGCTTTACATTTAAAATTAAAAAATGCCTTTTAAAATTCTACTAATATTAGAAATATGAAATATTATATCGATATTTGGATGTTTTTCCGTAATCACGCTTAAACAGATGAATGGATCTAAATGTCGTAAGATATTTTATTCTGATTCAGACATTTAATATGTAAGATACGTATATATATATATATATATATATATATATATATATATATATATATATATATATATATATATATATATATATATATATATATATATATATATATATGGTATATATTAAACTCTCATGTTTATGAACTGTAATTGCTATGGATGCGACTCAATGTTAGCTCCACTTGATTGTTTATTTATTTTAAAAAACCAACAGTGGTTTTACAAATAAAATCAACAAACATTTTATAACAAAGTAGTATGGTCAATAACAGGTTTTTCTAAATTAAATTCTGTTGATTAACAAAAACAGCTTTAAAATTAAAAGGATAATTTAAATCGCTTCTAAGTCATACTCCTCTCCGTCATGCGAACCCTGATAACTAGTTCGATAGGTACGATTTCTTACCAAACAATATTCTCTCTGGGCACCTAGTAACTATCATAATGATCATTTAATTATTGCACAGACCGTCAACAAACGAGCCTAGCAGATCGCGTGCGGGCCCGGCGGGCAACAAGGCGCAAGTGGGCGACAAGCTGAAGGTGTACTACGGACCGACGCAGTCCGAGTCCAAAGTTACGTACGAAGCGAAGGTTATAGAGGTGTCTGCGGAGGGGCTATTGCGCGTCCACTACACCGGCTGGAACACACGCTACGACGAGTGGATCAAGCCGCAACGGATTGCGCTCAATGTCACCCAGCACGACGCCAGAAACAAAAAGGTGCTAAGCCTACCACTTGTCACAGTCCAGATATAGAGTGAAATCGAAATCTTGGGCTTTACATTAAAACCTGATATAGAATTTATTAAGTCAGAAATTCCTTGAGTCAAAAATTCGAAACCAACTAAAAAATTTGAGCGTCCCGTATTAACATCCAGCAAGTTAATAACTAATAAATAATAACAGCAGGCTCAAAACGTTTCGTCGTTTTTCGAATCATGTTACTTTGTTGAAAATATTCAGTTCACTTGTACAACACTCCCTTAAAAGAATGCTAATAATTTCATTCTATATAACATATATAGCACAATATGTAGTACACAAAAACTTTATGGCACGTTCAACTCGCATAATATCCAACATCTATTGTTTAATAACAAATGAAACTGTATACTTCACTCGATGTCAGTATATAATATTTAGTATAAAATAAACATATTTAAATGTTATATGTTTTTCTATTTTCAGAATACAAGTATCAGCAGGCGTTCCAGATCCAAACGATTAGAAGGTAAATATTTTACTTTTACAAATTATTTCGTCGCGTAAACTAAATCACTGATAAACTAAATACATTTCCCTTTCTTCTTTAGAATCTTCCGCTCGATCTGAGAGCGATAGTGACTCAGACTCAGATGATGACATCAAGAGGCCTCCTAAAAAGTCAGACGACAAAAGTAATACAAAAAGTATGTATGCCATTGATTTCTCTATATTGTTTATCAGAATAATATAATATGCATTTAACATTGGTTTTATAAAAACTTTATGTTTTGCAGCTCCGTCCAGATCAAAAGATGCTAAATCTAGCGACAGCAGTAGTTCAAGTAAACCACGCAAGCGCCCTATAAGAACAGTGTCTACTCCAACAACAACAATACCGGCGAAGAAACCACGACCCAATGTTACTGAGCATCAGGGGCGTGACTACGACCTAAACCAGATCAGATCTGAGCTCAAAGGATTACATTCTGTCAAACAAGAGACAGAAGAAACTAAACAAGAAGTATCAGATAAAGAAACAATAAGTCCTCCCCCAGTAACGACGCCCACGCTCGAAAAGCAACCTGAACCTGAGAAACAAGCTGAAGATGTTTACGAGTTCAAAGAACCTGAACCATTCGAAATAGAACTGCATGATGAGAAAAAGAAACGGACTCACCGTATTTTTGATGATATATCACCAAGCAAGTATACATCATCATTATCAAAGTCACTGAGTGAAGAAATATCTGAAGATCCATTACGGCCTCGACCGTCTACCTTAAGATCTCCCTCTTTATCACCATTCAGAGATTTTGGTACATCCCGTGATGTTCCAGGAAGACAGAGTCCTGAGGAGGACTCTAAAGATGATTTGTTTTCTATGGATGATGATTCATTCCCAGGTGAAGGTAGTTCGGGACCAATATTTGAAGGATTTACTCCAGCTAAAAACCAAGAAACATATTCGAAAAAGAATAAGGTCTCTAAACTTAGACAGCTCATAGACGACGATTCCCCAGATAGTCCCGCTGATGATGAACAATCATCTGAAGATGAATCTGAAGATGTAGTAATGAAAGAAGAACGAGAACCAAGTCCAGTTCCCTCAAATACAGAAGTGCCAAAGATCCCAGAACCTGTATGTAAAGAAGAAGATAAAGCACCTGAAGTTATAAATGAAATAAAAGTAGAAATAACCAATGAAACAATAGAAACACCTAAACCAAAAGAAGTTTCGCCTGAACCCACTAAAGCACCACCTTCACCAAAGAAATTAGAACTTCCTAATACCAATATTATCACACCAGTTACAAATGCTGCTGCTGTAATCGCTCTTCCTGAAATGCCAATAGAAGAGCCTATAAAGGAGGAACCGAAGCCTAAGAAAGATGAACCTATGAAGCTACTTTCTCTCCCTCTCCCTATCGTAGAACTTAATAAAGAGAATGCTCTTAAAGTGATTATAGAAAAGAAAATGGATCCTGAACCAGTTCCACCAAAATTAGACCTACCATCTAGTCCCTTAATAGATACAGAAGAAGATAAATCGGAACCTGATAGTCCAGCGCGCATCGACGTGCTACCTGAACCGCCGCCTGGCTTCCGACTGCAAGCCGAAGGACCCAAGATAGCCGAGAAACTTCTTAAAGCAATCAATAGCGCCAAACGACTTTCAATGTCACCGTCGCCGGTTGAGGAACGTCCCTTAACTCCTAAAAAAGATATCTCTAAACAAGCTAAGCAGGAGGGTAAATCATCTCCCACCGCATCAGACTTTAAAACAACGATCGCTAGTAAAGTGGAAACAGCAAAACCTGTGATTAAAATAGACTCTGTCAGAAAATTCAGCCCACTGAATATCGGCGACTCTATATTTGGGGAGCCTTCGAATTTGACTGACATCAAGCGCGACGCAGCAGATGTGAAGAAGGTAAAACCGAAGGAGCCGACACCACCCAGGCTGCAAAGTCCGCTGAGCATCTTGGAGAGACGCAAGAGCGTGGCAGATCTTCCTCTGAGTACGCCAGGCAAGAACAACAAGGTGCTCAGCGACACCATCCAGAAGCTCTCCAGTCAGATCAACCAGTCGGCGGCAGCCGTAGCAGTTGCAACCACCATACCGCTACCAACTTTCCCCGCGGACGACAGGAGCGAATCCAGTGATTCTGACGACTCTGAAGGGAGAAGGTTTGTTCAATTCAAATTTTATATTATCATATTTGACTATTTCACATAACTCAAACTGTAATTTAAGAAACCTACTTGTTTCTGTCTGCTTATGTCTATAGGCGACGGTTACCACTTTCCATCAGGTGGGCCGTCAGCTTGCTTGCCATTCTAAGTTGTATAAAAAAAAAACCTAAGTAAAGTTAAAAATATTTTCGATATTTCTTCTACATTATCGTCATAGAAAATGATTGCGCGTGAATTAATTACCAGTTGGGTTACGCAGTTAAAAATCATACTCCGGCCAGCCATACATAATTTTTAACTAAAATATTTGTTGCATCGACAGGTTAATAATCGACAAGGTATCAGTGGATGAGTGGGGTAGCGGCAGTGGCAGCTCAGAAGCGGCAACGACAGCGGGTGTCGCGGGGACGGGGACAGGGACAGGGCCTGTGTCAGGATCGATCCTGGGGACAAGTATAGCGGCGAGCATGAGCGCGGCCCGCCTGCCCCGTGCGTTACACGCTGGGAAGTCACCTGGCGAGTGGAGCGCCGGTGAATCGCTTCTTATGCTCGAAGATGCATGCAAAAATGAAAGAAAACATAGTATGTATATTACGCATTTTTTTTTTTTTGTTTTTTTTAAATTTATTTTTAAATTTTCGTTTACGTCATTTATTTCATCGTCTACGATCGTTCATTGAATATTCATTCCAAATCAATCTAGTACAGTCTTAGCTATGAAAATTATCTACTACTATTTCTCATTCATATGGTAATTATGTACATGCCAATCAGTGAATATATAAAAATAAAATTTTGCAAATTTTTTTTAATCGTTTCTTATTACAAATATATAAACAGTAGTAAAAAGTTTCTGAAAATTAAGCCCTTAAGTAAGCTCGTTCCCATTCGTGTGTCAACCGTGAAGCAGTTGTGTTTGAATGGCTGTGTTTCAGTTTGAACGGTGGGATATGACGTGAATTTACAGGGTACATAGGAATAACACCTGAGTCCTCAGGAATAGCAATGCATGGGGGGTATCATGGGCGGAAACAGTATACTCTGTTATGTCCATGGTACTGCTCGAGTCTATGGGCGACGGTTACCACTTTCCATCAGGTGGGCCGTCAGCTTGTTTGCCATTCTAAGTCGTATAAAAAAAAAGGCAAAATAGGCAATAGTAATTGCTGAAAACACTTATTAACAGAATTAGTAAACGGTAACTAAATGCAAATATCAGGTGCGAGCGTAGTGGTTGCGGGCAGTGGGCGCGGAACAACGACTTCCCTCGGCGTAGGAGTTGTGGGGTCAGCAGGGGCCGTGGTAGTAGGGGCGGGATCAGTATCGGGTGTGAGCGGCAGTGGCGCGGGGGGCGAGGAGGACAGCAATATCTCGCTGCTGCTGTGCGAGGAGACAATTCCTGGGTCGCCGGCGCCAGATGCGGAACCCGCACCGCCTCGACTTCGACCACATATGCCATTCGCTTGCGCGCCGCAGCATCATACGCACTCCAAAGGTAAGGGCCTCTCCATACATATTACGTATCTACTATTTAATGTCTTCATATATGACTCTCCACACGCAACGGTCTTCACCAAATTTTCATAATAAGACATGTAGGTATATTATTTAAAATGTATGTTATACCATTGTAGTGTATTATTTGGCGAGCGAAATAAAACGTGGCATATTCTATAAGCGTATATTTCGACTGAACTATACAATATACAAACTAAACCTTAACGTGCCAAGGGGAAAGGGATTGTTAGTATGGGGTCTAATTTCCCCATTACTAGCAATACACCTTATCAGGTCGACCTCCACGCGGTTTCTCCTAGAAACTATCGTAATTAATTCTACTGGAATTCGGACCTGCTTTCATCCTCACCCATCACTTTCACTGGTGCCCCGCCAGCGTATACCGATAGCGCAGGCAGGGTTACAATTTCATTATAACCCATTAAAAAAAACTTTAATTACCCGCCACCCAATAATAACATCTATACTCTATATTAAAACCATGTTGACATACAAAATACATTTTAAATGATGTATTGAACTTATGTTTGCGTAGATGAGGCTCACGGCGAGTGCAGTTCAGGAATGAGAGCGGGTGTCGGGGGCGCGGAGAGACAAGCAGGGGCTGAGGGTGCGGGAGCGGCGGGCGGTGGCGGGGGCGGCGGCGGGGGTGCGGGGGGCGCGGGGGTCGCGGGCGGAGCGGGGGCGCGGCCGCGGGCTGGGCGCGCCGGCACGCGCTGCTCGACAACACGCCGCCCACCACACCCGACAGCAGCCTCGACATGTCGCCACACAGGTATCCTGCATTGCTAGAATTTGTACAAAAGTCGATTGCTTGGGTACCTCTGTCCCATTCGTGTTTCAACCGTGAAGCAGTTGTGTTTGCATGGCTGTGTTTCGGTTTGAAGGGTGGGATATGGCGTGAATTTACAGGGCACAGAGGAATGGTTATCACTTTCCATCAGGTGGGCCGTCAGCTTGTTTGCCATTCTAAGTTGTATAAAAAAAAAAACACTAACCTAACTACAAAAATCGGGGAGGAAAGGAATTGTTAATAATGAGATTTAACAACCCTATTGCTGGCAATATACCCTATCAGGTATCCACGCGGTTAAAACCACCCCTGGAAACCATAGTGGTTAATTCTTGTTCAATAGATCACTAATGATGAGCCAACTGACCTACCTTCATCCTCACCTGTTACCCTTCACTGGTACCCCGCCAGTGTAGTGGCGATAGCGCAGGCAGGGTTACCATTCCATCTTCACCCATAAAAAAAACTACAAAAATCGTTCCTAAAATTTGTATTGTACAAGGAGATACTTTCTATTGCCTTATAAAGCAAAAAATAATAGATTTTTAAAACTTTATTTGAATTAAACTAGATTTTTTTTTACCAATTCTTATACAGAAACATTTCTGATTGTTCTATTGCATTTAAAAAAAAAGTAATTCTATTTTCAATTATTTCCACACAGGGAACGCCGAATGTCAGAGCGTGACAGTCCTTTAGAACGCAAGGATGACGAAGACGACAGCCGCCCTCATGATGCATTACTGGACTTGGATAAATCTCTTGGTAAGTTTTTAAAAATTAAACATATGTATAAAAAAATTATATTTATTTTATCCATCATTATTTCTACAAAAAGAATGTCAGGATTGTGCACAATGTAAATATTTGTATTGAAGATAACTTATTGTACGCACTTAAAAAAAGGTAAATGTTTCTATCGGTTTTCTAGTATCAATAATAATGCTTAAGGGGGAAAGAGATTGTTAGTAATGAAGACTGAGAATCCCATTGCTAGCATTATATCCAACCAGGTCGACATCCTCGCGGTTCTCCCTGGAAACTATCGTGGTCAATTCCTGATGAATTCATCATGATGAGCTAACTGACCTGTTTTCATTCTCATCTGTCACCCTTCACTGGTGCTCCGCCAGCGTATTCCGTTAGCGCAGGCGGGATTACCATACCATTTTCACCCACAAAAAAAAAATAATGCTTAATTTGGAACTAATTGACGTCGTGTAGTATCTTGCAGAAAAAAATTATACTGTAAGAGTTCGTAGTGACGTATATTTCAATTGATTTATAATTGACATGCAATTGCCAATTAACACGAGACAATAATACGAGTATAATAACAAACAAAGAAAAATAAGATTGAAATGATGCGGCGACACAACCCAGAATGTGCAGTTTAAAATTGGCAATTATTAAACATCTTAATAAACAATTTTCTTACTGCACTGCACGCACTAACATAGATTTCATTTTTCATTTAAGAGTTTCCTCTTGTCGGTGCAACTAATTCATGCATCTTCCTCCAGCCATCTCTATCCCAGGCCATATCCTTTATCTCCCTATACGACACGACGCCTAGTGTTTCCTTTATCTGTCCCATGTAGTTAGTCCTCGGTCTTCCTCTTCCTCTTTTGCCCTCTATCTTTCCTTCTATTATGCTCTTAAAAAAATCGTCATGTCGTATAAGGTGGCCCAGCATTTTGCCTCTTCTATTCTTTATTGTTTTAATCAATGTTCTCTTCTCGTTTACTTTTTTTTACTTTTTTTTTATAACTAACATAGATATGACTCCATATTTACTAAACTGTACCAAGTATAGTAAGACAGATTGTAGCAAGATTTCCTTTTCAGCGGGTAATCGGTCCCGCAAGGCGTCGGAGAGTTCGGCGGGGCCAGGCGGGCCGGCGGGCGGCCGCCGCGCGCGCCGCCGCCGCGACACCGACGACGGCGCCGCGCCGCCGCACGCGCACTCGCTACCGCATCAGCCGCCGCTCAAGTACAATTTCTACGTCGATCTAGGTACGTATCCTTCCTTATATGGGATCGATTACTTATACTCATGTGAAGGTAACACTCTCGCATGTTGAGAAACCACCGTTACACATGAAGATCTCTGACGCGTATTGGAATGGTAACCCCGCTTGCGCTATTGATATAAACTGGCGGGGCACCAGTGAGGGATGATAGGTAAAGATGAAAGCAGGTCAGTTAGCCCATCGTGACGAATTCCACTAGATTTAACCACGATGGTTTCCAGGGAGAACCGCGTGGAGATCGACCTGATAGGGTGTATTGCTAGCAATGGGTCAGTTAGACCCCATTACTAACAATCCTTTTTTCCCCCTAGAACTTTTATGTTACGCCAAGTATATTTATTTGTCACTATTGACGGAGTAAGAGTATGTTTCAGTACTCTTTGCCGTAATAGGCAACTAAGAGGTCAAAATACAATAATGATCATCATCAGCACAATACATAAAGAAAACTCGAAAAATACTGATACGAAAGCAAATCAGCAGCAGGGCCTTTAGTTTTAATATTATTGCATTTGCAGTAGACATTATTAGAGACAAGGACAGGTTAGAATACTATAAACTAGCTTTGAATTGTTGACCAGATAGCTTGAATGTTACTCATAGTAATGTTAAAAAAATATATATATAATTTTTTTATAATATTATATTCATTGCTTCACATATGTAAATTACAGACCCATCATGGGATTGTCAAACACGTATAAACGTGTTGACATCACGTCTCGCAGACTTACGAAAAGCGTATCATTCTGTGAAGGCCGAACTTGCAGCCATCGATCGGCGCCGCAAGAAACTGCGACGCAAGGAAAGAGAAGGTACGTACATTGATGAAACAGGGACTTCAATCGTGAAAAAAATTAATACGGACCAGTACGGGATTAAACCGTACAGGATTTTGTAAAGAAGTATTAAAATTGGTTCAAATTTAGCGATTGGAAAACCTTATTTTGAGTAACTTATTACTATACGAAATTTGATTGATATCTTTTCATGTTACAGCTGTGAAGGCGGCAAAAGCTGCATGCTCATGATGAAGGTTGCTCTAAATGAGCTAAGTATGGCCAAGAACGCAATGAAAGAACGAACCTGTGTATACTTTCGTTTTAGAATAACCAAGTGGAACAATAACTTAGTTTATTTGATTATAGTTACTTATATCACGTGGCTAGTTGTTTGTAGTTTGCGTTGGAAAACTATAGTGGTGAATACAGTGAATGGAACAATGTAATATACTGTCCATTAAAAGAATTCAAGTGATGTTACAATAGACATAATTTCTGCCTCAGTGAATCTGGTGCAGTGACGTAATCAAGAATATTTATTCGCCGAATCGAAAAACTCGATTTAACATTTTATTATTTAAGTTATTGTTGTCGTAATGAAGTGATTATGTAATTTAGTATATAGTTTTACTTGAGTATTCAGTTTATATTGTTTTTAATTTGTAACGCATTTATGAGAACCCAGCACTTGAATACTGTTTTACCTTTACAATGTTTTAATCAATTCTGATAGACATAATGACAATATAAATTATAGAATGTATAATTAACGTGTGCACTATATAATAATTGCGTGTGTATTATATAATATTGCTGACGTATGCGACTAATAAAAATCTTAGGATTGCAGCCTAGAAACAAATGAACAATGGGGTCGATTTTAAAGCGCCAGTCCTCTAAATTTGTCTATGAACCTATTATTTTAATTTGATAGTTTCGCATTTTACTAATGTACTGTTTTATGGACTATCATAAACTAAATTTATTATAATTTTGACTGAAATCTATTAGATATTGAGTTCATATTAGTCCTTAAAGATTTCGCTGTTTTATCGAATTAAACTTTTAATTTTAGACATAGATTTAGAAAAATGGTATGTCAAAATTTATTCTATTAAGGGCTCTTTAGAGTCGCAAACTTCACCGTGCTACTTGGATAATTTGAGCGAGTTCTCTAGTGCACGAGTAACTCCGCTCGCAAACTGGCGAAATCTTGGTTTTACTATCGTTTTTCTGTAAATAATCGTGATTGTGGAACATTTTACCTGTATATATACCCCTGCATCACACGTTATATTGAAGACTGAAAGATGGAAATGATAAAATTGGAATATTGTGACAAATCTTTATTTCCCAAATTATATGTCTCAGATTTATTATAAAGTTTACTTTTAATAAACATTCTTCATGGAAAAACATTGACTTTCCATTATCTAATTCTTTTTTCTTTGAAAATATTGCTGCACATGCGTCAAGTATTTGTACAAACCATAAAATGGCTCAGTCAAGCGAAAAATATACTACGACATATTTTATCCTATAGCTAGCTATATTAACAAAGGCGCTCTTACACGAGTAATTTTTTAAATTAGATTTGCTTCTGAAATCTAGTGAAGATAATAGATTATTAAACTGCTCTACGTCGCTTAAAATTAGCATGGCAACGTATGTACCTAGTACTATGGTGGCATAGCAGTAAATTGTTGGATATCGTGGCATCAAAATTTGCAAACATTGGTCACGATTTCACAATTTAAATTGCCCGTATAAGAGCACTTTCATTAAGGCAACATATTAATTTTGTGGGTGCGTTAGTAATCCAGACATAGATGAAGATAGACGACGAGAACTTAATTATGAGAAATGAGCATAACACATTTTCTATTACATTACAAAAATCATTTAGCTATGCTAAAAAAAACACATGTCACAAATTTTATGATATTTATAACACTCTCAGATCAGAAAAAAATGTTAATTTTATCTGGATATTATTGCAATATTTGCTATAAAAATCAATTTAGGCAAGCACATGTGCATCATGTCTAAGTCATTATCAACTCAACAACTTAACACTTGAAAAATTTACTTAGTTTTTCATTCTAACTCAAAAGTAACATGTCACGAGATAAGCTTTTTTTTTAGAGAAGAGCGTAGTGTATAGGCATATTTAGGAGAAGAGGTTGGATGGGCCGTGCCTACCTCAGTATCAGAAGTGAAACTATGAGCAAAAAGTGTTTATAAGTCTATGTGCGCCTTGTTAAGGGGCCATTTTAGTTTAGGTTTCATTTTAATTGTTATTTATCGGCGACATTTCGTTATAAGTGAAATAAAATCGCAGTCTGTCGAGGGTTCATAACGACTGACTAAAAAAGAACGAGATAGAGACTGATACACTGATCATAACAATTATAATTCCCAATTAATTTTTAACAGAAAAAGGTAACAAATATGTTATTAAGTTATTGCAGATAAAAATAGTTACTTGCGATTTTTTTCGAGTGAGAATGTGAGAAATATGCTGTATTAAAAGCATATGCTTACTTAAGAGCGAAAACTTTGTAGCACACAGTTGTGCCACCTACATCTATGTCTGTTTAGCTCCATATCTGTGTTAGTAATAGTTGGGGTATTGCGGCCAGGGATGGGGATGGTGTTGATAGGGGCCGGGTGCCTGCTGGTATCCCCACGGTGGCTGATAGGGCTGTGCGTACGACTGATCGTATGACTGCGCTGTGGCGGCGGATGTCTGGTAGTATGAGTTGCTGCTCGGCGTGGTCGCTGATGTCGTCGCCGCACTGCTCTCTTTCTTCTTCGACGGTTCCGTAGCAGCGCTGATTAATTTAATGTATGTAAGTACACATCGAACACAATAGGCATTATAGTTTAAAATTAACAGTTTAAGGAACTTAGTGATAGTTTTCTTAGTAATTGTTACATCTTATTGTAACACACCAAATAATTAAGCGTTCAGCTCAACCGTAACAGTTCGCATCAATAGGTATCCAAATGTGGCGCAAGTCTTAATCCCTGTATTTAAGGAAAATGATTATTAGTAATGGTGACTAAGCTACTAGTCTCTCTGCCATCCTTCACTGGCGCCCCGCTAGCGTATACAGTGAAGTGAAGACGGGGTTACCATTTCATTATTATCTATTGAAAAAATCCCTTAAGTGCAATTCAATTATTCATTGGTGGTAAGCAAAAGTTTTATTTTAGACTAGACATATAAATAGAGTATCAATTGTAAAAAAACAGGTCGACATTTAGTCAGCTAATGTAACGCATGACTGACAAAATTTTGACACATTTTATTTAAATCAAAACAACGCGCTATTAGTGTTGCAAGTAACTAGATCAGAAGTTTTCTAGACTAAGTAGATTTTTTAAATTCGAATTGGAAATTAATTTTTTTCTGATATTATTATCAATTACTCCCATGTGATGAGTAATAAATGTATATTATGGTAACCCTGGGAGGAAAGGGATCGTTAGTAATGGAGACTGATAATCCCATTGCTAGCAATATACCCAACCAGGTCGACATCCTCGAGGTTCTCCCTGGAAACTATCGTGGTTAATTCCTGATGAATTCATCATGATGGGTTAACTGGCCTGTTTTCATTCTCATCTATCACCCTTCACTGGTGCTCCGCCAGCGTATCCCGTTAGCGCAGGCGGGGTTAACATTCCATTTTCAGCCATCAAAAAAAAAATTATGGTAACCCTAATCACGCATAAGTGGATATAAAACCTGCGGGTCTACCATGAAATGAAATTCCGAAATTTCGGACTCAGTTTCGTGTTTTTGTTTATACCAAAATCGGATCAATAAATGGAGTTTAACATTTCGTTCGTCATACATCCTATCATAAAAGTCCAAAGGAACAATATTTTAACATTTTTAATATTTCCAAACGGCATGTATTATGTAATTTTAACATCAAATTTCTGATTCGTTTGGCTCCGAAATTTCGGAAAACATTTCATGGTAGGCCCTTTGTTTTGAATGAAGAGGTTGCATGTATACGAGGTAGCGGCGCAGCGCGTACCTGGGTAGCGGCGGGGGCTCGTGCTTGTCCTTGCGCGCGCGCTTGCGCAGGTGCTTGGCGAGCGCGCGCGCGTGCGCGGCGGCGGCGCGCGCGGCGGCGGCCGGGCCCAGCTCCTCGGCCAGCTCGCGCCGCCGCCACGCCAGGCTCGCGCTCACCTCCGCCTCCGCGCCCTCCTGCCGCTCGTACGCCTGCACCAGCTCTGCGCACGGCACGCCCGCCACCCTCAACATTCTCGCCCGACAAATGTCTCACAAAACATTACTTTGGACTTTTGTCAACGTAGCCGTTTAGAAATGTTACTATGTATACGAAAATCATATTCCACTAATCGTCATGTGATTAACAAATGACATTCATAATATAAAGAGGTAAACTGTTTATATACATATATTTTATCATGCGAGGATCATTTGAAAAGTTCTTAGCCTAACATGGTTAGTCATTGGTTTTTTTTTTTATAACTACCCTCATTTTGTAGTTACATTATTTAGCAACAAGTATGCATAGTTTAGTTTATTCACAGTAACTCATTGTTCGTTTACACGTGATACCGTAAGTCAGAGCTATTTTTGAAAATGGATAAAATTGAACATCGTGCAGTGATATGACCCTCGTAGTATATTTTCCTGAAATATCTAACATTATAATTACTACAACACAAGATTGTGTTCCACAAAAAAAAAACCTCTACAATTGTTACAAAACCAGTTATTTTGATTTAAAAACTAAAGTACTTAATCGATTTTGATAAAAATTTCTATAGGACCAAACTGTAAGTATATACACTTAGATAAAAAAATATATATTTTTCATATTGGTTTATAACTGACAGGGTATTATGAGGTAACAAACAAAAAAAGTACGACTGAATTGAGAATCTTCCTCTTGATTGAAAATGGCATGGACTTGGCAGAAATCAACGTGGCACAGCTTTATATTATTAGTACTATATTCCAGTGTTCTTTAAATCATAATATTATCAACATAAGATTGAATTAATTATGTAATTATGCATAGATCTAACTTTAATAACGAACCTTCCAACACTTCGTAAGGTGTACCAGGGGTATGCAATGCTACATCGAGCCTCTGCATGTGTAGCCTGTGATTAAGTGGGTCCTTTGTTATAGCTTCATCCAGCGCTTTGGCAGCGGCTGCTGCGTCGCGTTTCACGTGATACAGAAACCGCGCGTATTTGATAGATAAAGCGGACGCCACCGCTTTGCTCTTCGCCGCCGCTATGTACCCTTCGTACAACTGGGAGCATTTCTCGTAATCACCTCGTCGACGTTCCAGGTTTACACGTCTGTATGGTCATTATTATTATTTTTATTGTTAGTTCAAAAATGCAGAAATTAAAGTCATTTATTCAAATATCTCATTTAGAGCACGTTTTATTCTTTTCTACTCCAATTCAGTAACCAATTTTAGTTGAGAAGAAAAGAAACCCGATTGTTAGTCTTTTAAAATGAATCTGTTATTTTTTATTTTTATTTTTTTTATTTACGTGTCTTGCTGACTAAATGGTTTAAATATAAAATCTATTCACAAATACACAATTTTACAGTTATCAAGATTTATCTTACAGTTAACACAAACTATGTACTTACGAAACTTTTAATAATAAAATCGTATAGTAAATTATTAAAATTTATACAACTTATATAATAAAAATTGAATGCAGTAGACAGATACAAATGTGTAAGTAGCTCCAATATATACCCAGTGATTAAGGAAACTTAGTGTTAATTAATCTTATTTTGATTTGGCTTTTAAATCAAACTTACAAATTAATTCTAATAATTAAAATATAATAATAAAATAATTTAAAACAAGAACTAAAATAAATTAATATATTTTACTCCTTGTATATATTGTATACACCACATTTACTAATATTACTATTAAACTATAACATACCTAAAACTTCTGAAATTTTAGTACTTTAAACGAGGGGGACTTAATGTCGAAACTTGGCTCAATTTGTATTCCAGATTTCCCACAAATTATGTTTTCGTGTAAAATGTAGTAAAATCAATGCATATGTGCGCCGTCAAGGGTTGAGTCTATTTGGTCGCGAGTGTATAAATATAATACATACTGTTTATTATATGAATGCTTAATTATCCATATATAGCAACAAAGTAGATGCGAGAAAAATATACCTGTACTGTATTTGCACAAGGTTGGGACAGGTCTTCTCTATCCGGTCGAGGATCTCGGCGGCTTTGGCGGGGTTCCCGTGGGCTTCCTCGAAGTGCGCCCAGTGCAAGTGCAGCTCGGGCTTGTCGAGGTGGTGCACCGTGCACGCGCGCTCCAGCACCTCGCGCTCCACGCTCACCAGCTCCGGGTTGCTCTCTATGCGCTCCTCCAGGAACTTTATCAACTACCAAGCACGCATCCAAATAAAGCCAGACTAACATTTCATAAATGTTTATTCTAGGAATATCTACAGGAACATAAATAAGAACCGATATCTGAATAAATAGCAATCTTTTTTAAAAAAAAATTGACATTTAGTCAATTTTTTAAAAAAATTAAAGTCTCAGGAAAGTTTTAGACAGATTATGTATATACCTATAAATATAGGTATTATGTTCATTAATTCTATCAAAATTGCATTACAAACAGCCTAGTTTTATCTAATGTGAACCAGATAAGAATTTATAAGTTGATAAATGCTCTACCCTATCCAAATATCTCCTGCAAGGTAGCAGTGTGTACATAACTATTTCGATTTGAAGATACAGTAATTATAGGATATATAAGCACAACAATCATTAGTACTAGTTGATAGATATGAGGAGCGTCACAGTATTCTGTTATGTCTATGTGTCATGTCTATAGGCGACAGTTACCACTTTCCATCTAATGGCCCGTTAGCTTGTTCGCTAATCCATATTGTATTAAATATCAAATTAAAAACACTTCATACCCGCATCCAGAACTCTTCATAAAGTGCACAGGCTATAAGGCACCGTTCGTGTAACACTAAGGCACGCTTTAGCGAACCATGCTGTTTCTCCCACTCTAGGTACGCCTTCCAGTTTTTTAGCTGACATCTCTCCAAGGGCTTCACATGGAAGTATGGACGCTTGATCTGTAGAATACATTAATTAATAAAGTAAATATTGAGTCCCATTTTGACTATTTTTCTTTAAGAGATTGAATCAAAGAATGAGTACGCATTCATAAACATATATACATTACAGAATTTGATTGTTGAATTGTTGGATATTGAGTATTTGGTTATGATCTAAGAAAAACAATTGTACCGATTATATGATATAATTTAAAATACTTTACTTAGTTCCGGTTTTTTTTTTACTATAAAATACTTTATTATTTATACACAACACTGGTTCGAGATGTCATTCTCAGGAGCTTAACTCACAAACAGTGGAGTGAAAAAGAAATTGAGTTTATAAAGCAATACTGTACATAATGAAAATAATTAACCAAAATTTTGAGTCAAGAAAATATTTGCATCACATCAATTTTGCAAATTACATAATTGTCGTCACAACTTACGCCCTCCTCGAAGGACCACCTAGCAGCCACTTGTTCGCCGGTTGCTTTGTGTACCTTGCGACGAGCGGCGATTATACGTTCTTTGATCGCCTGTGCTTCTTCCTCGGAAGCCTGGGGATACATTAAAAAGATACTTATCAAATAATCATAATAAATAAATAATAAATAATAATAATTTACCAGAGGGAGACTTTGTGCAAAAGTCGATTGCTTGGGTACCTCTGTCCCATTCGTGTTTCAACCGTAAAGCAGTTGTGTTTGCATGGCTGTGTTTCGGTTTGAAGGGTGGGATATGGCATGAATTTACGGGGTACGGAGGAATAACACCTGAGTCCTCAGGAATGGCAACGCATGGGGGGTATCATGGGCGAAACCAGTATACTCTGTTATGTCCATGGAACTGCTCATGTCAATAGGCGACGGTTACCACTTTCCATCAGGTGGGCCGTCAGCTTGTTTGCCGTTCTAAGTTGTATAAAAAAAAAAAAACAATATATAACAACTTGCCACGTCACTTGTAATTTGTTACGGGGGGATACATGCATGCCACATTTTAAATAATTGAAACTAAGAGTATTAGCAATTCCTTGTTTGTATACTTATTAGTGTGTCAATTTTATAAAAACTAATATTGAAATTTGATGGCATGTTTCTACATAGCATAACTTATGAAAGATTGTATATTTTGTAAAGCTCCAATAATTTATAATAAATTACCTAAACATATTATTATACGAGATTGGACTGAACCAAGTGTTTTAAAAAAACCTTCATGACATGTTAATTAATAAATGGTATAACAGCTTAAATTAATTGATTAACGTTAAACATGAATAAGAAATAATTAATTTGTCAGAATTAATTTGTAAATATTGGCCCATTTTAATTTGTTTTGTTTTGTGTTCTTTCTATTGTTTTGAATAATGCATGTAGCTAATATATCGTATGCTTATGTAGCAAGACTTGGAGATACTGTTTAACTGATGTAATATTAACTTAACCTGATCTATGATCCACAATAAAGATATTTGTATGTGTATTTAGATTTGTAAAAAACAAATCTCCTCTATTTCTTAATTATACCAAACTCAAGATTCAAGATTTATTTATTTGTAAAACATGCGTATAAATACATGCAGATGTTGACAATATAATATCGTTCGACATGTTTAGCCTGTACGGCATACAAACATATGTAGTTACACAGATAGTTCACATTATACATCAAGTCCATTTTATACCATTAATCGTCATCACATTCAAATTTTAAATACATTTAAATAAATAATAATCAGTTCTGTATTTCAGTCGCGAAAATCAGTCAAACAAACAGGGTTACACTCACATAACCTATATTATATTACTGAGAATGTCAAACCAACTAATACAAAGTCTGTTAGAAATTGATAACAGTTTATATTATAGATATAAATATACACCATGGACGTCACACAATATACGATAATATATTCACAACAGCTGTAACCCCTTACGCACTGTCGCTTCTAGGAAGTGAGTTGTATCATCTACGTCAATTAATTATTTTTTGTTATGAGCAATGTTTGAATACAAAACATAAAGAAGCTAGTGTGTAAGTGTGATGTGAAGAGCGAAAGTTTTTTTTTTTATACAACTTAGAATGGCAAACAAGCTGACAGCCCACCCGATGGAAAATGGTAACTGTCGCCTATAGACATGAGCAGTACCATGGACATAACAGAGTATACTGTTTTGCCCATGATAACCCCCATGCGTTGCCATTCCTGAGGACTCAGGTGTTATTCCTCTGTACCCAGTAAATTCACGCCATATCCCACGCTTCAAATCGAAACACAGCCATGCAAAGACAACTGCTTCACGGTTGAAACACGAATGGGACAGAGGTACCCAAGCAATCGACTTTTGTTGTATGGAAGTACTTGGTAATATGTGTATATGCAGGGTATCAGTGCAGTCCCCGTGGGGTATTCTTATATATGAAGTTGTGGAATGTATGTAACGAGTGATGGGCGTCTGTAGTAAGTGGTGGGTACTAACGATGTGGTCGAGCGGCTCGTCCTCGCCGGGCGGCAAGTCGAGCTGCGGCTGCGCGGGCGCGGCGTGGCGCACGTCGGCCCGCAGCCGCACCAGCTCCGCGCTGCTCACAGCGCCCGTCACTGGCTCCGACATCACATGCTCCTGAAAACTATATATACATATATGTTATTTCATCATTCCCATATCAATACTTAAAAATTCCAATATATGATGTTCTCTCACATTAACTAGTGATTAATACAAAAAAATAGCCTGTATTTCTCCTATGTCACCGTTAATTAAACTATTGTATATTTCAAAGTTTTGTATATTAACAAAATAGGCGATCACAAAACATAGCCATTAACACTATTGTGCATGACGTTCTGCGTAAATAAGATTCCAATTTCAATTTCCATTAACAGAGACAGCTGTAATTTTGGAAACAAATTTCTACCCAAGTATTTTGTATTATACCTACTCCAAACTCTAAGAACATAACGACTTCTCTCTACTAACCTAGCTCAGTAACCGGCCAATTTTACGCCAGGATTTTCATGTCCTTACCTATTATCCTCATATCTTTATATACTAATTCACGCGGGCAAAACCGTAGGATACAGCTACTTTATTAAAAATAAAATACAAACTTATCAAAGTGCGAAGTATATCCCAACGTCGGTGTAGCCAATAAACGATCGTAAATATTGGTAACATTAAGAGCAGGTCCATTCTCCGCTTCCCACTTGATGTACGATTCCCAAAGTCGATCCGATCGAAATTCCAAACCACATGCATCTGTAAAATTACAAAATATGAAATTAAGATTGAAAAGCTATCAGTATTAATAGATTTTCATCTAAGACAATTATTGTACTTACCTATAGCTCGTTCATACTGTGATCTTATAAAGCTATGGTCATCAGTTCTGGTAGCCTTAATATGATTAAGATAGTGTATCCATAAATCAACTGATAATGGTATAGCTTTGAGTCCTCTTTCCAAAACCTGAAATACAAGTTCAAAGATCACAACATGGTCCGCGTGAGGCCAAGCGTTGCCGTTGTTATGGCAACACTATGAAGCAAGGGAATAATAAATAGCATTGTATGTCTCATATAATTCAGTATACAAATAAGCGGGAGGTTGAGCGTTAGAAGGCTCGGAACGTTGGCCAGCGAACTAACAACCTCTCACTTGTATCTATTAAATATAAAATGTTTGGCTGGGCATATTACACCTGTTCGCACCCGGCGCGCCGACGGAGCTGTCTTCACTTCGGCGTCTTCACTTCCTAACGCCATTGTATGGCTAAATATGAAGAACGGCTGCGCTCCATGTGCCATGGATTATTAGTTAACATTATCTTAAATATATTCACCATTATTCACGTACTTAAATAATATACATGATAAAGTATTACAATAAATCATGCGTGTACATAGTATCATTAATATATGCATTAAATATAATGTATACACCACAAACAATGAACCACTACAAACAAAATTATGTGACGGTAACAACTCTCCGGTGCGAACGGACGACTTTGCCTTACGAACATCGTGGACCTCGACGCACTGTTGGGAAAAAAAATAATTGCAAAATGCTAGTTATGACTAAATCAATTCAATATCCAAGTGTTAAGACACATTGCAATAAAAATCATCAATCACGTGTTTAAGTATTTACCAACTCACCATATCATTTAATTAATAAATAATGTATCAATTTGACTTGGGCAGTACTCACCTCGAGACACTTCTTTTTACTTCCTTTACGTTTCTCATAATCGGCGTATTTGCGCCAGTAGCCGTAGCAATACGGGTAGTGAGACAAAAACGCGTCATACGCCTCGCGCGCCGCCTCTACGTCGCTCTGCCAAACAATAATCTCGTCAATCAAGATGTTAAAATTGTTTTTATTACTATTATTAATATGGTTCATATCAGTTGGCCCTTGCAGATCGACATTTAAGATTCAGTTCCCATTGTTTCATAAAACAAATGAGATTAGCAATGTTTTTCATCACACATTTTTCTAAATTAATTTACACAATTACCACTAAATATTAAAAACATTTAATAGTCAATAATGTAGAGATGATTATAACCTCTTGGTCGACGTACTGCAGCAAATATGTCCAGCCAGTGAAATCAGTTGGGTCGTCATTAACAACCTTCCAGTACTTGTCCAGTTCAGGTAGGGTTTTCTTTTTAGGTTTTTCATCAATTGATGATCTCTTCTCAGCAGGAATAGGTTTACTTTCGCCATTCTAAAAATATAAATTTTCACATAAAATTTTTGTTAATAAGTACATATTTTTATAACAATACACAAGTTTTGCAAAAAACAAAAATATTACAATTAGATACTTTTTTTATTATTATATTTAGTATTTGGCCAAATTGATAAACCATCCAATGAAAAGTGGTAACTATTATCGAATAAATTGTGGCACCTCCCCAGTGTAATGTCTAATGACTAAAAGAAAACTAAAATTAGAAAGTACTTTCTTGCCCATTAGACTGTAAACAAGACAGCACACTATTCCATCATATAAATTCCACAATTAATTAAATATTATTAATGAAATTCTTTTCATGTTCTAATACTTTCAGGTCTCACCTTAGCAATAGCTTGTTTCTTGCTAGCAGATTCACTTTCTGATGTCGGTGATCCAGGATCATATCCATCCCTTTCTTCATCAGGTTTGCGTTTTCGAGACTCTTTAGAGTCTTTCTTAGAAGCTGGCAATTCATCCTCAGACACAACCTACAACACCCAGTAATAGATTTAATATAACACACATATATATACAAAAAATTTAAAGACAATATTTATAGCATGACAAATATATTTAATTAAATAATTATCTATTTTATATAGCTAGATAGAGCCTATAATAGACAGAGAAACTACCATTTTGCCTAAACTTATAATGTAAAGCAGTTCTGATGCAATTTTACTAAAAAAACTATACTGCTCATTTTTTGTTTTGCTATAATACCAAATTGAAAGAGATATCAAAATTGGTGCTTCAGAATATACTCCATTTTTTGAATTTGATAAACCTCAAAACATTTACTTCTGTGTCAGCTGGTAACTCAGCAGGTTTAGGGCCAGGTAATTCATCATCTGACACATTCTCAGCATCCTTCACACTTGGTTTTTCTACTGTGGGTAATTCATCTTCGGAGACTACCTCAGTTTCTTCTGCACCACCAACCTTATTAGAAAATATAAATAAAATATAAATTACCTGTTTGTCTATATCTGGCACAGTTAGTTAGCAATCATGGCCTGTCTTTTTATCAGAATAACTGCATTAAATAAACAAATGGTATTAATTGGTTATGCAATGGAACACTATTATTTTTTGTCTATTTTAATCTTAAATGACTAAAAACAATAAAAAAACAGGCTGAAAATATATTTTTTAATAACAACTATTAAAATTACCTTGTCATCTCTCTTTAATAACTCACTATCTTCCATTGAACTTTCATCAGGAGGTTGTGCACTAGGAACTTTATCTAATTTCACACTCTGCTCTGTAATCTTGACAGACTTTTTTGCTGCTAGTGATGTACTATTTTCTGCATCTAGTAGGGCATTTCTTTCTAAGGGTTTTCGAGCACTTTCTTGCACAATTGGTACACTTTCCCTTTGAGATGTTGGAACAGTTTTCTCTGCAATTTTTGAGGCACTTTCTTCTGCAGATAATGAAGTATTTTTCTCCTTCAGTTGTGCAGCAGTATCAGCCTGACATATTAAAATTATTTATTTTATTGATACACATATAAAAAATTTTAAAACTAATAAATTATTTTTATACACAATCATGTGATATAAAGCAAGTAAAGTATATTAGGAATAGAATGATGAGCATCCGCACTTCCCCACTCATCATGCAGATTGCAGTAGTATTGAAAATTCAACCACTTAGCACCGATATTTTAGGAGGATGTGGTATTTCTCCAGTAGAGCTGGCTCATTCATGCTGTAAAACCATAAAGGATCACAGTGTGTGATTACCACATTCGAATTACTTGCTTTTATTGCCTTAAAATAGTTATGCTAGAAAAATTATAAGAATAGCAGCTAGGGTTTTGTTTCAATGCCCATCAGGAATTACCTCAAATGCCATAATAATTAAAATAATGAATGTAGTGAATTTTAAAATATGCTTTTTTTTAATTAACAAAAGATAATTCATAGGCATGACATCTCTCAGAGAGACTGATATGGTAGGGAATATATTCAAGTAGACTTTATATATCAAATATTTTAATATAGACTTGACATGAAAATTTAGTAAAAGATTAATATTTTTACTGGCTACAAGAATATCAGTTTAAAACACGTTCCAATTAAAACACACTTCCTGGCATGGACTTTATATGAATAAAATGTTCCAATTGACTATAGACAATGGGGTCCAATCCATGAGTTTCCATTTCTCTAAACTTTATCTCCTAACCTAATATTTTGATTTCATGAGATTTTTGTTTTATGGACCATCACAAGCAAAATTTATAACAAATTTGACTTAAATTTATTAGTAATTTAAATCCTATTGTTCCTTAGAATAAAAATTTTGCTGTCTTCAAATTGAAATTTTAATTTTAGAAATAGGTATAGAATAATGGTGCCGCAGAATTATTCCCTATGTTAATGAATAAGGTAGAATAATTTAAAACAACAATGTTAATTAAATTTTAAACATACTTAAAAAAAAAAGACAACGTACCTCAGATGTGTCTATGCCTTTCCGTGTATTTAAAATAGTTACTTCAATATCTCTTAGATTTTCAACCTAAAATATTTTACCTTTGATTACTAAAATGAACTTAGAAAGAGATTAATAAAATGCATTTCTCAAAACAGAAAAGACATCAATCAATAAATATACATTATTAATCCCTTACAAATCCATAATGAAATTATGTACTTATAACCAAAGATATATGTTTTTAATAACCTTTAGTAAGCCAACTAAGCAATATTCCAAGACATACTATACCTTATTAATTTGTAACCCGACTATTTTATCATCCACATCTGGTGCTTTGTCAATGGTATTTGAGTCACATAACTGCTTAGCAGCTTCTTTAGCAGTCACTTCAATGGTGTCACCTGATCGTGCAGCATTTGTCTCCATTATGGATGGAAAATCAACATTTGATGTTTCACTAGCATTCTGAAGCTCATAATCAGTATCCATCTTCGCCTTCTGACTCTCTGTAACATCACCATCAGTATCAGAGGCCACTTTATAGACATTGTCATAAAGCAACGAGTCGCTGTCAGAGAGCACGGTCAGAGACTCGCTAGGGAAGGTAACCGCGTTGTCCCCCACATCAAAAGAGTGTGTGTTAAATCCTTCTGTATTCTGATCCAAATAGTCCCCCACGCTACCCGCAGACAGCTCGACCGCATTGAGGAAACCTTGATTGGAGGCCGACGACTCGTCCACCACCACCGCGTCCACGCTGTTGAACTCGCCTTCCGTTAGTAAATGAGACAATCCATTTGAGTTTTCGTTAATCAGTGGTCCTTCATCAGTATCCATTGGCCCCTCTGACAAACATTTCTGAAAACATTATAATAGATTTTATTAACTGAATTTCATTGAAAAAAAGTACAAACATAAATTGAAATACTTCATAACCTGACTTATGCTTAATTAGATGTACACTTACATGTAAATCTGAACTAGATTCATCATCCATCTCAGTTTACTGTATATTAAACTTTTGAGCAGACTTTTCGGAGAATAATATCAAAATTAATTATTAAATATAATAAATACAAAATATAACAAAACAGCAATCATAAACGAAGGCGATAATTCCACAGATTAGAGAAACTATCTCTATATCTGAATTTAGTGCAGTGTTGCCAACCTCAAAAAAAGATTTTTTTTTTTTTTTTTAATTTATTCATGACCATGGATACAAGTCCTTCAGTCGCAGACATAAATGATATTTACAAAAAAAGGAATGTAGAACAAATTACTATATAAACGCAATTAACAATATTGATAACATAAAAAATTCTTAAACTTTATCTACAGTATTAGTAATGAAGTTAAAAACAGACGTAAAATAAGCTTCGTTGGATAATAAATCTTGAACGCGGCGGGGAACGCATTGTGAATGTTCCTTCGCAATGTCATTAATATCACTAACAAGTATCAGCCGTTGAATGTTGAAATTTTGACAGTCAAATATAATGTGTTTTATGCCTGCATTGTCTTGAAAACAGTATTTACACTTATTGTCACTAATAATATTGAGTCTGTTGAGGTGAACTGGAACTAAGCAATGCCCGAAACGAAGACGATTGATGATCGTAATAAACTTCCTGCCGCAGTATTTAAATTTGCTATACCAAGGTTTAATTGGTAAGTCTCTCTGTAACTCAGCATACCATTTACCTTTAGTTTCAGTTGTTATATCCCAATGGTCTTTCCATATTTTTGATAAATTACTTTTAAGTCGTCGGTAATAATCTGTGAACGGAACTTTCAACATTTCCGAGTGATCCTCATCGTGTTCTCGACTAGCTGCTCGATCCACAATTTCATTCCCTAGTATGCCACTGTGCGAGGGTACCCACACAAATTCTATGTTTTTACTCTGACTCAATGTTCGCAACAGATCTTTAATTTCATAAAGTAAATAATTTTGCTTATATGAGTAATTACAATTACATAAAGATTCCAATACACTCTTGGAATCAGAAACTATTAATATATTTACATTATTTACAAAGTTATTTACAAATATTAAAGCACTTAGAATAGCATAACTTTCAGCTGTAAAGATACTACAATTTTCTTCCAATTTAATACATTTTGTGAGTTTCTTTTGTGGATCATAATATGCTGCCCTAACACTGTTTGCACTTTTAGAACCATCAGTATAGATTACATAGAAATGTGATTTCTTATTCAAAAATTCAAGAAAATCAAATTTGTTATGTACTAAGTCTATATAACATTTAATATCTAGATAGTTAAGCAATGAATTGTAAGGACATTTGTACATTGGCCATTTAGCATTTACATAAATATGATTTGCTGTATTTTTAACATTTAACATTATGATTGGAATTTCAGGCAAGGGGTTAGAAACAATGCTGGAAGCTGAGATATTGGAGGATACAACAGAAGAAAATTCTACTGGATATATAATATTATTAAGGACCATATTTTTATTGAAAGACAATTCCTTCAAACAGAAACGTTGAGCCAAATGTAAACGTCGGAGGGATAATGGAGGTATGCAATTTTCAATCTCCATAGAATTAATAGGAGTGGAGCGCATGGCTCCACAAATTATTCTTAAACTCATATTCTGTATCACATCGAGTCTCCTCAACAATGTGGTGCTAGCATTCATATAAGCCAAACTACTATAATCAAAATGACTCCTAACAATACTTTTATATAGCAAATTTAGAGTTTTAGGGTCAGAACCCCAAAAAGTTCCAGCCAGACATCTCAAAACATTTACACTTTTCATTGCATTTTGGGAGATATAGTTAATGTGTTTATCAAATTTTAATTTGTCATCTAATACTACACCTAAAAATTTATGATGATTAACAATTGGGATTACTTTATTGTTATATAAAACTTTCACTCTGGATAATACAGATAGATCTCTCTCTCTACTAAATACCAAAACTGAGCTTTTCTCTGAACTGATTTCTAATTTTAAAAAATTGCTATAGTAATTATGAAGCTGAAATAATGCAGAATTAATGTTGTTAATGGCCATATTTAAATTTTGATCTTCACTATATAAAAGCAGGTCATCAGCAAACTGAAGAATATTAACTTTTGAATTATCCACATAGTTGAGGATCTCCGATGTGTACAAACTATACAATAAAGGAGACAATGTGGCCCCTTGCATAGTCCCTTTGTTAACATTTTTTGGTCCATGTAAAATGTTATTATATTTAACAAAAACAGTTCTATTATTTAAAAAACTAAAAAGCCACTTTAATGTTTTACTTGGCAAACCCAAGTTATGCAACACATGAATTAAACATTCTATATTCACATTGTCAAAAGCACCTTTAACATCTAAGAATACACATACTACATTAGAGTGACTTAATTTTGCTTTTTTTAACACAGATATTAATGATACAAAGCTTTCAGAACAACTTCTGCCCTTTCTGAATCCAAACTGTATGTTTGGCAACTTATCTTGTGATTCAGCATAGTAGTCCAAACGAAATTTTAACATGTTTTCAAAGAGTTTACCTAAACATGAAGATAAGGAGATAGGTCTATATGATGATGCACAATTTACAGGTTTATTGGGTTTAAGAATAGGGATAACACACTGGGTTTTCCAAGATTCTGGTATAATTGAATATTCCCAAAGTTTATTATATATATCTAATAATATTTTCTTTGCATTAGGATGTAAATGTTTAATTAAAAAATATGTTATACCATCCAACCCTGGAGCTGTATCTTTCCGACTTTTTAGTGAAATGTGGAACTCATGTAATGTAAAGGGTTTATTAATAAATGAGTTACTAGCATTTTCTTCAGACAGATTCAAAATATCTGTTATATCATTTTGTAAATGTGATGATGCTGCCAATGAGTCTAAAAACTCTGGTATCCATTCATCATTTGGGTTTCTATTTGAAGTATTATCTAATCTTTTAAACCTTTTGATGTAACTCCATATTCTAGAAATAGGTGTTGTTCTATTGAAACTGGTGCACAACTGATGCCATGACTCTGTGCGTTGTTCCCTTAGAATTCTTTTCTTTTTAGCATCAACTTTTTTGTAATTTATGAAATTAGAAATTGATGGAGAATTTCTGTACTGTCTCAGGGCTTCTTTAGACTTTTGAACAGCATCATCACAAATGTCATTCCACCAAGGAGCTGGTTTTCTCAAAAATTGGAAAGATTGTTTTAACTTTTGTTTAGGAACTGTCTTATCTCTTATATTATATAAAATATATACAAAATCATTATATAACTGTAAAGGTTCAGTACTGTTATAAATGTCTAAGTGAGAAAAACTAATTTCAGATAAACTGTAATATTTAGACCAATCTGCTTTATTATATAAATATTTGTCTTCCACAGGTCTAACTTCATATATTGATGGCTTCACATTTACACGTACCTGAGTCGGATAATGATAACTGCCCATCGGGTCATCATGGACTTTCCACTCACAAAGAGGAGACATTGAAGGACTAACTAAAGCTAAATCTATTGCTGATGCTTGCCTGTTTGAGACTGGAACAGTAGTCGGACTACCATCGTTCAACACATATAAATTGAATTCATCTATAAGACTGAACATAATATTACCTCTACTATTGTTTGTGTTACAACCAAACAAAATATGATGTGCGTTGAAATCACCCATAATGAGACATGGTTTAGGAGTATCCAGAAGTACTTTTTTAATTTTATTGGTGTGAAACTTTCCACTAGGGGGACAATATACACACAGAATATGTAATTTACCAATAGATGTTTCTATTGAGATGCATAAATTTTGAACAGCTTCAAAGAAAGTAGTATTAATAATATTATATTTAAAATTTTTCTTAATTAATATACCAATTCCGTTGTGTGGATTTGTAGAATTTTTGAAAATAAAATTATATGATGCAAACCTAGGAATTTTACTATTACTTTTAAACCATGTCTCATTAAGTAAGCATATATCAATATTTTGTTCAGTAAGATATTTTTGTAACAGAACTTTTTTACTCTGTAAGCTTTGTATGTTAAATTGTGCTATGTTTATATATGTATCCATAAAACTAAGTTAAATTAGACAATAATATTTCTTTAATTTTCTTATGAGTTATTGACATTTTCTCATTGTTGTTCCCAAGAGCAACAAGAGATTTAACGAGAGCATTAATTATAATATCATTATTTACAATTTCATCTTTATTTAATTCGGATTTATTTACATTTGAATTTAACTGAGAGCTATATACATTACTGGATTTTTCCAGATTTGGAAAATTTTTTGACTCTGAAACATTTGAAGGTATACTCACAACAGTGGCATAACTAAGATTGAGATACTTGTTCCTCTTCTCTTCCATTTTCTTCCTTTTAATGGGACAATTCCTAGAAATAGCTAGATGATTGCCACCACAATTAATACACATTATCGTGTCAACATCACATTCTTTATACGAGTGCTGACCAGCACACGATGAGCACATCTGTACGGCTCGGCAAACTTTGGCTGAATGGTTAAATTTTAGACATTTGAAACATTGAACTAATGGTGGAATGTAAGTATGCACAGGATATCTGAACAACTGAATGTAGACATATTGTGGCAATGTTGTTGCTGCAAATGTGACAGCAACTGTACCTAAAGGTGTAAGGATCCCATCTACTTTTCTCATAAAACGTTTAATAGAAATTACTTCTGCGTCACAGCTAATATTTTTATATATATCTTCATTGGACATATCTGTCGGTACATATCGAATAACGCCGGTTTTTTCTGATAAATATGCGGGTACAAAAGCTCGAAATTTATTTTTATTCAAAAAATGGTCCATTTTAAGAAAATTATTTGCTGGTGCCGGTTTCCTGAACGTGATGCCAATTTTATAGGCGTTCACTCGATGAACTCCTACGATACCCTTTACATTTTCTGTGAATAGTTTAGTCAAAGTCATAGGATTTTTATTCCCTAATTTTTCGTCTTCCGTTGATTCTACATATACTACACAATCAACACTGTGATTTTCTGGGAACTGTCTCTTGTAATTTGGTTTGGTGTACATTTTATAATTATCAGAAAGTCCTGAATCATTAAATGCTAATTTACGTTTCTTTGCCTGACCTTTTCTTTTCCTTCCAATGTCGACGGGGTCTCCCCCGTCGCTACTTACACTCATTTTCTTTGCTATATATTACAAACTGTCTACAAAAAGTACTTAATATACAAATATACAAAATATTTAAAAATAAAATTGAAAATAAAAAATGAGAAAATTTAAATCGCCCGCTCAGTTCAACTTCCCCCCTCAAAAAAAGAAAAAACAATAGCTTGCCAATAAAAAACAGGAGAAACCAGTAGGTAAAGTAAAAATGGCATATTTCATACTTTACTCATATAATTAAAACAATAATTAATTTTCTTAGTTACCAGGACTCACATACATTGTTATATTAATAATCACAATATAATTTAAAAAATAAAAGTAAAATTATTTTCCACGTTCATTTTCAATTGCCTCAGCATTTTCATATATATTTTCCTTTTTTAAATCATACATATATTTATTAAATTTCTTCATGTCTCTTTCCGTACCTTCAAATGAATAGCAATACCCTTTTAATAGTCGATATTCTGTTGCGTAATTTAGTTTTAATAATATTTATAGCTGAAAATAAGCTTTCCACTAGGGATGTCATCTGAAATATATATCGATATTTTTTTCGATATTATAAATCAAATTGTCGTATCGATATTATGCGATAACGTTTCAAAATATCGATATTTTTTTGATATATCCTATATAATATTCAATTATTAATCAAAAAAAGAAAGATAAAAGTTAATTAATGGTAGAGAATTAAATATTTCAATCAACTTTAATTTAAAAAAAAAAATATTTAAAGATCCCAATATTTCTTATTTAACCCTTGCATAAATAAAATTTTATTGCCTCGTTTAGCTTGCAGTCGATTTCTTTGTTATGTTAAAACCTGCGCGGCCTTTGAAAAAAGCCTTTCAGATGGAACAAAGCTGTACCTTGTAATCCATCTATACTTCCAAAGGATTTTCATTAAATCTACTACCTGAAGCCCTTAAATAAAGCGTATCTCATCTGAAAGGCTTTCGTCAGTTTTATTGGTTTTCCAATTCCACTGAACTAATTTGTGATGATCACTCCAGAGACTAAACTCTGTCTGAGAAAGTTTGTCTGATGAACAATCAGAATTTGATCCCACAGCAGCACATAAATCCTCTTGTCAATTTGATCTGACCATCTCTTTAATTTTACTTACGGCATTAGAACAAGCCAAGGTTAGGGCTTTGGGCTTCTGGAACTCTCACTTACCGAACGAAACACGGCAGTACTGTTATTTCACGACGATATTCTGTAAGAGGATGGCACTTCGCCGGTGGAGCGGTCCTATTTGTGCAGCTGCCACAAAGGCAACTACCACTCCAAATCATAATGTTACATCATAATGTAAGCTTACCACAGAGTAATACCAAATCAGATCAAGTATTCAAGACGATTTTTGTATCAAATAAAACATATCGATTTTTTTTTTCAATATTTGGTTATTTGATATTATCAAATCGATTCACTATATCGATATTTTTTTATATCGATATATATCGAACACTCCTACTTTCCACGGGGGCGTTGCTATATGTTAGGCACAAAAGTTTCTTCACCAATTCACACAATATGCCAAATGCTTGAGATTCATCTCCATTTTTTAATTCGTGTACATGTTTCCAAAAATCGATAATATCGGCAATTGTGTTTCAACCATAAGATAAATTGATATTTCTTAACATTTGCCATTTTTTATCTGGTTCCGATTTGCATAGTTTAACAGGTGGAGTTGAACCTAATTGAAATACAGTAAAAATTAGGACTGAAATATAAAACAGGGGCATTAATATGAAAACAACAAATCTACTGTTAAAACAGTAGGGTTGATAACACTGATGTAGTGACAACCATGAGGTCATTGAAAAAATATCGGTATATCAATATATTTTAGAGGTATTTATTAATGGATCGATGTAATATGATTTAAAATTGTATTCTTGTAGCACGATTACTTTCTACTCGTTAGATGGATTAAATGCATTTTTCACTAAAAAAGTAATATCTATAATCAAATAGTAGATAATACACTGAATGCAATTATCACTTTAATTCCTTAATCACTCTGTAGAGGCGTAGTAACGGCTGTTGTTAATATTTTATTTATATCAAGTACTTGTTCTATTACTAAATATTTATTTAAATTAACAGTCATTTATTACTATTTAATTTGTGAAGTTAGTAACTAATTTTACTTATACTTCAACTACTTTGAGGATTAAGTTAAGTAAGTGTTAAACAGGTTTTGAATACAGTCGTTAGGACTACTGCTTAATTTATCGTCTATGGTGGTCGTTAAAAAAATAAAAACATTTTATTTTTTACGTCAGAATTCAGAAATTTGAACCATGTTGTGAATTCATTACCTAGTCTTTATTTACCTATTTCTTATATTTTACTTATGTAAAGTTCATAAAATAAGTAGATGAAGAATTTTACTTATTACGTATGTTTATAGTTACTAATCACTTAAATACAATTTATGCAGTTTTAGCATAGCTGTCTACCAATAAATATATTCAAAATGTATGGAATCTCCTCGTTTTTCTCTAAAGCTCTTGCATCAGGACAGCAATTAATAACACAACAAACGAGGGTGAGTTCGATTTTAAATTATTCGAAGTGGATTTATAGGAATTGGTTTTAGAAAACAATATCTGAGTAGAAGGTACAGCGATTTTAGAGGTTAATTTTAAATTTGACAATTACTTTCATATTTTTCCTTATTATGGCGTATTTTTTCTTTTATTTAAACAGTATTAGTGATGACATGGCTAGGAAAGTCAATCCCTTGCGGCCCATATTCTCTCTTTAATAAATGAGAATGAAATAGTAACCTTGCCTACGTTATCGATATTAACATGAGAGGCACCAATAAGGAATGATAGGTGAACATGAAATCAAGTCAGCCCATTGTAATGAATTCCACAAGAATCAACCATAAAGATTTCCAGGAGGGACTGTATGAAAGTCAACCTGATAAGTTATATTAGCAGCGGTTCTGTTAAACTCCATTATTAACAGTCCCTCTCCCCTCTGACCATATTGTTATTCACACTGTCCATACATCTATTCTTAAATCCTTATCCATATACTTAATTTATAACATCCTCTTAATTCTTGTACAACTCATCAGTATATCCTGGTCAGATGAAATGCAGTTAATTATCTATAAAGTGCAATAAATAATAATGTGTATTGCTAACTATTACTACTGTTTACTTAACACTGTTTCAAAAAATATTACCTACTTATCTGTTAGAAATTATTTAACATTTATGCACTTCAACATAAGTGGATGTTGGTTCATTGCATTTTAAATTGTTTGTTTTATTGTTACAGAACACATTTATTTTAAAAAGAAAATTCCCTCCTCCATTGCATAAAAAAGGTGCTAAAGTGGCTAAAATGAAGGCTAAACACTTTATTTATGACTTAGTGGAAGATACAAATGTTAAAAAGAAACCAGAGGTGAAGGTGATCCTAAAACAATTTGTCGATGGTATGTTTGTATGGTAATTAACCCTTAATCAAGAATTATGTAACAAATTTTATCTTTATTGTAATAGCATTTTTAACAATATTTAAAAATACACTCTGAACTTTAAATGTTACCAAATTAACATAATAGGCAAAATTATTATTTTTTAGGTATCGGGAATAAAGGTGATGTACTCACTCTAAGATCAATGATAGCTTATCGTGATTACCTTGTGCCTGGACTGGCAGTATATGCAAGTCCAGAAAATTTGCTGAAATACAATACAATTGAAAATAAACAAACAAAGGAGGAAAATTTCAGTTCCCCACATGTACAAAGGGTAATTAATAAATTTAGTGTTAATAACAATTAATCATTATCATCATCTTCCTTTCCTTATATGAATTATTTGGGGTCTGCTTAATTTATTATAAATAGTAATTAATAATTTGATTAATGTTATAATTATACATACAATATATATATATATATATATATATATATATATATATATATATATATATATATATATATATATATATATATATATATATATATATATATATATATATATATATATATACACATATATATATGATATCATCATGAAATATTTAAATCTATATAAAAATTGTATATAATTTGCTGTCATATTTTATAATAAGTATGATGGTTAAATCATATATCATACTATTCTATAGTAAATTATAAAAGAGCCCAATGACAAGAAACTAAATGGATTTCTAAGTGCAATTTTGGAAATATTTTTAATAATGAAGTTATTAGAAAAATGGTATCATACATATATTACAAAAATGAGGTGTATTCACAGAATGAGCAAATTGGACTTCCAAACTTGGGATATTCATTTAATTGGTATTCAGGCTTATGTACCCTATGATAGTAAATGAAATTGTAACCTTTTCTTATATGCAGTAGTGCTCTTCTTGCAACACCAGGGTTGTTATTATAAAAAGTCCTCTCATCCTCATCATCTCACTCACATGATATCTGCAAGAACATAATATTAGAAATATAATATAGATTTTTAAATATAATGGAAATTATTATATTTGCAGACAATGAGTTGTCTGTCTCGTCTCGTCTTGAATATCACCATGAGTAAGCTACAACCATGGACTCTGGAACCATGGCATATCAAAGCTTCATTCCGTAAAACAGGATTTGTAGTTCCTGAATATGCTATAGAAATGCCCCCTGTGACTATAAAAGGTCCGGATTTGAAGCTGCAAGACAAAGAATTCTATGTTACAGTTACAGTAAGTGTAATTATTCTTTACTTACATAGAATTAAATTTTCTGTAGAATGGGGATAAGATATAATATATATCCATATATTGTTTGAAAATTATGAAATTACATATATCCATGTTTGACTGACAACTATGAAATTAAAAGTTATATTTACAAATCCAAAGGTATTATATTAATAATTTAATTTGCAGATAAACAAAACTGAAAAAGTGAAAGTTAGATGTAGAATTCATCATTGGGCAACAGGTCTGGACCGGCTCCCGTGGGTAGAGTTTCATTGGAAAAAACCATTGGAGGCGCTTATACCGGAACAAGCAGCAGATTTAGAAAAAATGCCATTGCCTCAGTGAGGTCTATTTTAGTTATGGCTCTTATTTGTAATTTGTATAAAAAATGTAGATTTTAAATTATTGTTTTAATACATTAAAAAAAACACAAAGTTTATTATTTTATCGAAATCAATTTAAATTAGTTCTATTTGTTAGGTAAAAGTTTAACCAGGGCCTGATAAATCATGTTGGGGCCCCTGTGCAATGCTCACAAAAAGGAACACTGATACTATCATACTGATGCCAAAAATGCAATCAGTAAAATTTTTGTCTATTTGTATGTTCGTTATAGAAACAAAAACTACTCGACGGATTTTAACTAAACTTGGTACAGTTATTCTTCATACTCCTGGGTAGGTTATAGTATACTTTTCATCACGCTACGATCAATAAGAGCAGAGCAGTGAAGGGAAATGTTGAGAAAACGAGAGAAGTTACTCCATTTTTAAGCTTCCGTCGTGTGCCCACCCGTGCGACACCGGAACGGGCCGCTAGTGTGAAATAAAAACAAAAAGCCGGCAAAATTATTGCGTTGTCGCTGCCGCTGGCTCTACGATAAGTGTAGATGGGACGCGGAGGTGAGTATTGCAGGAGAAACTATATAAACGCGCGCATTTCAAATTGCTGATATGCTATACACACGCACTCGCCAATATATCAGCCTTATTAAAATGTGTTGGAAAGTTTAAAAGTTACACAAATATTGCACCCATACGACCCGAGGCGGATCGCTAATATGATATAAAATTACCTTTACTGCATTTCTCATATTAAATAATTGCCGTATAATTACTACCTATATGTTATTAATGAACTACAATTCGTTGTCTTATTTTGGCCATAATTGTTAAAAAATAATTTGCATAACAAAGTTGCTTTTAGATAACTGTTTAAAAACAATGATAGGTAGAAACTTTTTTTTTTTGTAATATTTACATATCCCTTTATAATTTGTAATTATTTCAGATTTTTCATTTCACAAACTTTAGAGATAAAAGAGGTATGGTTTTTCTCACATTTCCGATCATAATTTAAAATATACGCTGCGTAAAAATAAATAAAAATCAGTTTTAAAATGTACAAATAAATCCTTTTATATTTATATGATACTCCACTTTGAATTGGTTAATTTTTTAATGTTGAATACCTACTCCTTTTGGAATCTCTAGCAAAAAAAATTGAATAATTTCCATTGCAATATCGCGGTTAAAATGTAACGATAGGACGCATTACTCCATCTCGCTGTGCTCTTTCTCGTTTTATTTCTATGTTTAAGGATTTGTGCTTATAGAATAAATCTAAAGGCCATTCCACAATGTCACGGTATAGTTCAGGTGAGCGTTCGCAAACTTATGTATACCTGAACGCGGTCGGTTTACCACGCATAGATACAGTCGTCCCATTCTCATGATCTGATATTGAAAACATGCAATAAGGGTATGAAGTTCTTTTGTCTCTACAATTGTTGAGAGTTTCAGAGTTTGCTTACCTGGCCATTTTCTACAATACAGGCAACTCGCTTTTGCAGAACATAGAGAGCGTTTAAAAGATACTGCTCGCATCTCCTGGATGGCTTATCCAAGAGAGGCGAGCAGTACTCCATACCTGGCTTTACCTGTGCAGATAGAAAGGGATTAAAGTAATGGGGTCTAATTGACCCATTGCTAGTAATACACCCTGTCAGATCCACCTCCACGCGATTCCCCTTGCGAACCATCATGATTAATTCTAGATGAATTCGTCACGATAGTCTAACTGACCTGCTTTCATTGTCACCTATCATCCCTCAGTGGTGCCCCGCCAGCGTATTCCTATAGTAGCAGTACCATCGCGCTCTGCTCGAAACTGAGTTTATCAGATGTCGTTTTAGGCACGCTCTCGATGTAATCTCTGTATTGGAGACCCTGGTACGGGACTACCGTCACGTCACGTTAACTAGTAACGCATTATCGTTACGTTGCGTAACACGTAAACTTTGCGTTAAGTATTTAATTGTAGGTAGGTAGGCAAATGTCATCTATCGAAATTAATATTTATAAAATGCTTTACACATGGTGGTAGCTGGGGATGGGGAGGCATTGAAGGGGAATGCCCTACCTTAAAATGAAAGGCCTCAACAAAATTAAATTCGCTTTTTCGAAGTTACTTAATTATGGCTTCTACCCTACTTTAAATTTGGGTTTAGCTACGGCCCTGGCTTTATAGCAATAAATAGGTGAACTGGAGCTATCCTTCTTAAAATGAGATGAATACAAAGAATCCGAGTTTAACGCGTGTAGGTCCCGATAAATTCGACATAGTATAAAACAGAGAATTTTTTTTTGTTTTCCGCTTGATTTATAATAATCAAAAAATTTTGATAAGTAATTTAGACAATACAAAAAATATTCTTTAAAAAAATATGCAGATTGCTTATTTAATGGACCGAGGTCACTGTAGTCCATAGACATGATAGTTTCGTTTCATTGACAAAACAGTCGTGCCATTACAACTGCCTGGTGGCAGAAACACGATTGGGAATAAATATTTATGTAGAAGACTATTATATAGTTTTGTTTAAATTTAATTGGAAATTTACCAAACGCTACGCTATTACTTTGTCCGAACTAAAATCCTTACTATGATGACGATAAGATAATCCAGTTGTAACTGGATATTTATTATACTAATCGAGTTTTATATGAACGAACTGAATATTCTTGTATTTAGCAAATCATAATAACACTCAATTTAGATATATATTTTTATTGATAATAATCATAAAAAGTAGGATGAGTAATAATACATATAAATAATATTTCCATAACAACTTTTTACCCGTTAATGTCCCAATACTGGACATAGATGTTTCCGTATGGAACTAGGATATTAGCCTCCTATTACCACAGTGACACGGGCGGTTTGGTACAAGATTATTTTTCATTACTACCAATTATTACGTATATAATAACTAAATTTACTTCTAATTATGTTAAACTGTTATAATATATATTATACTGCTATCATGAAACATTATTACATTTATTTTAATTTCATAATGAAAATAAATTTATGAGAATTATTTATAAATTATTTATAAATTTAATAGAATAAATAAATTTATATCTATGTACTTTATTTGATCTACAATTTTTCAGGTTTTTCAACATTGCTTATTTCAACATATTCATTTTGTTTTTCTACATAACCTTGTTCATTGTCCAGTTGTTGTTCTATAGTCTCTTGGGTTTCAAGATGTTGTTCTTCAAATTGTGGCTGATAGTATTCTTGTTGAGTTAGTTCTTGTCTAGTTTCTGATTCATATTCTTGTGGCCCAACATACTCTTGTGGTTCAATATATTGTTGTTCGTATCCTTGTTGTTCTTGTTGTGGTTCATAAGGCCCATATTGCTGTTCATAATTTGGATCATAACGTTGTGACGTTTCTTCATTGTCATTAATTTCCGCTGAATAAACTTGTTCAGTATCAGCACCTTCATAGTAACCATTTCCCTGATTGTCTTGATAGTTTTCATTTTGCGATACATAATCTTGATTGTAGACATTCGCGTCTTCATCTTGGTTATAGACATAATCTTGGTGCGTCTGTTCGGAATAGAACAATTCCCTTTGTTCGGCGTCAAAAGCTTCTATACCTGACGAATCTAAAGGATTTTCCATATTTTCAGCTACAGTAGTTGAATTAGGATCGTATTGATTTGTAGGTTCGAAGTTATTAATCACGTCAGTATTTTCTTCTATTTTGATGTTCGGATCTTCTTCTAATTTCAAATCGTTATTGGGCGTATAATCTTGAACGTTTACGGTCTCAATTGGATATTCAGTGACTACTTGTTCTTCAAATGAGTCATTACTTGTCATTTTAATGAAATTGTCATCATTTATATTCGGTGTTGAAGCTACTTCACCCTCATTTGAAATTGTAACTTTTTCTGTATCGGGCTTGTAAACTATCTCTTTCGTAGGTAAATATTGTTCATGTATTGTATTCTCAAGTTTTAGATTGTTGTCACTATTTAAATCACTTTTTAAATCTTCATGAGTATCCCATTCCGGGTTCTTTTCTTGGGCATTGTCAAGTTTAGAAATCGATTCAATTTTTTCCTCGAACTTTGTTTCACAAAATACTTGGTTTTGCTCTTCATTCTGACGTACATTATCTGGAAGATCGTTCTTTATTTTGTCATAAGTTTTATAGGGTATTTCTTCTATTTCCTTTTTTGTGACATTCTCGCTACTCACTGTTATAGTATTTAGATTGTCTTGGTTATATTCGCTATAATTAATGTTATCGTTATCTAACTCTTGGTGTAATTGATAATCATGAGATTTTTTGTCCTGATCTTTTTCCGGTTCGTCTTCTTTATATTCTGATATTGGTTGTTCTTTTTCATTACTTATATCAGTAAAATCATATTGAGTCTTTCCTTGAACAATATTATTTTCAGGTCGATACTTTACTCCTCTGCACGAAGATATATCAGAATCCTTTTCATCATTTTTCAATTGTTCTAAAATATCATATTTACTTTTCCAATCATCCTCTGCATATGTTTTTACAGTTTGAGCATACTGACTGTCAAAGCCAGGTCTATTCTTTGGAATTAATATATATTTTTTACTAATTTCTTGAAGCAGAGTTTTTTCTATTATCTGTGTTCTAGGTACATTTAATGGAAGGAAATCTCGGGTTGTGGGAGACAGTTTTAACTGGCTGTCCTGTTGTCGCGGCGATATTGGATAGACTTCTCTACTAGAGTCCATGTTGGGCTAAAATAATTTATTTCATATAAGACAAAAATTTATGTAATTATGTTAATATATGTTTTAGAAGTAAAAGTAAAATTAATGAGTTTATATTCTCAACTTACCTTATGTCTAAGCTGCACCACTGCTGTACAATATCGCATTTTGTCCAATTTGCCAAGAATATATTCATTCCTCTCTTTACGTCTCTTGTCCTCTTCAAGAAAAGCATCATATTGTTTCCTAAGAGCATTGATTCGGTCTGATTTTATTCTGAAATAAAATATTGTTTTTAAATTCACATCATTTAAACTTATATTCATGATAGAAAAAAAAAATTAACAACCCTTTAATCCTTTCCACAAGTAGGAAGAGATAAAAATTTAAAAGCCCGTAAAAAATAAAATAAACTTATTTTAACTTCGAAAAATTGATATACCTAATACTAACACACGTGTAAGCCATAGCGATTGGAAAAAAAAAACATCAAAACATATATAATAAATACTCTTACTTTTTATCAGACTTCCTCATATGTGCGTGTTGTCTTAGCGGTTTCAACACAATATTACGAAACTAATCTCAACCAACACAACAAGAGGACTAGCATGGCACCGATGTAAACAAAGTAATGCCACTTCGACCTTCGCGAAGGTTTTCTGAGTTTGCGCAGATTCACCTAATATCTATCTTTAGACGAACATTGTACAGACTTGTCGAACTTTTTATGGATTGTTTTGATAATAAGGAAAACAGTGACCCTTTAGGTTTGTCCTATTGTTTGTTATCAGCGCAACGTGTTCATGGCTTTTATTCTAGTCTTAATTCAGTCTATATGTGTCACAAACTTTCATACATGGATTGATAGATATATCTATTACAAATCAGATGAATGGAAATCCGAAAAGGTCTTTTTAAAACTTCATATCCAATCACTTTCAAACCTCATCATTCTTATAATAACATGATTCTACATATATAAAAAATGTATAATAACATGATATTGTATATGTGTAAGCTGTCCGATGGTGCCAGGTATTAAGTGGTACATCGTAACGTCAGCCAGCTGTATGGTACAATAACAAAGCAAAATGACCTTCATCCTTGCTTACAATCCCGTGTCACGAAACGTTTCTACCACAATCAATTCGGTGTACCTACACATACATATTAGGTAGTTTGATTACACTCTAAAAACATTAGAACCAATATTTACTAGCCCTTACTAAAACTCATAGTGGCACATATCTATCTGGATATATAAATTCGCTAGCTTTATTCCGCGGTTTCGCCCGCGTGCATTATACATAAAGTATCGTATTTTTGGATAGTAAGTAAGTTTGGATATAACTTATCAGTGTATCAAATTCCATTTAACTTAATGGATTATTCAGTAACTTTTGCATGAAAGTATAACATATAAATACTAGTGGGATTAATTTAATCCACAAAATTCCAACCGTGTAGAAATTTAAAGACAAGTATTTATATTTTTTTGAGTATTTTAACGCAATTCGAAATGGCAAACATGTTGAGAGTTCATCTGATGTAAAATGTTAACCGTCGCCTATAGACATGAAAATTTTGAACATAGTAGAGTATACGGTGTCGCTCATGACACCCTTCATGCGTTGCCATTCTTGAGGACTAAAATGTTGCTGTGTGCTTCTGTAGCCCGGAATTTTATTGCCATATCCCACCCTTCCCATTGCCGTGTGGCCCCGGCATAGAATGGGCCACCCCTTCATTACCTGTGGGTGTCATAAGAGGTGCCTAAAGGAATTTAATGGTCGACGGATGAGCAACAGCGTCCCTTTTAAAACAACACCAAATTCTAACTGCAGTTGCCAACCCGCCTCCCAAGCATGACAACTACTGACAAAACTTTCCCTATGATCCGCAGTGGACAGTTAATAGCTGATATGATGATGATTTCACTCTTCATGACTTTTTGCTGAAAGTCATTGTATCACAACTGCTTTATGATAGAAACAAGAATGATGACCTTTGTACATAGACTCTCTCTGGTAAATTGTAAGTGATAATTTTTTTTTAATTCTTGGGCCAAGTGCAATAAAGATAGGTGTTGACAATTTCAAGATTTTGCCTGTATATCTATGATGTAACACCCAAATGGATGAATCAATACTGTTCTTTATTTGCAAGCTAGTTTAATCGGGATAGTTCTTAGCTGCCTCAGTTTGTAATAAATTAGTTATTATATAACTGAATTTACATTGTAATTTGGATACATGTTGAAATTTAAGTTTTACCGACTATCTGTATGACGGTAGGTATCGACCCTGCATGAGCACTTGTTAAAGAAATATTTAGAATGAACTCTGCGACGACGCTAATTGTAAATAACTACCTAGATACAATGCCAAAATCTACATAGAACATTGAATTTAGATATCCTGTCTCTAATATTTAAAATACAATAAGGTACTTCCAATTATTAATATTACATGTTTGTATCTAAATATCAAAAGCCAATGAATCCGTCCCATGCTACTCTGTGTATACTCAAAAAGTTGGTACTCTTTGTTTGATAACGAAAAATAAGACAAAGCGACGTTAATTACGGTTATCCCCTAAATTGATAGCCGTAATACAAAAACGTTGATTCAGTTAATTGTGGCCGTGATAGATAATTGATATAGTTGCAGGATTTTGAAGACCTTCTAACTAGGATATTGGTAATCCCGCCTGCACTAATAGCATACGATAATGGGGCAGCAGTGACAAATGATAGTTGTGGATAAAATTAGGCCAGTTGGTGCATCGTGACGAATTAACAATCATAGTATCTAGTACAGCTACGAGAAGGACGAACTGACAGGTTTATCTATCTCATTATTAGCAATAATGGGGCAGCTAAATAGACTCCATTATTAATAGATAATATAATAGGTGCCTATCCCATGACGCGAACAAACCTTCGCAAAGATATGCCTAAGAGTACAGTATTCCTTTTTTTAAGCCACTACGTCATTGCTGTTTCTTCTTTCTACTTCTAAAACACACAACTGATTTATTACGGATTTAATTAATAAACGGATGCCAATATTAAAGCAGAACTTACAACAAGATTATCTGATTTTTATTGGAAAATCCTATGGATTGCCGCAGTAGGAGCATATCTACTTAGTGAACAGTCTTTTGATCTCGGTAAAGCATATCTATAGGCCATACTTGACACTTTGGCATCCACTATTTCTTTTTTGTTTATTCTCCAAAGGAACAATAAAATGGCTCGGATAGGTAAGTTTTTATACTATACATACTATAAGTAAAATCTAATAAGCATTTGTTTATTTGTAACACTTTATTGTGCAGTAAAGTCTTAAATTATAGGATACAGAGTTCTTAAGAAAATAATAAGTACAATGACGGACTTATCCCATAAACGGGATCTCTTTCTGAACGTTCTGCCTGTTTATATTTATTTATCTTTGTAATATATGGAAGTGAGTTAAAAGGCAAAATTTGGACGAAAAAATCAGGTCAACCCATTCGTGACAAATTTATTAGGAAACAACCATAATGGCTCCAGAAGAAATTGCCTATTTTAGTAGATGATAATGGAACTGCAGCCTTCAGCTTTACCCTCTGTTAGTAATGATATAGATAATATAATACTAGATAATATTATAAACTAGCTGCCCTTTTACTAAGTAATATACTATGTCAGGACGACCTACAGGTGGTTTCCAGGAGGAAAGAAATTCTTAGTAAGTGGAACTACCAGCTCCATTGCTAATAATACCCTGTTAGATCGACTTCTACGTGGTCCTCCCTATAAGCCATTTTGTGGGTAATTCTTATGTATCTATCACAATGTGCTAACTGATATATTTTCATCCTCACCCATCATCCCTCATTGGTAACCGCCAGTATATAACTACCGACAGCGCAGGCGGGGTTACCATTCTATTTTCATTCCATTATAGTCCATCCCTACTGGGGGAAAGAGATTGTTAGTAATGGAGACTGAGAATCCCATTGCTAGCAATATACCTAACCAGGTCGACCTCCTCGCGGTTCTCCCTGGAAACTATCAGGTTAATTCCTGATAAATTCATCATGATGGGCTAATTGGCCTGTTTTCATTCTCATCTATCACCCTTCACTGGTGCTCCGCCAGCGTATCCCGTTAGCGCAGGCGGGGTTACTATACCATTTTCGCCCATCAAAAAAAAAAGTCCATCCCTATTGCTATAAACTCTATCAAGTTAACCCCTGCATGGTTCCCCGTGGAAATCTCTCCTTGTGCCCCGTTTACGTATACCGATAGCGCAGGCTGCGATCAGTCAGTCAATCAACATCCTTTTTTTTTATGTATAAATTACTTAAGGAGATAATTGCCTATAGGAGCCAACACCTACTAGACGTTACTTCACGAAATATTACTAATTGTCCAAAAATGTATTTCATAAAATAATTATCAATTAATCAATAAATGTGTTACATGCAATTTTATACGACAAACAGCGCTATTTGCAATTCATATCGTGTTGTACGGGTCATCTTCACCCTCTTTTTTGGAGGAGGGCTGAAATGGGGGTCTTGGGGCAAATCCCATTGCTTCAGCCTATACTCCGGGGGCGACTACCCCTGGTGTGTGGATGAATTGTCGTTGGGTTGGTAGTCTTCATATTTTACAATCCATGTAGTACAGAGATTCTTTTCCTCCTCCGTTAAGAGAGTATATTTTTTTAATAATAAATAATGAGCCAGGGCTATTAAATATATATATATATATATATATATATATATATATATATATATATATATATATATATATATATATATATTAATTAATTAATTTTAATTTGATAATCACTTATTATCTACCTAAGTAATACAGTTTTTATAACTTAGGTAGATAATATAGTAGAACACTTGGTAGAACCAACTAGAACTAAACCCGCTAAATTAGGGGGAAAAGGGATTGTTAGTAATGAAAACTGAGAATCCCATTGCTAGCAATATACCCAACCAGGTCGACCTCCTCGCGAAATGGAAAATCCGCTAAGTTACAGCGGTTTATGGCTGGTCGACTCTCGGACGTGCGGCCGCAACAATGCCCGGAACGGTCGCGTGCCCGGTAGTCGACTATTCTTTTCCTTCTTCGCAGTCACTAACCACTTTACTCTTCTGTCGCACTCTATAAGCCGTTTCCAATCATTTTTAGTTCCTAAAGCGCTCTGCAGAGGCAACACCAACGAAATGTAAAAAAAAAAAAAAACTTGTCAATGTATTTTATCGCACTATTCATAGATGAAGGATAATACTTGTAAGCATTGATTATGGTAATAACCTGTAGTATAACATAGACTAAGAACATTCATTAAACATCTTTATTTTAAGCAGCATGATCTCTGACCTTAGCCTGTTCCATAACGGAACAACGTACTAAAAAAACACCTTTCTAATCTGTAACACTTACTGTCAAATTGCGAGATTTTTTCACTTTTTTATTAGTCTGTTCGGCGCTTTTGGTTATTTAATATTTATTTAAATAAAATAGTACATTGTAGTTTTAACTCTCGATTATAAAAAACAAATAAATTGAGATAAATAAACCAAGTCCTATAAGGTAGCGAAAATTATATAAAAATAATTTGGTTATGTTTGTATAACAATCCGCGTTATTCTTGCTTTATTATAGATTTTTCAAAATGATCTATAAGTGGTGGCATAGATTTGTACGTCGTAGAACTAAACCAATACCTGTTGATCAAGCTATTTTGTGGAAACGTAGACTGAGTATAGCATATGGATTAGTGGCATGGAATGCCTTTGGGTTAGTCATATATAGTGCCTATAAGGGCAAAGCTGATTGGGCAGATTATTACGGTTTAAAAACAGAGGAAGAAAAATCTATTCCACCAGGTAATTAACATTGATTACGTACCATAAATTAATACAAAAACTTGGCCACTGTATACATGTATGTATGTAGAGGTATTTTTTTGTGTCAATTTTTATTATGCAATTTAGAATGATAAGTTTATAGTTTACCTGATGGAAAACAGTTATCGTATGTGAATAGTATTATGGATGATCACAGAATTATGAAATACTAGTGTTATGCCTCTGTACCCTGCAATTTTTTACTAGTGTTTAAAATGCCCTTACGAAATCATTTAATCTAAGTGATAAAAGTTAAATCATCACCTTAACAAGTTGGATTCTAATATGATAGGCAAAAACATGGGCATAGCAAGTATTATATTTTCTATAACAGTAAAATTTGGGATTAACAATTAGGATCCCTAATAAATAATAAACAGTAATCTCTAATTTAGAGATTACTGTCATTTGCATATTTATTTTACTTTAAATCCTATTAAGTGTTCATAACTTTTATTTGATCAAAATTATTTTGTTTAATTCTGCTTATAATTAGAAGTTCTACAACCTTTCATATTAGCCATCAGTCTCTGACTCCATTTCACCCAGGCATATTAATGATAGCAGAATGAAACAAAATAATTCAAATTGAATAACCAGTGATATGATCTTCCACAAGATAACATCTAGTTCAGTAAAAACTTCATACCATTTGCTTAATGTTGCAATTATTTGTCAATTCAAAAACAATTTATCAATTTTCAAAGTCTGACTGATTATTTAAGAACTGTTCTGTTAGCAAATTAAAATACTATATTTATAGAGTATATTGCATATAAATGTGCCATTAAAATCTTTGCGCTTCATATTATGCATCTGAAATGTTTCAAATACAATTTTGCCATTAAATTTCGAATTTTCAGCAAGTAATAATAGTAACATAGTAACAGAACATTTTAGTTCATATGCAATGCTCTTTTTTTAAATAATAAATTGGAAATATTGAAAATTCCTCAATTGATTTACAAAATTGACAAATAACTGCAACATTACCATACTTTGTTATGAACACCCTTAAATTCAATGTATGGTAGATGTAAAATCATATGTGATATAAAAATTATAGAATGCTGCAGGTATGTTTGTAATTTTTGTAAATGCAGCAATATTTCGTACTAAATGATAACTGCAAATTCAAATTCGCGTAAGTTGGGGTATAATCGTTAACACCTGTCTGTGAGCTGTTGGCTCCTAGTTATGAGTCTGTTTCACGGGACATGTTCGGATATGCACATTAGGTTAACAATAATATAGATAAAATATAAATAATCAAGATTTGCATAACAATCAAACATGAACGAGATTTGAAGATGGTGTAATTCCGGGTTGTAAGTTGAGGTAGTGTAATATTGCTGCGAGGTATTGCTGTTATTCTTTTTCAATGCACCTGGCAAACCCCATGTTCAAGAAAATACAGTTTTATATGTTGAATTAAATATATATATACTTGGTTTCTACAGGTCAAGCATGGGCTAATACTTTAGGGATAAAAAATGCCAAAGTATATAGGATATCGGGATTCAAGAAAGTAGATGAATATGATATTGTTGATGGAGAACACAAGTCTGTTAAACTTGAAGCAATTAATGAAAATGAAGAACTAACAAAGTCATAACAGAAATTATTGGCATAATACTAGTTACATGTTATACTGTAAATAATTTATAGTTTTGATTTAAATAGATCTAAATAAAATAATAATTGTTACAAATTACTTTATTATTTAACTAAACTGTAATTGTTCTGTCGCCGCCGTGTGGTTCCGACATAAAATCAGCCCCTTCCTTTCCTGTGGTTATAGTAAGAGACAACTAAGGGAACTTAATGGTTGAAAGATGGACAACAGTGGCTCTTTTAAAACATCACCAAAGACCTGTGGTTGCCTACTGCCCACTAAGCGTGGCAACACTGGCAAAACCCACCATATGGGGGAGGCCTGTGTTCAGTTGTGGACTGTTAACGGCTGATATGATGAAATCTGCTTTATGTGGATCTAGCCATTTGGATACAACAAGTGAGATAACGCACTGTTGACTGAGTCGTGTTTGAATACAACCTTAATGTAATTTTCTTGATGCCACATACATATTCTTTATCTATTCTAAAACTTCAGTAGTGGTTTAGCAATGAAAATATAAGTTTTCCAAATATTTGCAAGGCTTAATAAAAAGCAAAATTACTTGTATAAATAATTGTATTTCACTGTAAGGCACATTTTAAATTGGATCAAGTATAAAACTTTTAGTTGTATCTATAAACATGCTTATCACACTGATAGTGGCCATAGTAATATTATTCATTGTAAAATGTTAGGTGTCATGTATAAAATACTAGCACGCCCGTAAATTCGTCTAAATGACGGATAAAAGGAGCCTATATCTTGGTACTTAAATATATAGACTCCTTGATAACAACTTATAAGTGTATACTAATAACTTGCTAGATACATCGTTATAATATTAGTCAGGCTTCTTCACTTGACGATACCACGGACGCTCACAGTCCACACTCGGCGTAACATATATACACATTCCAATTAGGCCTTTTTTACAATTATAATTTCAGAAAAGTTTGCTCATTTATGTGACTTATTATTATCAATGATATAAGCTGCCTACATTTTTTGAGACATTCATTTAATTTTCAGCGACGCGCATCCATCATATTTGTCATTTGTTCACAGTAACTCTCGTGATTAACATATTATATTAATGTTAAAAAAATGGCAGTGGAATTAAGAAACAATAAAAAAGATATTTTCTTAGTTGGTGACGTTAACCGTCAAATAACTGGAGCAAAGTTACCGTCTAATCGTCAAGTTCTTGCAGTCCTCTTTTTTAACATTCACGAAGTTAAATTGACTGTTAATGAAAGCGCAAATCTTGCCGTTCGAGAGTGTATTATATTCTTGGAAAAAGTTAGAATCCCTACCAGAGCTGTGCCTAACTGTGTAAAAAAACTTGTGGATCTTCACCGTGCTTGGAGAATTAAAAAAAAAAAAATCGCGCCATGAGGAGGACTTACAAACATTTAGATATTTTATTCGATATAGCACACGCAATGATTTAGAATGGATAAAAATACAAGATAATTTTTTTTACAAAAACAAAGAGAACCAGGGCGTCCATGATATTTAGCGGGAGTAGATAAAAAGTTAGCCGAGAAAGAAGTAACAACAAGACAGAAAATTAAAAGAAGAGAAAAAAGACATTTTATCGAAACGCAAGAAAATTCAAATCAACCTACCAGCACTAACGAAAGCCTTGAGGAACCCTTGCTATCAACATCTCAAATGGTAAGTTCTGTAACAACTTTTAAAAGAGGAAGGAAAGACAAAGTCTTTCCTTGTCACTCCGAAATTAGTTGCCGCTTTAGACAGATTTCAATTAAGCATAAAGTACTGTGTCTATATACTTGTAGTAGAAACCCTAGATCTCAGCTGTGATGAGTTCCCGATAAATAAATCGTCTATTCAATGCATTCGCATACATAGTAGAAAAGATAAAGTGAAAGCTATAAAATTAGATTTTCAGGATAATTTGCCTGAAACGGTGACCGTTCACTGGGATGGGAAATTATTACCCAGAGTAGACGTAAGAAGTTCTAAAGAACCAAAAAGAATTTACACCCACATAAGAGACACCCTTATGTGTAGATTATGTAATAAATGTGGCATTTATTACATAAAAAATGCGCAGAACTCGAAACTTTCGAAAGAGTTTCGTGAAATGCATAAATTTGGAGAGTTTATAGACACAGACAATATTCATGATTGTTGAGAAAATTAAGACGGTGAAACCAGTTTCATGGCACAAGTTTTATTATGTAAATTAAGCTTTATAGATATTGTATCCTGTGGGCTGACAGATGTACATACATATTTTCAAATATTTTATACAAAGACAGTTGTGCGCGACGTCGCATTATCTCTTTCGTCCCCCCACTACACGAATGTCCTGCACTATGTGATAATTCAGTATAACAAAATAGCTATACTGATCATATACTATACTGATCAAAATATAGGCGTTGACTGACAATTGAGACTATCTGTCTCAATTGTCAGTCAACGCCTATATTTTAAAATACTTGTGTAATACGGCTCATAGCACGAAACGACTCCTATCCGAATCACCAAAGTTACCATTTTAAATACCTAGTGATGATAATATCTAATTATGTATTATAAAAATACTATATAACATACACATACATTTGTGAGATTTAAAAACTTACAATATATTTTTACGTCCTCGGACATTAAATATAAATCTTATATTAAAGATCACAGCTCGATAAGGCAATCCGTTGGTTTTCTTTCAACAATTTGCACGCGCGTGATATGTCACTGCGTGCCGCCTTCTCTCTATTTCTTGTAATAACGCAGATCTAGAAAAAAAAAATACATTACATTTTTCATACTACACAACAGAAATAATTATTTTTTGTATCATATTTTTTCTACTTAATTTGCTTTAACCTCACCTATATTGTTCATACTTCATCACAATTAGCTGCAACTCTTGCTTGTAAAGTCTTGTTAACATATCAGAATAACAATCTAGTTCACTCAGTCGGAACATGTTCCAACGTAGTTTGTGGTCCAATTCTTGATCCGCTGAAAAAAAAAATTAATTCTTCATAACTCGATTTTTTTATAGGACCTATTTATGTTTATGGGTGTCAAAGATTTTACTTTCAATAGAAAAATAATTGGGAATGGAGATTCATTAATTCATATGTATAAAATCATGGCAAATAAATTTAAAAAATCTGTTATATCAGATAAACCAGCAAAATTATGAGGAAGTCTCACAATATAAACTTGTTACAAATTATAAATACAATTTAAAAAAAAAAACAGTTAATATTTAGTTCATTTACGCGTTTTGGTAATAAAATGTGGTTACGTTATTTTTTCGATTCTATGTTTATTCTTTTGTTTATTCTTTTATACATAACAATGATTGCTACAAAAAATTGCCTTAATGCTATATAACATTCTGTACCAGTCAACTTTTGAAAAAATTGAAATTTAATTATGTTATGAAAAATATTGAAAATTGTTATGGAAATAGTTATAGACGTATCTGTATTGACATACAAATTATATGATATATATAATGGAGAACTACTATACATCATATAATTATACTTACATGAATGTATACACATAAGTACATACATACGTGATAATACCGATAAAGTGACAATTATAAACAAAGGTCATAATTTTATTACCTTTGTTAAGGTAACAAAGGTAATAAAATTATGACCTTTGTTAAAGTAACTACTATAAAATTTCTTCATAAGAAATTCATCTTGTTTACTTAATAATTACCTTTAAAATAAACGGCTAGCCAGTGCGGTATTTCCTCCATGAGATAAGGCGGCACAAGGGTAGGTACGTATGGACTAACAACGTAACAACCTCCAACTAAACACGGGTGAGCGTAAGTCGTTTGATGAGTTATTTCACTGCAAAATTACAACATGTCAATATGATATTATAATACACACGATGTTGCCAGACACCATACAATGGGGTGGAAGTAGCAGCCGGATTGGTAGCAATAATATACCTGACCACCGGTCACATGCTCCCCCGGAATCCATCGTGATTAATTCTTTTTAAATTGATTTTCATTCTAAATCAATAATTTAATTTGAAATTTAAGTAGGCCGTCAGTTGACTTCATCCCCACCTATCATCTCTCGCTTGTTCTTCAGTGTAACTGTGTGCAGGCGGAGTATTCCATTTTTGTCTATTAACACAAGCATTTGATAGGTAATTTTTAATTTATTTGTGAAAGAAGTAGCAGTTGTAATCAGACAGAACTTACTTAAAATAGTAGACTCCATGGTGGGGCGTGGAGATCCTCTGCCAAGGCCGCGGCACGCTCTCGAGGGGGTGCGTCCAATGTGTGGTCTGCGTGTTGTGATCCATGTAGTAGCGGCGGCCGCGCAACGTCCGATCCTCCGACCAGCCGGGCGGTAGCGGCAGGTCGCACTCCTCGGACGCTGCGACACATCTTTACTTCATATATTTGTTTCACTTTAGGCGATTGACCATGTCCCGCCGCCACCAAATATTATGAATATATTGATATTGTACAGTTGATATCTGGCTAAGATCATTACATCTAGAATGAGCGTTGTCGAAAAAAACGGTCATTGTAGGTACTGTTAGTGTTGTTCTTTCATACTGGCGACCGTCCCAGGCTTTACGCGGATAGACAGGTAGATTTTTTAAATAAAATATAGCGCATGTTATTCGTTGATAATGTAGCTTTCTATAGGTGTAATAATTTTTAAAATTGGTTAAACACGTGTTACTTCTTGATGCCTTAACTGATCATCATGGAAAAGGACATAGAGAAATATATAGATATTCTTTATTAATCCATCCAAGAGATTACAGTAGAAAATAGGTTGCTTTTGCGAACGAAGTCGCTGGCATTGCTATTATTTCGAATGCCATATATATATTAAATTACTCTTAAACTCATAATATAGTTTTTATTTCATATGGACTGTCATATACAAAAGGAATTTAGGTAAGTTCTTTACACATACAACGGCCCAAATGACCTCTCATTAGTAATAGAGATAAGAATAGAAGTTAGTACGGAAATGTGAGTCCAATTTAGGTAGGTTTCGTAGTTTTAAAAATTAAGAAACCACTGAGGTACTTTATTTTATTTTATTGTAACCCACTCGGCCAGTCTAAATTAATATCACAACGTTACTATTTCTTTTACAAGTATTTTAATTCCTCGAATAGTGCCATCATGAAGGAAGCAACATAGAAAGTCACTTGAACCACAGGGTTGTTGCCAATATCGGCTTTAGCGAGTGACGCAGGCGAAATCCGAAAGGGACGCCGAATAATGTTATAGTTACATACGAGATACGGGCCTGATGCGAGCGTTATCGAACTCGATATCGACGATATTAATATGGGTGATGATGTTTGACATCAAAAATTTGTCTAGGGGCGCTAGATAGACTAATGTCTTAATGGAAATTAATGTGACAATCTACGTAAAATATAATCAAGAACCCGTTATTCCCGTCTCTTAAAAAACATAATCAGCGCAACACGAAACTAACTTCAATCTTGACGAAATTAGTGTGACACCAACAGGGGAGTAAAATATATTGCTAGAATGTTGACAAAAATAATTTACATTCAATTAAAATAAGTAAGACAAATGGCGTCGGGCCAACTGAAATCTAGCCAACGTCTACATTCGCATAGCAATGTCAAATATGCGGTAGATATAAACATTATCAATATTATTATTTGTAATGTCTCGAATAATAAATATACATATGAAATAAAACAATTGATCGCGTTAGAATATAATGCACACGATAGTACCTTGGCTACTGGAAATGATGGTGCTTCCGTGAGATTTGCTGGGGTAAGGAAGAGCTGATGCACTAACGTAGTTGGAGTAAATAGGTGACGACTGATTCCCTGCAGTATATGCTGTAACAAAATCACTAATAATATAAATAATATATTAAATTAATTTGCTTTTCTCGTGGTAGAACTTTTAGTCTTGTTTATTTTTATTATACGAGTAATTTTGTACATATAATAAAATTAAAATTGGATTTTATGTTGCAATCGTTACTTTTTGAATAGGTAAAAATGACATGAGATAACAAACATAAAAAATAAACGTCAATTTTTGTGCTAATAAATTATGTACCAGGTCACTCAGAAAGTATTGCGAGGAAACGTTTTTATGTATGTGAGACTGGCCAGTCATAATTTATTTAAAAATATGATTACTTATAAGTAAAAACAGGTACGTCCTACATTCAAAACTTCTCTCCACATTTTTTGAGAGCTAATTAAAATTACCGTGTCTCATTGAAAAATGGATTTGCGTCGAGAGCATTTTCGCGCTATGATTTTTTACGATTTTAAGTGTCGCCTGAAACTAGACGAATCGTACGATAGACTACAAATGGCAATCATGGATGAAGGCCCTTCTAAGGCAACCGTGTATCGTTGGTATAATTAATTTAAGTGCGGTCGACTAATTTTGGGGGATGAAGAAAGAAGTGGTCGCCCTTTAACGGCTGTTACGTAAGAAAACGTGCTAGCAATGAAAAAATTTGATCCAAGACAATAGATGAGTTACATACAAAGAGATTCAGCATATACTGCAGATTGGATCAGGAAGCCTTCACGAGATTCTACACGTGTGTCTACGGGTGCGGAGAATAGTTTGACTCTGGGTACCGCACAACCTCACCGATGGTCAGAAGCAAGCAAGGGTGGAATGGTGCCATGATATGATAGACAAATTTGAAGCAGGCTCCTCCCGGCGTGTTTACGACATCGTTACAGGTGATGAATCCTGGATTTATCAATACGATCCAAACACAAAGCGCCAGTCAACGGTTTGGGTGTTTCAAAACGAATCAACGCCTACCAAAGTAAAGCGACCTAGAAGCGGGGGGAAGATTTTGAATAATAAAGATCAATATGGCCATTTACAGCATGTAATTTAAATGAATATTTTAAACGAAGATATTACAAATTTAAAATGCAGGGACATAGCGGTGTGACGGTACTAGCCCGGCCCGCGGCGCGTGGCTATATAATAGCGCGTCTAAGGTCGCACTTCGTTCGTATTGTCTAATGACAAAAAAGCTGTAAACGTTATTTATAAGGACATTCTATAGTAGGTAGATATATTTAGTATCAGCATTGCACCCGTGCGAAGCCGGGGCGGGTCGCTAGTTATAAATATACCTATTTTTAATCTTTGCGTAGATTTGTACACGACATGTGTACAAATCTATATATGTATATATGTGTATGTGCAGTTGTCATTTTATTGTTCCATACCAAAATTGTATAAAAGAACTCTCATGTAAATACACTATGATTATTATTTTTTGTAAGTATTCACGTATTTGATATGCAATATGACCTGCGACCATGATAATATTGTTTTTTTTTTATACAACTTAGAATGGCAAACAAGTTGACGGCCCACCTGATGGAAAGTGGTAACCGTCGCCTATAGACATGAGAAATACCATGGACATAACAGAGTATACTGTTTGGCTCATGATACCCCCCATGCGTTGCCATTCCTGAGGTCTCAGATGTTATTCCTCTATACATTCTAAATTCACGCCATAACCTATTCTTCAAACCGAAACACAGCCATGCAAACACAACTGCTTTACGGTTGAAACACGAATGGGACAGAGGTACCCAAGCATACGGCTTTTGTACAAAGTCTCCCTCTGATAAAATAATAAATTTATTGTTTCAAAATTTTTTTTTTTTTATACAACTTAAAATGACAAACAAACTGACGGCCCACCTGATGGAAAGTGATAACCGTCGCCTATAGACATGGGTAGTACCATGGACATAACAGAGTATACTGTTTCGCCCATGATACCCCCATGCGTTGCCATTTCTGAGGACTCAGGTGTTATTCCTCTGTACCCTGTAAATTCACGCCATATCCCACCCTTCAAACCGAAACACAGCCATGCAAACACAACTGCTTCACGGTTGAAACACGAATAAGACAGAGGTACCCAAGCAATAATAAATTTATCGGTAGAAAATAATAAATATCCCCAATGTTGCCTCGCAGGGCACGCAAATCAAGCCACTCATAGTTGTAATAACGCTGTAATACTTACAATCATTATGGAGGCGCACAGAATGTGGAGATGGAGGATGCAATCTTGGCGTCAGACTTAAATTTGATGATAGCCGCGGTATACTGGACTCTCTGGAGCCATATTGCTGTTGTTTCTGTTGTTGAACCTAAAACAACAATGTTAACTGTAAATAAAAATTTAGTAACAACAAACTCCAATAGCTCGAGCATGTCTCCAGTGACAATCATCCATTCATCCTAACTTCAAATGATGGAAGCAGTATAATGTTTCTGTAGCATATTATAGTGATGTGATGAGTTGATGGACGTATCATTCACAGAACTGTTAATTGTTGTGAAAGATTTATATTTAACAGTATCGTGTATTCAAGACATTGATACTATGAATATAATAAATATTATAATTAATTAAATCATATGTAAGTCAACATAATTTAAAGCATTTTTAGTAGTCATTATGAATCTCTTATAGAAACTGCTTTCAAAATGAGCAAAACATTCAGTGTTCTTTTTTATAAGGTCTTTTTTATAATTTCACAAATTTAAGATATTGTTGTATGAATAAAGTATACCAAATAGCATAAATTAATAAAAATTAAGCTATTAAGGATACAATTAGAGCTAAGCAATAAAACAAATCAGTCATGACTAAAGTAAGGCAGATGGTTTATACGCGTGGCTAAGATGTAATATGTAGGATGGAAAACAAGTGTATATTGCTCCGCAAATGCAGATTTCAATCATAAATGTATTTATTATATACAGTTTTTTGTTTCGAACAGAAAAATGATAGTTTTAATCGTTGTAAAATTAAAAAAGGACCAACATAATAGGGTGAACCGGGTGTACTCCCAGTAAACCTTATTAATTGGAAAAAAATAATGAAAATCGGTTTAAATTAGCACCGAATTAACTTTTCAATTTTTCAACCAACTTCAAAAGAAGGAGATTCTCTATTCAGTTGTATTTTTTGTTTGTTACCTCTTAACTCTGTCAATTCTAAACCGATTCGAAAAATTCTTTTTTTATATTAAAGAATATATTTACAGATTGGTCCCATAGAAGTTTTATCACAATCAGTTCAGTAGTTCAGTTTTTAGATCAAACTAACTGGTTTCGTCACAACTGAAATTGGTTTCTTTTGTAGAGTACAATCTTTATTCTTTAAATAATTTTATAATACATTTGTAAATAATATATAAACCCTAATGACCATTTTTCGAATATATAAATGTAAAATAATTAATAAATAATTTATGAAAATAATTACTGTATAGACGTACCTGTTGCTGATTTTGATAAATTGGATCTTCTTGTTGCTGCTGTCTGTAGTATCTATAACTGGGCTGCCTGCTGAATGAGTCGTCAATTTCATTTAATGCTGAATGTGAAGCCTACAACCATCCGCAAAGTAAGTTATTGTGGCAATATTAATTATGTAGTTATTGTCAAAGATTTCCACTTACTAGCTTATTCTCGCAACTTCTACATGTTACATGGACTTCAATTGTAAATTACTCCATAGGAAGACATTTACGGAATAAAAACATATGTGTTAATTCCAAATTCAGATCAATTTAAACTTTTTTTTTAAGAGTATTCTTATTGGAATAAGTATTGCAATGTAAGCAACAATGTTGGTCAATTTTCAAAAACAATAAAATTATTTAAAAATATGTAAATTGCTTGGCCTGTGTTAATATGTAAATTGATTCTGTGAACTGATAAGCCTATAAAATTTGTTGTTCATAATTTGCCTGCATTTTATACATTTACTTACTATATTAGAATCCAATTGATACTGTGAATTGTAGTTACTGGATGTACTTGCTGAGTCATTAGTAGATAAACTTCCCAGCCTATAAAAAGTATCAATGAGTAAATAAATTCCTTTTAATACAAATTTTATCATTCATGTACTTTTATTGATTATTTACTTTTCTCTAAGTTATATTATGCAAATAAAAGTTACAACATAAGTGAAACTTATTAATTCACATTAATATCAATAAGTTCAATTCTCATATAATACAAACATTCAAGTGTATTTAATCCTTTACATGATTTTCAATTGGAAATTTCAAAATAGGAACAAATATATAATAAACAAAGTATAGAAAAGTCAACATTTGGATTATTTTAAAATTTTCAATGTTGATATACTTTTACAGTAACAAAGATTATAATTATGGATGAAAAATATAATTATGTTTATAATTCCTTTAAGTGTATTATGTTTATAGTTCCTTTAATTCATTTTTAAACCTGTCAATCAATATTCCCCTATTACTAGCAATATGTCCCTAATCAGTCAACCACCACATGGTATTCCCTGGAAACATTTGTAGTTAATTCTTGTTGATTTCATCATGATGGGCAGACAGACTGACCTGCATTCATCCTCACCTATTATCTCTCATTGATGTCCCACCAGGATATACTGATAACACAAGCAGGGTTACCATTCCATTTTCACTCATAAAAAGTATAAGTATAAAGGAAACATAATACTTGTCAAACAAAAGATGAAAACACAATGTTTTAAACAATAAAGGAACTAAATTAACTTGATTCTATTTACCTATGTGCTAAATTTGGTACTGATTCACTAGGAGTATACTTCCCAGCATGTCCACTCATTGTTTGTGCTTTCCCAAATTTATTTTCGTGACTCTGTGAATTCCCATCACTGGTATTAAAAGGTTGACTACGGGGTCTTCTGTTGTGTCCAGTCGTCCAAACATTTATAACTGAAACAATACTATACCTGCTACAGCAATCTTATTACATTTGGACACGTAATTCCAGTATATTTTGATAAATTTATAATACTAAATCGTTATACGTACTAGGTAAATCTGGCGGTGTATCTTTTTTTATATATTTTCCAACAACACCTTCGTTTACAGCTTTTTGTCCTTTCCGTGAAATCATTTTCACTTCAATTCTGAAAAATTTAATATAAGGACGAATATCTAAGAAAAATATTGAACAGGTTCAGGAATATTCATTAAATAAGCAGGTACACATAATATAATAGATATTAATTATATTAATAATTATTAAAAAAATAAAAATTAAAGGAATGATATATACTCGTTTTTTGTATAAGTAAAACAGAACAGAGTAATTAACTAACACAGATTATGAGACTATAATAGATTATTTGACATACATGCAAAGATTTCTGTCTTTGTCTTAGCAGAATTATATGCTTCAAAATTTTAAATTGGCAGCACTGCTCTTCTGTCATTTTGATGATTTATTTTAAATTTCCATGTGTTCCCGGTTATCTTTCGTGTTTTACTTTATAAACCTAGTTAGAATTTTTTTCTTTGTTTATAATTAATAATGTTCTACTTAATAGGATTGGGTTTAGGTGATGCGAAAGATATTACAGTTAAGGGTTTGGAAATTGTTAGGAAATGTGATAAAGTTCTATTGGAAGCATATACTTCCATCTTAACTGTTGGAAAAGAAGCATTGGTAATTTTATTGTTTTTAATTTAATAATTTGATATATAATACAATTTAACAAATATTATCTTTGGTTATTTTTGCTTACTCGAGTCATAATTTTTATCTGAGGAAAAAACTACGCGTCAAGAAGAGTAAAACTTAAACTATCCTACTAGTACTATATATTTCAGAGTTTATTTCCTTATAGCGCTTTAATGACTTAACCTATCACTATGAAATTTGATTTACACGTACTACATAGGATGGAGAAGGTCATAGACTTCTTTGTGAATATAACCCAGTCACACAGGGGGGAAAAGGGATTGTTACCAATGGGGTTTGACAGCCCCATTACTAGCAATATGTTCTATTAGGCCGACGTCAACATGGTTCCCCCTGGAAACCATTGTGAACAATTCTTGTTGAATTTGTCACGATGGGTTAACTGACCTGCTTCATCATCATCTATCATCTTTCACTCGTGCCCCGCCTGTGTATACCGATAGTGCGGGTGGGATTACCATTTCATTATCACTTATTATAAAAGCTAGTATGATAGTAATGTATATTTTATCATTTTCATTTAATTCAACTCTGCATATAATTATATCATTGTATTATATTTATACTAAGAAGTATAAAGAATATATGTTTCTTATAGGCAAAGAATATTTTTCTGAACCATTAAAAATTTATTGAGAGGGAAGATAGTACTGAAAGACGTTAGTGTTGACGTTAGTAGTTAGACAAAAGTGGTTACTAGAGCTTTCATCTTGCTAACAGTGACATACAAAAATCAAATGTATATAATCAAATGGTTACACATTGAAAAAAATAGTTATGAATTCATACCGAAGAAGTGGACAGAGTTTATTGGGCTATACTAGGGCTTAGCTGAGTGGTCCCAGCAAATATATCATTCCTTCCTTTTCAGTGAATGTCGTAAGAGATGACTAAAGGAATTTAATGGTAAAGGAATGGGCAGCAGTGTCCTTAAAACATTTGTAAAAGCCTAACTGTGGTTGTTAACCCATCTGCCAAGTGTGGCAACTAATGGCAAAACTTCCCTTATCAATATCATTATCATCATTATATAAGCCTTTAACTTTCCACTGCTGAACATAAGCCTCCCCCTTTTGGGGTTTGCAAATAGTTGCAATGCTTGACAGGTGGATTGGAAGTTAGGCTTTGATGATGTTTTAAGAAGGATGCTGCTGCCCATCCCTCACCCTCTCTTAGTTGCTTCTTATAACATTCATGAGAAAAGAAGGGGGCCTATTCTATGCCAAGACAACATGGCAAGAGTGGACACTTAACAGCTAAAATTAATGGAATGGTAACCACCCTTTGTTCTATTGGTAGGTACACTAGTGGGGAACCAGTGAGGGATGACAGGTGAGTATAAAAGGTAAAGCACATCATTTAGCCTATCATGGTATCATCATCATCATGGTCAACTTGACAAAGTATATTACTAGCCTTTCCTTGATCTAATAGATATTATGATGGTAGGACAATGAATCTTCAATAAACATTTATTACCGTTTTTTATAACATACTTGAACATAAACAGGTGATGGATGTGTAATAGAAATACATGGATATCAGGGGGCCTACCATGAAATGAAATTCCTAAGTTTCAGATTCAATTTCGTGTTTTTGTTCACACCTAAATCGGGCTAGTAAGTGGAGCTTAACATTTCGTTAAAAATCGTCAAAACTCCTACCATAAAAGTCCCAAGGAATAATATTTTCATATTTTTAAACGGTAAGTATTATGTAATTTTAACATTCACTTTGTGTTTTGCTTGGCTCCAAAATTTCAGAAAACATTTCATGGTAAGCTCAGATATGATCCTTAATTACAAATTATTATGTAAAATAAGCTGTCTCTGAACAAACAGTGACAGCATTACTAGGACAAGGTGGAGGACCCAGTAGGTGAGCCTGTCTATAAAAACTACTGAGTAGTACACACAATAGCGTTGTGACATAGTGGCAAACGGCAAACTTAAAATATAAATAATTTATTATTAAAAAGTCTTCATAATAGTAAAGCATACGATAATAATAGTGTACATGAATACACCATTATTATCAATGTTTTACTATTTAAATTGATTAACAAATTAAATTATGCCGATTTTATTAAAAAAAATAATTTTATTGATCTATTTAATTCAGTAATGTACTATTTTTTACTAGGTAAAATGGTTAAAGTATTTATATTTCTTGTTTGTTAGTGACAATAATGTTATCTTCCGTCTATAATTTCGTTGAAATGATGATTTTTTTAATAAAGAATTATTAAGTTATAATTCAATTTGAATAGGTATAAATTATTTTTTACGCCCTACTTTGTATGCATGGATTTCAGAAGTAGGAAAACCAATTAAATAGACCACTTCTAGATGGTGTATATAACATATATTACATAACGATTTTAGTTAGACCTTCAGGAATACCGCCATACGGTGAAAACCGCCTATAATTTGATACAGTAGTTTTTGCATGACGGCAGTACAAACGTACAGACATACAAAATTATATATATATATATATATATATGTTTCTATTGGTTTTATTAAGAGCCCTCGTTTAAATTTTTCTTAAATATCTCCCATGCACAAACATCTATAAAAAATTACAATTGTAGTAAGATGTATTTAAATTATCTTCAGGAAGAGTTCTATGGAAGGCCTTTGATAATTGCAGACCGGGAATTATGTGAAAGTAATATAGACAATATACTAAAGGAGGCTAAAAATAAGGATGTAGCACTACTGGTGGTTGGAGACCCGCTTGGTGCTACAACACATACAGACATGCTGTTACGTGCAAAACAATTTGAAGTCAAAACACAGGTAAGTTATATATATATATATGTATATATATATATATATGTATATATATATATATATATATGTATATATATCGTCTTAATTGGCTTCTCATTCGTCAACGCAAAAATCTAGGCCTCTTCTCTTTGAAACCTACAGTCCCCTAAATAATTAAGCACAGGGGGGAGGGATTGTTAGTAATGCGGACCACCAGTCCCATTGTTAACAATATTCCAACAACCTAACAGGTTGACCTCCCCGTGGTCCCTCCCTAGAAACCATCATGCTGAATTCCAAGTGGTCACCATCATCACGATGGACTAACTGACCTGCCTTTCATCCTCACCTATCATTCCTCACTGGTGCTCCGCCAGCGCATACCGTTACCGCAGGTGGAGTTACCATTCCATTATCATCCATTAAAAAAAATACTTAAGCAGCAAAATCGCAGTATCTTTTTCAAACTCACGATCTTAACTTGCGTTCCCGAGATACTCTTCAAATCTCTTATCCCTTCGTACTGTATCACATTCTTCACGGCTCTGGAATACGCTCACTGATACCATCGTTTAAACTAACATTAAAAAAAAGTTTGTTCACTTTTATACTTTAGCTGAGCAGTTATCTGTTATTCTCGTCTTCATGTATAATAAAGTATATTTCGTATATATATATATCTTTGTTTATATATGTAAAATTTTGTATGTATGTATCATCAATTATTAATACCGCATTCGAGTATACTGAGACTTCCTTCAAATGTGACAAAACTAGTTATTATGATTTAAAAACTAAACTACTGAACCGATTTTAATAAAATTTCCATGGGACCAATCTGTAAGTATATCTTTTCAGACAAAAAAAGAAGAATTTTCTAAATCGGTTTACAACTGACGTAATTTTGGGGTAATAAACATAAAAAAAAATACAACCAAATTGAGAACCACCTATTTTTAAATTAATTGAAAAGAGCTAGTAAAGCTAGCTGTTTAAATGCGAGTGAAGTTATTGGAATTCTCAATATCAATGAGGTGTAAAATAAAAAATGGAGAGATTTACAATTTATTATAATATTTGTCATTAAATTATGAGACATTTCAATTAAAACGAAAATGTGCTACATAATAGCTCAACAACATTTACAATACAATGGTTATTGCTCTTTCCAGATAGTTCACAATGCATCTATTATAAATGCAGTTAGTTGCTGCGGTTTGCAGCTCTACAATTTTGGTGAAACCATTTCAATTCCCTATTGGACAGAAACATGGAAACCAGATAGTTTTTACGACAAGATTGTTCAAAATTTTTCAAGAAATTTACATACTCTTTGTTTATTGGGCAAGTGACTTTTACATAATATCTAATTGTGCCAATATATAGGAATTAATGCCTACATATAGTGCGACCTATATACGTCATTATTTACAATCCGAAGACAATTTCATGCTTTTAGTCCATTCAATGCGAATATGATATGATTGCGGATAGTAAATCAACATTCATATTAGACGTAGTAGAGCTACATATACGGAAAACAAAAAAATCTTGTGAAATGCATTTATGTTAATTTCGTAATGAATGGTCTAAAAGACAATGCTTAAATTTATTATGCCTATTCTGTTCTATTATTAATAGTATTTTTTTAAAAAAGCAAATCTTAGTAGCTTTACATTTCTGTGGAAATATATATATATATATATATATATATATATATATATATATATATATATATAACTAATAGAACAGAATTGACATTACCAGTCATGGATTAAACTTAAGAATGTGTTTTAAAAATAATCTTAATTATTCTCAGATCAAAAATTTTAATTACTACGTTATAAATACATAATAATATTCAATTACCAAATCACTTTACCAATTAATATATTTTTAGATATTAAAGTGAAAGAACCAACTGAAGAGTCTTTAACAAAAAAAGTTCGTCAATATATGGATCCCAAGTTCATGTCTGTTAAAGAAGCAGCATCACAGCTGGTACAAATAATCAAAAGGAAGCCTGATACCGGTTAGCATCTTTATAATGTAATAAATACCAATTGGAGGGAACAGAAATATTAAATTTTTCCTTAAGATTTTTAGTCTAAAAAAATTTGTAGATTTATTGAGAAACTTTTTAGTGGATTTCTCAATCGATCTATATATTTTTTTTATTGGTTTATTAGCTACATTATAGTCAGAACTGTTGTTAGTACTTATAAAATGTAATTACGAAATATTTAGACAAGTGGCAAGCAAATCTATCAATAAGTAAGTTTTCAGTGTCCCATGTACAAAAAGAAGACACTAGATATTGCAGTTTAGTTTTCTCATGCATGAGGTAGGGAAAACGTATCTATCAATAAATTAGATTGCGACTTATTTAGAGGAATAGATGTAACAAGCGCAGTTTCTAGTATTCACATTGGGAGCTACATAGTGAAACGACAGTCTTCACTATAATGTGCATAGGCTCAGTCGTTTACAAAGTGATCGAACTTACCAAATAACTGTGAATCTATGGAAAAGTATGAATATTTTTATATTACACAAGGAGCTGTTGACTAGGTACTTATGAAAACTATTAATTATATATATTAATGTAATTGAAAATATATTAAGATATAAGTTCAATGTTTTTTCTTGTTTAGCAGTACCTAGTCATGAGTTTCAATAACTGAATAAACCTAATAATGGAATATGACTGGTTGCTGGGAAACAAGGCGGCATGATGTTTATACAAAACTTATTTAAAAGAACTACGATGGTAGACTTTAATATTAAAAGGATGTAATATAAATGTCATAATTTGTATTTTTGAAATAAGTTTGTGCATTTTTTTTTCTATACAATAAATAATTCCTAAATAATGTGCTTAAAAATTTCAATTACACATTTATTTTTTAAATACGAGAGCAGTACAGTCAATATTTAAAATATGTTAATTAACACACTTCATCACACAGGGATTACCATGGATACCATAGCCGTAGGACTGTCAAGAGTCGGTGCGCCTGATCAAACAATAGCAGTAAAGTCATTACGTGAAATGCAACAGTGCGACCTCGGCCCGCCGCTGCACAGCTTGGTGATTCCCGCCCCCAATCTACATCCGCTTGAACTAGATTACCTAGCTCATTTCAGATAATATATTTGCATTGTTGATATTCACTTAAATAATGAAGCATTTCTGTAAAATCAATAAATGTCTATGAAGTATGTTATTATTTTATTTACAATCAAAATACATAATTATAAAAACTTAAGAATTCGAGCTGCTATCGCGAAATAACATTCAAACTCATTGTTGGTCCATAGAGCTACCACAAAATACTACAACATAAAATATTTTAATCATTGAAATATAAATTTATATTTAAAGGTACATTCATTATTATTTGGTCTAAGTTTCACAAATATAAATAATGAAAAATATTTTAATATTTTACAAAAAACGGAATGTAGAGATACCAAAATTGGATACTCTAGATCACAATTGGTATACATCGAACATCTCTAGACAAAACTGGTAAATGGTGGGTCACATTATAACAATAATTAATTAACAGAGGCATAGCTTATCATGAAAGTTTACATTATATAACACTAGGATTACCTTAATTATACAGTCTTTAGACTTAGTTGTAAAGGGTAGATACATGATTTTAATAATAATATTAGAAATTTATAAAACTGTGCCTTCTATCCTTAATGAGATTACAGAACAGTGAATTGTTTAAATAGACAGAGTATTAAAATTTAAACGGCAGATACTTGCTGATCATCGTCATCGTCGTCTGGAGTGTCGTGGTAAAACTCATAAGGACGAGTGACACCCTCGTGAGAATGAGCCCGACTAAGGCGCTCGAGCCGAGCTACTTGTGCAGCGAGCGAATAGGGCTGCGGCATGCGCGGCGGTGGCACAGGACGCACGCAACTTGCCGCTGTACATGAGCCATGTCCACTGTCACTCGATGTAGCTGAACCAGTCTTACGCAATGGCAAGTTTACTAATGATGTCACACTACTACTCTCAGCAGATAAATCTACAGGTAAAGGTGTAGGTGTATCTGAATGAGACCTTTCATGTGCTGTTCGTGGACAGCATATGCCTGGGCCTGGACCATCACGTCGGTGCGAACACGGCGAAGGTCCCGGCGGTGGCGGTCTAGGTTGATGGGGTCTAGTTTTTGCTGGCTCTGATAATGCTAGTAATTTTCTTACAGCTTGAGGTGATGCAGCACCGAATTTATTTCCTGCAAAGCTTTTTTTACTTTCACTGGCAGATGAAGCGCTACTTGTCGTAGATAAAGAAGGTGATGGATGTCGACGGCGAGGCATGACAGGGGCCGGCCCAGCTCCCTCGCATTCAAGCGACAGTGCATGTAGTCGTTCCTCATCAGTTTCAACATGCATACGGTTTAAATAAGCCTTAACCCTTCGTACCATTTGCGCTTCTTCAAACATCTTTTTTGGGTTTGGAACATTTGAAGACTTCTTTCTTCTTTTTACAGTGACTTGACCTTGTTGGACACCTCCAGTTGTAAGTTGATTTAAAGCTACCATAGCAGTTGATGGCGGCTGCTTGCCCAATTCTAATAAAGTGAGAAGATCATGTGGAGAACTACACATATTAGTGAGTGTTCTAACTTCTTTAGCAATCATTCTCAACTTCTCAAAGTTAACCATACCTTCCACTTTAGTATCATTACCAAGATGTATAAATGTGAGGTCTTTTTTAACGACTGGATAAAATGGAATTACAGGTGACCTACCTTGTTCTGTTGTTACCAACTGTCTATATTTTGACATGTTTCTTGACGGATCCATCAACATCTGTAAATCAGTGAATAGTTTATAATATTTGGTAGGTAATTTATCCCAAGTCATTCGTAACCTGGATACAGCACCATGACCTAATCCAGATATAATAGCAAACATAGAATTAAAGTTTTTGCATTCTTTACAATGTCGAGCAACTTTGATAAATTGTTTTACAATTTTTGACCGCCGAACTAAATTCTGCTCATTGACAACTTCAGTCACAACCCAAAACATTTCTTTATTAACAAGTTCAGCAAACTGTGATAACATAGGTGTTCCATATCTACTTTTTAATTCAAATAGATCATCAACATATTCAGTGCTTTCGATTTGCCGAAAAATACAAAAGTCTTGTAAAGTTAACTGAACAGCAACTTCAACAGCATTTAATTGCAAAAAATGGACAACACTTTCTCTAAGTAGTTCTGGGGCCATCTCATCAGGTACTAAAGTTTCACTAACACCATTTGTTTTTAAATAATAACGAGAGCTGAGTCCTATGCGTTCTGCCAGATTTTGAAGTTGATCTGGTAAACGATGCTGTTTGATAATGCCTCCTTGTGCAACAGATACTTCACACAGAGAAAAATTCGAGCTGGATTCAGTTATACCAAATTCCTGTAAAGTCAGCATCACAACTTCTCTAGCTGTAGTTTCTTTATGTACTAAAAGATATTTGCAAGTTTGATCTCCTCTATAGACTTTTAATACATGTTCAGGATAGTCTGATGATTGATATTCATCATAACAAATTGATATTAAATCTGGATTACTATGTGAGTTATAGAATGAGGTACTACTGTTTGCCTTATTCAAAGATTCTGAATTCGAGATTATGCTATCATCAGTGTGCAAACCATCTGTAATTATATTTTTAGGTAAAATATTCATTTTTATTAATGCTTTTTGTAATCTCCTTTTTGGTCCTAGGGTCATGAATCCTTTTTGCGGCTCTTTTTTTATATTTAGTTGCTGAGATTTTTTAGTGGGAGACTGAAAAACAGTTGTTAACATAATGGGATCATCACTTAATAATTCGGCTGTAGATAATCTTGCTCTGGGATCTGTTTGCCACCGTACCATATTAGCAGCACCTCTCTGCCTTGGAGAGTTTTCAGGCATTAAGAGCATTTGTTTAAATGCTAACAAGTTGCTCTTTACAGTAATGCTTAAATGAGTGGAACCAGTTATTATTTCTATGGCTTTAGCAAGACTAACATGCTGAAAAGATTGACCATTAACTTCTATTACTTGATCTCCTCTTTTTAAACCCACTTCTTCAGCTTTAGAATGTTTTTCTACTTTTAGTATAAAGATTCCATATCCCCTTTCATAACCACCAAAAACTGTGAAATTTAAAGCTTCATCTCTTGATGGCCGTGATAAAGTAACACTCCTAGTTCTTGCTTTAGCAGAACAAGCTATGTTTAGTAGTCTCAATTGGCTTTCCATTTTATCATGTTCTAAAGCAGTTTCAAAACTCTCTAGAAACTCCATCATATTTGGATCTGTTTCAAAGTCTGTGAAATGGTTATTAACCCAGAGCAAAACAACTCTGGTCACTCTGTCACGAACTGATGGCTCTGAGAACCAAGCAAGTAGCTGCTTTGCTACTACTAATGGGCTTTCTATAAATGTTCTGTGAGTTAATAAGAAATCTTCTACATAAGTAGAATCTCGAACATTATCTTCTATAAGCTGCAACATCAGCTGTTCTGGTGTGCCTCTTATTACAACATGTCCTTGTTGATGACCAGCCTCGCCAGCAATTCCTCTATATTCAGTAACTAATACAACTACACCATTTTCATTTTCATGCCGTTTTATATTTTCTTCCCCTTGGTGGAGTATACGATAGTAATCAGTTTGTGTAATGCAGACAAACTGACAGTCATCACAACGTGTTGTCATTATGCCTCTATGGTATAATTTTTCAAGTGTGGCTTCAGCCATTCCAAAACTGTCTCCAACATTAAGATGCTCAATTTCTCCATTTGAATGTTCAATACCAACTTGTCCATTGATAAGAACAGACCATGAGTCATGTTCTTCTCCATCATTCATAACAACAGTTCCAGCCTTTTCTACAACAGCAAAGACCATAACAGCACACAATGCTCTCCGAACAGTCAATGTCATATTAGTAAAAGCTTTTAGGTGTTGAGTAAATTCCAAGAGGATTTCAACATCTTCATCAGTTCTCTCATTTGGGTCTTTTTCAAGACATTCCCGAACAGCATCACGTACAATGAGACTATCCATGCTCTCCTCCAAATCTTCTTCTTCATCTGAATCAACTATGGACTCAAGGAGACCAGATAGGTCTACCTCCATATCCATGTCAAGTGAGCTGTGAACAGAAGTCATTGTGTCACTACCACTGTATGCTGAGCTTGTGTCACTTGCGTTGGAGCACTTTAGTGTATGGGGGTACAGCTCCGGACTGTGACGGCCTCCACGCCCACCTCTCAACATTGTGAAGTTTCTAACGTGTCCTTACTGACATCCACCTTCTGTAACAATTACATATTTTAAAGATTTTTTCTATGTTATAAAATTAAAATAAGAAAATGGATTAAATAAAGATCATCTAATAGTTCTTTGGAACAGAGCATAGAATAATAAATACTTAATATTCGAAAAAAATACTACCAATTTCTATAAGTATTATGTGATACTTCTAATAGTATATTGTCTAATAAAGTAATTAAAAGCTACGGACTAAAACATACAGCAGATTTAGATGACTTTCCTTCGTTAAGAGTAGGTAGTACATACGTAAATTAGGTGTGCAACAAAAGTGCTTGCATAGGTGAAGTTATCATCATTACATCATAATTTTTGTTATTTTTTGCTAAGAAAAACAACTAGTGCATGCGATACAAACAATGAACAAATAAACATATAGAAGAACCTTCAGAATTTCATATTTATTTTGCATTCATGGCGGAACTGTCAATGCTTCCATGTTGCTTTCTAAAACGATTTTACTATTTCAGACACAAATATTTCATTACAACTAACTTCACCACACCAATAATAAATTGTCACAATTTAATTCTTTATGTCAAATTATTAGTCCAATATTAAAATCAACATCAACATCACGTAAATTACAAAAAAATATTAGAAAGCCACTTGACCACTTTCCAAAAATGCTAAATACCAAACCAATAATACCATAGACAACACAAATATCCAATTGTTGAATGAATGAATCTCTATGCAGGTACTAAATATTGGATCGCTTTTATAGTCTGTAGTAGTTTAGGTATAAAACTAATAGCTTCCCTAAATGCTGTATTTGACTCAAGCTCGCATGTATTGCTGCTTCTTGGACGTTTAATATATCTTGTTATCTCGCTCAAACCTGTACCATGTTACATTTTTTATATATTAAATTACTATTATTTTTAGATGTAATACATAATATAATATTGGAAGGCCTAAGTCCAGCAGTGAACAGATAATGGCTGAAATGATGATGATGATAATAATAATATTGGAAATAAAATATTACTATCTCAATTTAAGATTTAAGTTAAAGATTACGATATAATTCACAGTTTGCATTATGTAAACCATAACTGGATTAATAGAAAAAGAAAAAAAAATATTTATTCTAAATTTAATATTTTTTTATTAATATGTAATTATATATTTGTGTTTTCTTTTTTAATATATCTATTAGTTTTACACTTTAATAAAAGTATTATATTTTAATAATAAACTGATCGCAACCAAAAATATAGTCATAGACTTGCTAAAATCTATATTACGAACGTTACTTCATATTTTAGCGGAAATCAATGGATAGTAATTTTACTAATAAAATTTTATTAATTATATATTTATAATTCCACATTAAGAAATTACCAGTAAAGATATAATTTTATCCTATTAATAGTCATATTAATTTCTTTTAAATATATTTCTTATTTATTTTAAAAGTATGCATATTGGACAACTGAACATTTCTATCTCCATCTATTTTCAGAATTAGGTACTTTTGTATGAGTGTAGCGTTTTCGCAGCAAATCAGTGATGATAGTCTTTTAGTTTAATTTTTGTAAATTGATCGTTTCCCAATAGTGGAAAAGGGCACAGAAACACATAATTATTTCTGTGGAAGTGAAACGGCTCAAAACAATATTGCGTTTGACGTTAAAATGCGTTCAGTTCTAGAGTCGAAACGAATGGTGAGCGATGGCGAGAATACGGTGATAGATTTTTGGTGTTAAATTTTGCTCCGTGTCATCACCGCCTTACTTTTCGCTTACTTTTCAAAAGGATAGTATACGTTCTGAATCGTCGTTTCAAGTGCTAATATAGTCGAATCTTTAATTATTTTGGACGATTATTATAGAGAAATATATTGTGATTGACGACCGGCTGATATTACACGAGGCTTGTATGTATATGCGACTGCTGCCTTCTGAATCGTGACACGCCTCAGAAAATACACCTAAATTTGTGAATCGAATTAATCCTTTTTGTTATTGTATCATTTTGGTGATAAAGACGTTTTAAAATTACGTAACTGTTGTGGAATCTGAAGTGTATAAAGAATGGCCTGAGTGTGACCACTCCATTACCGTCATGTGTGACGAAGGAATGTTTGTTTAGGCTCTAATATTGTGCTACTATTTTACGGGAAGTGCGCGTTCGTCTCGTGGACTGGGCCGGATCATGAATCTGCCTGAATCAAAACAAGCTTCGCATTAATCGCACTTGACCTATTGTCATTCAGGACACTTTTAAATTGCCAAAATGTCTTCGGGAACGTTTGTGGACAGGATTGATCCTTTCGCCAAGCGGTCGCTGAAGAAAAAGACTAAGAAGTCTCAAGGTTCATCTCGGTATCGTAATACGCAAGATGTTGAACTCCAAGCACTACCATTACTGAAAGGTGAGTAAGCCCTAATATACATCTGTTCACAATAGTCTACAGATTTTTATTATTATATACAAAATCATCTACTATGTTTACATGCAGTGTTTTGTTCTTTTTAATTGATTTACCACTTTTACTGTGGTGCATAATTTAATATCATTAAATGTATGAGAGCTGCTATATAATGCACAAAACACCTCCCTTAATGGTATCTGACCAAAAATATTGCCTATAAGCCTACCTATAAATTATTTATGAAATATTTTTTGATCATCACTGTGAAATCTTATGAAAAAATTAATGATATTTTAAAATGATATTGATAATGATGTTTTCTTACTGTTTTACTTTACTTATTTATATTGTCATTTATTAAAGAAATTTCTTTAGAAATATATGTTTGTTATTGTCACTGAATAATAGAACACTCCTTGGCCACAAATAAATGGCATTAAATATCTTATATGTTTTATTTTATATTCACACCTATTTTATTTTTCAAAAATATAAACCACACTATTCTTATGAATACATTAACATAACATTAAAAATAATAATGTATATAAGTAGAAGCCTTGTTAGATAACCTAAATTATATTAATATCCTATATTATTATACCATTATTTCTACCATATCCCCTGTACCACTTTGAGCAATTTTTTTTATATATTTTTTACTATTTAATAAGAAACCCTAACATTATTGTTGCATATAGTCCAATATTTGGGTTTTATGCTATTGTTTTTAAAAATTTAAAGAATAGCAAGTGAACACAATATATAGTTCTAGTATAGTAATTTCCTAAAATAAAACATGAGTCATGCAACCCTTTCTGTTCCTGAAAGGTACCTAAGTACTAGACATTGATGTATTAAATATTTACTTTTTCACACATATATATATTATGTAGAATAAAAATATCAAGATTAGTATGTGTGTTAAAAATAGCCTTTCTTAGTTGAGAGATCAAGTCTTTATGACTGGGACATATTGTGTGACTATGATAAAAAGTAATGTTTTATATCCTTTATGTCCAGTACTATATGTAGGCAAAATGTAATGATGATTGGTTGAGCCATTTAAATTATTAGCAAAAAATAGCAAATAAATACACACACAAACACATATGCACACACATATATATATAAATAAGATTATACATAATATTCATACCATATCTACATAATCTGCCTGATTATTTCCTTAAGTATCTAATTAAGTTTAATATTTAATGTAGTTATTTTATTAATATAAATTTGATTATAATCAATGTTTCATTAAAAGCATAATTTTATCATTCTATATATGAATTTGTGAAAGTAGAAGTTATAATCTGCTTTTCTATTCTTGGTACAATTAGTAAAGAATTTTAACATGTCTTTATTATATTTAATACTAAAAATAAAATAGAAAAGTAATACCTCAATTTTATTTTGTACAACCTAGATTCACAAACAAGGTAATGATTCACTTGATGAAAACTGATACTGTGATACCCATATTACACCCATACTGAAATACAGCCATACAAACACAGCTGTTTTATGAAACTAATGCAAAAAGAAATATTTTAACTTTTTTTTTTATTTACAGTAAAAGGACATACTAAATTTCTACTAATTGTGCTAACTCTAAAAATAATGCAAAGGCATATGCTAAATTATTTATGAATATAAATGTATAATCTTGGTCTTATATGAATCATATTAGAAAATTAAAAAAAACTGCTTCATTCCATTTATTCCATATATAGGTAATGCAGTAGGTTACTTAAGGTTTATCAGTGTTTTATAAGGCTAATATCAAATTGAAAGCCATTTAAAAATAAAATAGCATTACTTAGATGGCAATAAATATATTGTATTTTCTTTTTCTCTTGCATTGCATCCAGGTACAAAGTAGAATAAATTGGGTTAATTTATTCTTAAAATATTAGTTAATATAAAAGGATAACTTGTTAGTCAATGTTTAACAAGTATTATTTATAAATTGACCAAAATAAATTTCAAGTGGCTCAGGTAGTGCAATTTATACAATATGTTCTCTCTACTTTGATTGGAGGATTTCCTAATTAATAATATATAAATAAAAGTAAATATATGTTTAAAATCTTACACCAGTTTTTATGTGTATTTTTTTTTTATTTTCTAATAGATTTTATCATTTCTGATTTATTTTATAATTATTGCCTAGTATAACACATACACATACAGAGAGAGAGACAAATGGGTGAAAATAATAAAAAAAAAATTGCATTTGTGACAAATTGTAAAATGAGATAACCTCCAACAACTTATTTAAATTATTGATGGTTTGTAAGAAGTGACTCCAAATTTGTTCCATTCATGTGTTCCGACATCTGTATTCTCACATATCATACATATTTATATGGTCCCTCTCAAAACAAATTTTATATAATTAATATTTATTAACAAAAAAGTAGATTAAGTATTTACTTAAAAACAGGTAGGTATTAAGTGTGAAGAATAAAATAAATTTATTACTTTTTTTTATAAAATTTTCATTATTATCTTAGTTACTGGGAAGGAGTATAAAAAATATGGAATAGTACAAATGGTTGCTACAGTATTTATTATTATTATAAATTATTTAAAATAAATACTTTTTCTGACTTTTATTTTAAGCATGTAATTTGTAAAAAGCAGTAGACAAAGATGTCCCATATCATACAAACATGAAACACCTATTTAAACTATGTTAAAACTGTAGCATATTTTGTATTATATTGTTAAAATATATATTATTTGTTTTCAGATGTTCCCAGCAGCGAACAAGAAGAGTTGTTTATACGCAAGCTGCGACAATGCTGTGTTGCTTTTGACTTCATGGATCCTGTTGCCGACCTGAAGGGGAAGGAAATCAAACGTGCCACACTCAATGAGCTTGTTGAGTATATTACTGGTGGTCGCGGGGTGCTCACCGAGCCTGTCTACCCAGAGATTATCAAAATGGTAATTGATATATTTTTCCATTTTAAGCAGTTAATCCACCCACTCCATATGAAAATTTTGTTACTGTTACAAAAATAGACACATATTTTTCTAACTTATTGCCTGATTGTAAGAAGTTATAAATCTGTGTTATTCCAAACCAAGATTTTGTCCATGTTGACAGAATATATTGATTAACTTAGATATAAACTAGATTATGTCTCTTTTTGTCTTAAATGCTGTGTGCAAATAAGGTTACTGACAACTGATCAAGCCATTGTGACACCAAGAGATAGATAAGGAACTTACTTTTAGATATACAGGGTTAAATGAAATCATAATCTTTAGCC